TGTGTCCAGGCTCTGTAGGTGTGTCCAGGCTGTGTAGGTGTGTCCAGGCTGTGTAGGTGTGTCCAGGCTGTGGAGGTGTGTCCAGGCTGTGGAGGTGTGTCCAGGCTGTGTAGGGGTGTCCAGGCTGTGAAGGTGGGTCCAGGCTGTGGAGGTGTGCCCAGGCTGTGTAGGTGTGTCCAGGCTGTGCAGGTGTGTCCAGGCTGTGGAGGTGTGCCCAGGCTGTGTAGGGGTGTCCAGGCTGTGGAGGTGTGTCCAGGCTGTGGAGGTGTGTCCAGGCTGTGGAGGTGTGTCCAGGCTGTGGAGGTGTGTCCAGGCTGTGGAGGTGTGTACAGGCTGAGGAGGTGTGTCCAGGCTGTGGAGGTGTGTCCAGGCTGTGGAGGTGTGTCCAGGCTGTGGAGGTGTGTCCAGGCTGTCGAGGTGTGCTCAGGCTGTGGAGGTGTGTCCAGGCTGTGTAGGGGTGTCCAGGCTGTGGAGGTGTGTCCAGGCTGTGGAGGTGTGTCCAGGCTGTGGAGGTGTGTCCAGGCTGTGGAGGTGTGTCCAGGCTGTGGAGGTGTGTCCAGGCTGTGTAGGGGTATCCAGGCTGTGGAGGTGTGTCCAGGCTGTGGAGGGGTGTCCAGGCTGCGTTGGTGTGCCCAGGCTGTGTAGGTGTGTCCAGGCTGTGGAGGTGTGCTCAGGCTGTGTAGGTGTGTCCAGGCTGTGGAGGTGTGTCCAGGCTGTGGAGGTGTGCCCAGGCTGTGGAGGTGTGCCCAGGCTGTGGAGGTGTGTCCAGGCTGTGGAGGTGTGCCCAGGCTGTGGAGGTGTGTCCAGGCTGTGGAGGTGTGTCCAGGCTGTGGAGGTTTGTCCAGGCTGTGGAGGTGTGTCCAGGCTGTGTAGGGGTGTCCAGGCTGTGGAGGTGTGTCCAGGCTGTGGAGGGATGTCCAGGCTGTGGAGGTGTGCCCAGGCTGTGTAGGTGTGTCCAGGCTGTGGAGGTGTGCTCAGGCTGTGGAGGTGTGTCCAGGCTGTGGAGGTGTGCCCAGGCTGTGGAGGTGTGTCCAGGCTGTGGAGGTTTGTCCAGGCTGTGGAGGGGTGTCCAGGCTGTGGAGGTGTGCCCAGGCTGTGTAGGTGTGTCCAGGCTGTGGAGGTGTGCCCAGGCTGTGGAGGTGTGCTCAGGCTGTGGAGGTGTGCCCAGGCTGTGGAGGTGTGTCCAGGCTGTGGAGGGGTGTCCAGGCTGTGGAGGTGTGCCCAGGCTGTTTAGGTGTGTCCAGGCTGTGGAGGTGTGCTCAGGCTGTGGAGGTGTGTCCAGGCTGTGGAGGTGTGCTCAGGCTGTGGAGGTGTGTCCAGGCTGTGGAGGTGTGCTCAGGCTGTGGAGGTGTGCCCAGGCTGTGGAGGTGTGTCCAGGCTGTGGAGGTGTGTCCAGGCTGTGGAGGTGTGCCCAGGCTGTGGAGGTGTGTCCAGGCTGTGGAGGTGTGCCCAGGCTGTGGAGGTGTGCTCAGGCTGTGGAGGTGTGTCCAGGCTGTGGCGGTGTGTCCAGGCTGTGGAGGTGTGCCCAGGCTGTGTAGGTGTGTCCAGGCTGTGGAGGTGTGCCCAGGCTGTTTAGGTGTGTCCAGGCTGTGGAGGTGTGCTCAGGCTGTGGAGGTGTGTCCAGGCTGTGGAGGTGTGCTCAGGCTGTGGAGGTGTGTCCAGGCTGTGGAGGTGTGCTCAGGCTGTGGAGGTGTGCCCAGGCTGTGGAGGTGTGTCCAGGCTGTGGAGGTGTGTCCAGGCTGTGGAGGTGTGCCCAGGCTGTGGAGGTGTGTCCAGGCTGTGGAGGTGTGCCCAGGCTGTGGAGGTGTGCTCAGGCTGTGGAGGTGTGTCCAGGCTGTGGCGGTGTGTCCAGGCTGTGGAGGTGTGCCCAGGCTGTGTAGGTGTGTCCAGGCTGTGGAGGTGTGCTCAGGCTGTGGAGGTGTGCTCAGGCTGTGGAGGTGTGCCCAGGCTGTGGAGGTATGTCCAGGCTGTGGAGGTGTGCTCAGGCTGTGGAGGTGTGTCCAGGCTGTGGAGGTGTGCTCAGGCTGTGGAGGTGTGCCCAGGCTGTGGAGGTGTGTCCAGGCTGTGGAGGTGTGTCCAGGCTGTGGAGGTGTGCCCAGGCTGTGGAGGTGTGTCCAGGCTGTGGAGGTGTGCCCAGGCTGTGGAGGTGTGCTCAGGCTGTGGAGGTGTGTCCAGGCTGTGGCGGTGTGTCCAGGCTGTGGAGGTGTGCCCAGGCTGTGTAGGTGTGTCCAGGCTGTGGAGGTGTGCTCAGGCTGTGGAGGTGTGCTCAGGCTGTGGAGGTGTGTCCAGGCTGTGGAGGTGTGTCCAGGCTGTGTAGGGGTATCCAGGCTGTGGAGGTGTGTCCAGGCTGTGGAGGGGTGTCCAGGCTGTGTTGGTGTGCCCAGGCTGTGTAGGTGTGTCCAGGCTGTGGAGGTGTGCTCAGGCTGTGTAGGTGTGCCCAGGCTGTGTAGGTGTGTCCAGGCTGTGGAGGTGTGTCCAGGCTGTGGAGGTGTGCCCAGGCTGTGGAGGTGTGCCCAGGCTGTGGAGGTGTGCTCAGGCTGTGGAGGGGTATCCAGGCTGTGGAGGTGTGCCCAGGCTGTGGAGGTGTGTCCAGGCTGTGGAGGTGTGCTCAGGCTGTGGAGGTGTGTCCAGGCTGTGGAGGTGTGTCCAGGCTGTGGAGGTGTGTCCAGGCTGTGGAGGTGTGCTCAGGCTGTGGAGGTGTGTCCAGGCTGTGGAGGTGTGCTCAGGCTGTGGAGGGGTATCCAGGCTGTGGAGGTGTGCCCAGGCTGTGGAGGTATGTCCAGGCTGTGGAGGTGTGTCCAGGCTGTGGAGGTGTGTCCAGGCTGTGGAGGTGTGTCCAGGCTGTGGAGGTGTGCCCAGGCTGTGGAGGTGTGTCCAGGCTGTGGAGGTGTGTCCAGGCTGTGGAGGTGTGTCCAGGCTGTGGAGGTGTGCTCAGGCTGTGTAGGGGTGTCCAGGCTGTGGAGGTGTGCTCAGGCTGTGGAGGGGTATCCAGGCTGTGGAGGTGTGCCCAGGCTGTGGAGGTGTGTCCAGGCTGTGTAGGTGTGTCCAGGCTGTGGAGGTGTGTCCAGGCTGTGGAGGTGTGCCCAGGCTGTGGAGGTGTGCTCAGGCTGTGGAGGTGTGTCCAGGCTGTGGAGGTGTGCTCAGGCTGTGGAGGGGTATCCAGGCTGTGGAGGGGTGTCCAGGCTGTGGAGGTGTGCCCAGGCTGTGGAGGTGTGTCCAGGCTGTGGAGGTGTGTCCAGGCTGTGGAGGTGTGTCCAGGCTGTGGAGGTGTGCCCAGGCTGTGGAGGTGTGTCCAGGCTGTGGAGATGTGCTCAGGCTGTGGAGGGGTATCCAGGCTGTGGAGGTGTGCCCAGGCTGTGGAGGTGTGTCCAGGCTGTGGAGGTGTGCTCAGGCTGTGGAGGTGTGTCCAGGCTGTGGAGGTGTGCTCAGGCTGTGGAGGTGTGTCCAGGCTGTGTAGGGGTGTCCAGGCTGTGGAGGTGTGTCCAGGCTGTGGAGGTGTGTCCAGGCTGTGGAGGTGTGCCCAGGCTGTGGAGGTGTGTCCAGGCTGTGGAGGTGTGCTCAGGCTGTGGAGGTGTGTCCAGGCTGTGTAGGGGTGTCCAGGCTGTGGAGGTGTGTCCAGGCTGTGGAGGTGTGTCCAGGCTGTGGAGGTGTGCTCAGGCTGTGTAGGTGTGCTCAGGCTGTGGAGGTGTGTCCAGGCTGTGTAGGTGTGCTCAGGCTGTGGAGGTGTGCTCAGGCTGTGTAGGTGTGCTCAGGCTGTGGAGGTGTGTCCAGGCTGTGGAGGTGTGCCCAGGCTGTGGAGGTGTGCCCAGGCTGTGGAAGTATCCCAAGCCATCAGCCCAGGACAGGCAGTATGCCCTGCTCAGGCTGGGGTTGGCAGCTCTGCCCCACCACTGAACCTGGGTGCATGAGCAGCCCCACAGCCTGGCTCTGGTGTGGCCTCCCCGTCCCTCCGCATCCACAGTCCCGGGGGAGTAGACGGCCCCCAGTAGCAAGGTGGAGCCTCCCCTGTCCCTGCAGGGGACATGAGACACCGTGACCGGACTTGGGACTGGGCCATGGCCCACAGGCATGAGCCATAGTAGGTCTCCATCCTTCCTGTTTCATGTCAGCACTAGGGCTGGAACTCAGGGCCTGGGCGCTGCCTCTGAGCCTTTGTGCTCAAGCTCAGCGCTCTACACTTAAGCCATAGCTCCACTTCTGGCTCTTTTTGTGTGGTTAGTGGAATCTCCCGGACTTTCCTGGCTGGCACGATCCTCAGACCTCAGCCTCCTGAGTAGCTAGGATGACAGACAGGATCCACCGGAGCCCCGCAAGGGTCCGTTCCTGCTAACGTCTCCGGCCTGTGCCAGAGAAGAAGTCAGGCATTCCTGCCCTCTCCTTTCCTGACCGCAGTGAGCTGGTGTCCATGGCGGGCACTGAGCCTCCCCGGGAGCCGCAGCCAGCGGGGCGCGGCCCTCACCACACACACTGGCCCAACAGGGACAGGACTTATCAGGATGCGCAGAAGCCCAAAGCCCTCAGGCAGGAAGCCCACAAGAGCTGGGACAGACAGACACGGAGAGCTGGGACAGACAGGAGACACTTCCCGGAAGTGCTACTCTGTGCACTTGCTGGCAGGTGCGCCCAGTGTCTGGGAGCTCCTTGTTCCAGAAGTTTCCTTGAGGGGTGCCCCCCTTCAGTTCTGATAGTACACACAGTGTTGGTTTCCCTGGCACAGCCCCCACGCCCGGCGCCTGGGGGCTCAAAACCATGCCACAGGTTTGTTCTTGTTTACTGAAACACTTAAGCCAACAGGAAACGTGCAGTCTGACAACTTTTCTTACAGAGAAGGGGAGCAGGAGCCCAGGACAGACCCGACGGGAGTGGAGCCAGGTGCCCTGGACAGGGCTGGACTGTGTTGGGGCCTGGAGAGCCGGGAGGGAGGAGCTGGCAGGCAGATGGGCCCTGGGTCTGGAAGGGGCGGAGCCCAGGGCAGCGGCTCGGCCAGTGCTTCAGGCGGGTCATATGATGGCCTGGTGGGGCAGCCCATACAGGACCATGCTGAGGGCCATGGGGTGCGGCTCTGCATCTGGAGACTCCACCCGGGGGGACGCCACCTCCTCCACGGTGGTGTATGGAGTCTCGTCTGTGGAGTGTGAGCAGAGCTGTCAGGCAGGGGCGGTCTGGCACCTATCCAGACCCGCACCCGCACACCTACCGCCGGGACAGGGAGGATGGGGTGAGAGGCGGCGTCCCCAGCTCTTCCGTGAGCCAGACCTGAGCTGGGGCTGGTGCAGGAATCGGCCTGTGCCCGGCAGGGCTGCCCTGCTTCTCACTGCATTGTTTCTGCCTGCAGCAGCGGAGCTCTACAGCCCTGGCTGAACCTAAGTCCCCTCTACCCCCCACCCACGTTGGGCATTGGTAGGATCCAGAGACCGGCCTCAGGGCCGCCTCTGTGTTGCTAGCAGTGCCCTTCCCTGGCAAACCCGTCACAAGGATGAAGTAACTGGTTCCCTCCCGAGTGTGCCGACGTTTGGGGTCCACAAACTGCGGAGACTCCAGGAGCCAACAGGCCAGCACTAGCCGGCGTGACCCTGTGCCTGCCGTGCCTGCTCTCAAGCGGGTGGTCTGCACGGCACACAGGATGCCGGGTCCCGCTCCGTGTCCGTCAGGACGTCCATCTTTCCAGTGCCTCGTGTGGGCGCCAAGGCAGGGGACACACGGCAGTAGAGGACTGTTAAGTGCTGTTGCCAAGGCTCAGGATAGGCTTTTTGAAAGCATCCCTTTTTAACACGTTTTTTTCTTTAAAAAAGCAAAGATGTTGGAAGCCAGTGCAATCTGACTTCTGAACTGACCATTGGTCATTTCCCTGGTGCCTGGCACCTTGAGTGAAGGAATGTCAGGCTGACCTCATGTCTGGCTTTGAGCTTTCTGTGGAGAGCTCAAAGAGGAAGCTACACACCAACCATAGCTGCTTGCTGCTGAAGCACACGTCTGGCTCTTGGAGGCCCGCTTCCAGCCCCGCTTTTCAGAGGGCACCACAAACCTCAGTGTTCTAAAGATGACCCTGCAGCCATTTCTACCCAGGGCTTCCCCACCAGCCCCGCCGAAGGCCTGTGGTTGACAAACACATCTTTCCTCTGCACAAAGGCAGTGCTCTGGTTGGTAGAGCTCTGCAGCTCTACCTATGGAATCAGGCCATTCAGCCCACTTTGGGAGTTAGCTAAAAGGCGCCTCCTGAACTTCCTCCTGCTCTTTTGCAATGTTAGGGTTACTGAAAGACTTTCCTCAAGTGGTCTTTTCTTGCCTACTCTCGTGTGTGTGCATGTGTGTGTATGTTCCAGTTCTGGGGTCTGAACTCAGAGCCTTGTGCTCTTGCTTGGCTGGAACTCTTGAGTCATACCTCCAGTCTGAAGTTTCTCAGAGTTTTCTGCCTATGCTGGCTTTGAGCCATCATCCTCAGATCTCAGCCTCCTGAGTAGCTGGGATTCCCATAATGCACTGGTGCCTGACTCTTCCTTTGATTGTCATGATGACTGCAGAGATGGCCGCAGCAGAGGTGATAGCAGCTGCTCCACCCCGGTGGTTGGAGCAGTAGGGGCAAGAAGGCTGCCAAAGAGCTCCAGAGCTCTGCGGTGGGGGCAGGGATGGCAGGGAAGGCACAAGGGTGAGGGTGGCAGAGGCAGGGAGAAACAAGACGGAAGAAGGACCAAAGGCCGTGGAGAGTCGAGATGAGAAACGGCTCTGGCTTCTGGAAGAGTCCCGGGGGCCCTTGAGGGCTGAGGGTCTGGACCCTCTAGCCGGGTCCTGACCGGAGTCTCTGTAGGGCTGACAACAGGAGACCCCCCATGAGCTCCAACACGAGCGAGGTCTCCGGCTTGTCAACCCTGCAGCTCTGAGGAGCAGAGAGCTCTGGTCTGCCAGTCCAGCCCCCAGGCTGACGAGCTAACGCTCCCCCGCTCCCCTCCTGTGTGGCAGGTCGGAGGACTTTAGCCAGGCCATCGGTAATGCATTCGTTCACTCAATAATTAATTTTCTGGTACAATATGCTAGGCAGAAAACATGTGTTTTCAAAGGCTAGCTTACTATGGAGTTATATTAGAAGATTTCTCACTTAAAAACCATTCTGGAGTACACCTTTCCAAGTTGTAGCAGATTGTTCCTTTCATGTTCAGCTAAACGCTGTTGGCTAGTGTTGGGTCACGTTTTGCACAGTGATGTCTGCAGCTTGTCACTGCGACAAGTGTTAGGGATTCAAAGTTGGGAAGTCAGACTGATGGCTACAACTTAACCAGGGCATCCCCTGGCCCCGCCCAGGCAACCATTTTCCCAGGGGTCTCTCCTCTGACTGGGGTGACGGAATGCCAGGAGGGCTCAGCTGGCACCCTGCCAGTCCCCAGCTGCGGAGGTTGGGGATGTGAAGGCGTGGCCATGCCAGGTGCCAGGTCTGCAGCTGTCTGGCACAGGCTCCTCTACGGTCTTCCTCGCTGTACATAGTCAGCCCAGCTCTTTCCCCAGTTCATGTCTCTGAGGAGAGTGTGCCCCGGGAGGCTGATGCAGACGCTGTTTCTGCCTTACCTTCGGTCCCCATTTCAACGTATTTCATCTTCTGCAGGAGGTAGACAGTTCTGCCAACCGTCTTGCCAACCGTCAGCAGGTCTAGGACAGGAGCATGCCCTTAGACGGCCACCAGCCGGCCCGGGACCCGGCACCCCTCCGGTGGGTCAGCTGGGAACTCACTTTCCCACAGGATGTTGGCCCGCAGGGCGTTGTCCGCCAGCTGTGCTGCCCACTGGTTGGCCATGATGCTCTTGACTCCCACCAGGCTCAGAAGGATGGCGGTCTCAATGGGCTTATCCAAGGTCATACTGTCGAGGCCCCACCCATGGGTTGGCACCAGGGGCGGACACTCCCTCCCCTTCCCCCCATCTCCCACGGCATGGCACCAGGGGCGGACACTCCCTCCCCTTCCCCCCATCTCCCACGGCATGGCACCAGGGGCGGACACTCCCTCCTCTTCCCCCCCATCTCCCACGGCATGGCACCAGGGGTGATGCCCCCTCCTCTTCCTGCCCATCTCCCAGACTGTACTGGTGGTAGGAATGTAGTTTTGGACTGATGCTTTACAGTTTTACAGTGATTTCAGCTACAGAATTAGGTGCCATTTAATAAGAAATGGCCTTCCTGTGTGCTTATAAAATCTATCTGGCAGCAGCATCAGCCCCTGGATGGAGTTGACCATGGATGCAGGCACTATGAGGTTCAAGGTCCCCCACCCACCTCTGGAAGCTCACATGGTCTCTGGGGTAGGGCCCCCCAGCCCTGACCATGGGGTGTACCCGTGTTCCCGGGCCGCCCCTCCCCCAGCCCTGACCGTGGGGTGTACCCGTGATCCCTGGCCAGGCCGCCCCTCCCCTGCCCCCTGCCGGTACAGCAGGGACCTCCAGCACCTCTTGCTTTCAGAGCTCTCCGCCTTCCTCCGCCGGCTCTTGTGGGACGTTGTCTTGTCCAACAAGACCATCAGCTGGCACTCTGCAGAGAGACCAGCTGTTCAGCAGCTCCCAGAGCCCCTGGAGGCCTCAGAGCGCTGGCCAAGCCCAGCACTCAGACTGTTCACCAACAGGGCCGAGAACTGGGGATACACGAGGCCAGGCAGCAGGACGCGGGAGAAGCCTACTGTGGGGCCAGAACTCAGTGTGCACCTGGGGGGGGCCTCCAAGCATGCAGGGGAGCAGCTGAAGTGACCGCCACCCCAACACCTCACCCTGACTGCAAGCAAGGGACGCTGGAACCGAGGCCTCTGGAGACAGCGGGGGCCAGCGGGGGAGGGGCGTCACTGGCTCCTGAAGCTCCGGGCCTCCAGCCCAGCGTGCCTTCTAGTGCATTCCCCCTGTGCCCTCCGGGCCCCATGGGGGCGGGTGGTGGGGCCTCACCTTGCAGATTCATGGCAACCAGTCTCTCCACCAGTATGTGGGCCAGGAAGCTCTCCATGCCGTAGAAGAAGAAGCCGCAGCAGCTGGACAGGACCTGCTCCCAGTCGGCCTGGCTGCACGGAAGAGCAGCAGGTGCTCTGTGGCCAGGCACCCAGGCCGCGGGGGCCCTCACAGCGTATGCTCAGCGCAGGCAACGTCTCCAGACCCCTGCACCTGCCCCGTGCCCCCAGAAGCCCTCAACAACAGAGCCCCGTCAGGAGCCTCGGAAGCTGGCACCGGCTTTCCTGACAGCCGAGCCGACAAGGGCCCTAGGTTTCCACAGCACCCCAACAGCAGGGGGCAGGTGGGGGTCCCTCCCTGGCCCCATTCCAGGGCTCGTCCCTGTCCCAGCACCCTGCCCCGCACAGACTCCCCCTGTACACACACACACACCCTGCACGCTCACCACAAACACACCCTGCACACACACACACCCTGCACACACACAGCCTGCATGCTCACCACACATACACGCTGCACACACACAGCCTGCACGCTCACCACACACACACGCTGCACACACACACACACCCTGCACGCTCACCACAAACATACCCTGCACACACACACACACACACCCTGCACGCTCACCACACACACACCCTGCACACACACACACCCTGCACACACACAGCCTGCATGCTCACCACACACACACGCTGCACACACACAGCCTGCACGCTCACCACAAACACACCCTGCACACACACACACACACCCTGCACACACACACCCTGCCCCGCACAGACTCCCCCAGCACACGCACACACACCCTGCACGCTCACCACAAACACACCCTGCACACACACACACACACCCTGCCCCGCACAGACTCCCCCAGCACACGCACACACAGCCTGCATGCTCACCACACACACACGCTGCACACACACACACACACACACACACACACCCTGCCCCGCAGACTCCCCCTGCACACACACACACACCCTGCCCCACACAGACTCCCCCTGCACGCTCACCACACACACACCCTGCACACGCACACACACCCTGCACATACACACCCTCCTCCCCCTGCACACACACACACACCCTGCCCTGCACAGACTCCCCCTGCACACGCACACACACCCTGCACGCTCACCACAAACACACCCTGCACACACACACACACACCCTGCCCCGCACAGACTCCCCCAGCACACGCACACACACCCTGCACGCTCACCACAAACACACCCTGCATACACACAGCCTGCACGCTCACCACACACACACCCTGCACACACACACACCCTGCACGCTCACCACAAACACACCCTGCATACACACACAGCCTGCATGCTCACCACACACACATGCTGCACACACACAGCCTGCACGCTCACCACACACACACACACACACACACACACACCCTGCAAGGCTCCCCCTGCACACACACCCTCCATGTACCACACACATACACACACCCTGCACGGACAACACACACATACACTGCACACACACCACACACACACCCTGCCTGTGCAGGCTCTACCTGCACACATATACCCTGCACACACCACACACACCCTGCACACACAAGCACACACCCCCTGCATGCACGCCAAACATACCCCCTGCATGCCCACCACACACACCCCCTGAATGCCCAGCACACACCCCCCCTGCATGCCCAGCATACACCCCCCCTGCATGCCCACCACACACACCCCCTGAATGCACGCCAAACATACCCCCTGCATGCCTACCACACACACACCCTGCATGCACACCAAACATACCCCCTGCATGTCCAGTACACACCCCCCTGCATGCCCACCACACACCCTGCATGCCCAGCATACACCCCCCCTGAATGCCCAGCACACACCTCCCCTGCATGCCCACCACACACACCCCTGCATGCCCACCACACACACACCCTGCATGCCCAGCATACACCCCCCCCTGCATGCCCACCACACACACCCTCTGCATGCACGCCAAACATACCCCCTGCATGTCCAGTACACACCCCCCTGAATGCCCAGCACACACACCCCTGAATGCCCAGCACACCCCCCCCCTGAATGCCCAGCACACACCTCCCCTGCATGCCCACCACACACACCCCTGCATGCCCACCACACACACACCCTGCATGCCCACCACACACCCTGCATGCCCAGCATACACCCCCCTGCATGCCCACCACACACACACCCTGCATGCCCACCACACACCCTGCATGCCCAGCATACACCCCCCCTGCATGCCCACCACACACACCCTGCATGCCCACCACACACCCTGCATGCCCAGCATACACCCCCCCTGCATGCCCACCACACACACCTCCTGCATGCCCAGCACACACACACCCTGCATGCACACCACACACCCTGCATGCACACCACACACACCCTGCATGCCCAGCACACACACACCCCCTGCATGCCCAGCACACACACACCCTGCATGCACACCACACACACCCTGCATGCACACCACACACACCCTGCATGCACACCACACATACCCTGCATGCACACCACACACACACCCTGCATGCACACCACACACACCCTGCATGCACACCACACACACCCTGCATGCCCACCACACCTCCCCTGCATGCCCACCACACACACCCTGCATGCACACCACACACACCCTGCATGCACACCACACACACCCTGCATGCACACCACACACACCCTGTATGCCCACCACACACACCCTGCATGCACACCACACACACCCTGCATGCACACCACACACACACACTGCATGCACACCACACACACCCTGCATGCCCAGCACACACACACCCCTGCATGCCCACCACACACACCCTGCATGCACACCACACATACTCCCTGCATGCCCACCACACACCCCCCCTGCATGCCCAGCACACACACCCCCTGCATGCCCACCACACACACCCCTGCATGCCCAGCACACACACACCCTGCATGCCCACCACACACCCTGCACGCCCACCACACACCCTGCATGCACACCACACATACCCCCTGCATGCCCACCACACACCCTGTCCTGCGCAGGCTCCCCCTGCACACACATACCCTGCACACACACCACACACCCCCTGCATGCCCAGCACACACACACCCTGCATGCACACCACACACACCCCTGCATGCCCACCACACACACCCCTGCATGCCCACCACACACACCCCCTGCATGCCCACCACACACACCCCTGCATGCCCACCACACACACACCCTGCATGCCCACCACACACCCTGCATGCCCAGCACACACCCCCCCTGCATGCCCACCACACACACCCCCTGCATGCCCAGCACACACACACACCCTGCATGCCCAGCACACACACCCCCTGCATGCATGCCAAACATACCCCCTGCATGTCCAGTACACACCCCCCTGAATGCCCAGCACACACCTCCCCTGCATGCCCACCACACACCCCCCTGCATGCCCACCACACACACACCCTGCATGCCCACCACACACCCTGCATGCCCAGCATACACACACACCCTGCATGCCCACCACACACCCTGCATGCCCAGCACACACACACACCCTGCATGCACACCACACACACCCTGCATGCCCAGCACACACACACCCTGCATGCCCAGCACACACCCCCCCTGCATGCCCACCACACACACCCCCTGCATGCCCAGCACACACACACCCTGCATGCCCACCACACACACCCCCTGCATGCCCAGCACACACACACACCCTGCATGCACACCACACACACCCTGCATGCACACCACACACACACCCTGCATGCACACCACACACACCCTGCATGCCCAGCACACCCCCCTGCATGCCCACCACACACACCCTGCATGCACACCACACACACCCTGCATGCCCAGCACACACACCCCCTGCATGCCCACCACACACACCCCCTGCATGCCCAGCACACACACACACCCTGCATGCCCAGCACACACACACCCTGCATGCCCAGCATACACCCCCCCTGCATGCCCAGCACACACCCCCCCTGAATGCCCAGCACACACCTCCCCTGCATGCCCACCACACACCCTGCATGCCCAGCATACACCCCCCTGCATGCCCACCACACACACCCTGCATGCCCACCACACACCCTGCATGCACACCACACACCTCCCCTGCATGCCCACCACACATCCTGCATGCCCAGCATACACCCCCCTGCATGCCCACCACACACACCCCCTGCATGCCCAGCACACACACACCCTGCATGCACACCACACACCCTGCATGCCCAGCATACACCCCCCCTGCATGCCCACCACACACACACCCTGCATGCCCACCACACACCCTGCATGCCCACCACACACCTCCCCTGCATGCCCACCACACATCCTGCATGCCCAGCATACACCCCCCCTGCATGCCCACCACACACACACCCTGTCCTGCGCAGGCTCCCCCTGCACACACATACCCTGCACACACACCACACACACCCTGCATGCACAACACACACACACACATCTAGCATGCCCACTTCATGTCCATCCATGCCACGGGACAGGTCTGTGACAGGGAGCTACTCTGGTCCTGGGGTTCCCCCTCCCTGAACAGCCTGCTGGGCCTTGGGGGATTGGCACCGTCACCTCGGGCTGGGCCCCTCTGCTGGGGTCCTTCTGCCCCTCCCCAAGGAAGACTGGGGGCCTCCGTGGTGGGAAACCCAAATCCAAACCTTGGAAAGTTCTGGTTGCCCAGGTGCCCCTCCCACTGATCAGTAAACGAATCTTGAAATCTTTCCAAAATTTCCTGGGTCACAAAAGTAGGGTCCAGGGCTTCTGCAAAGAGAATTGTCACCAGGTATGACGTGCAGGGGTTTCTGGGGCCAGGGGGCCGGGGTGCAGCGGGGCGCAAGGCCGCGGAGGACACACAGAGCACCCACCTTTGCCCTGGGCTTCCCCATAGGGGTCAACGACAACTGGACTGGGGTCAAGGACAAACAGGCCCACAGGGCGGGGGTCTGGCGGGCCCCTCCCCCCTCCCCCCCACAGAGGCCTGGTGGGGGCCGGGCAGGGACCTGGCTTGGGCTCGGTAGGGGTCTGGCAGGCCCCTTCTCCCCAGGGGCCTGGTGGGGGCAGGCAGGGGCCGGGCGGGGGACCTGGCTTGGGCCCGGTGGGGGTCTGGCAGGCCCCTTCCCCTTCCCCCCCTGCCCTCCCCCGGCAGGGGCCTGGCAGGGGGCGGGCAAGGGCTGGGCGTGGGGCCTGGCTTGGGCCCGGTGGGGGTCCTGCAGGTCCCCCTCCCCACAGGGGCCTGGTGGGGGGTGGGGGGCCTGGCTTGGGCCTGGTGGGGGGCCTGCAGATCTCCCCGCTCCCCCCCCCTCGGGCAGAGGCCTGGCAGGGGCCGGGTGGGGGGTGGGCAGGGGCTGGGCGTGGGGCCTGGCTTGGGCCTGGTGGGGGGCCTGCAGATCTCCCCTCTCCCCCCCCACCCCCCGGGCAGAGGCCTGGCAGGGGCTGGGTGGGGGACCAGGTGGCCCATGGCTGTCGAAGGATACACTTGAAGCCGTCTGAGGGGATGAGAATACAGTTTGGAGGGATTATCCGGGGCGAGCCCTGAAAGAGGGCACAGGGGTCAGAGGGCACAGGATGGTGGTTAGGATGGGTTCCCAGACCAGTCAGGGCAGTGGGAGTCCAAGGCTCGGCAGAGGCAGCCGGTTCCGGGCCCTGAGCCCCAGCCGCCCGGCCCTCTGCCCGCCTACCTTTGCCCTCTTCCCTTTCTTCTTCGCGTCTCTCCGTTTCCCCTCCCTTTTCACACTGCTTTCTGTTGCAGACAAGACAAAGCAGCTATGAGCTGGCGCTAGGCACCAAGGACCACTGAATTGTTTACCTTAAGATTTAAAACCTAAGAACAATCGATTATAATTTCTATAAAGGCAGAGCACAGAGAATTTCCCAAACAAAAGGTTGGCAAGAGCCTCAGGAGAGGCCCTGGGCAGGGGGCTGGGGCGTGCGTGCGTGCATGCGTGCGTGCACACCTGACATCCCGCGGGCACCGTGCGGTAGGCCCCCTGGGCCAGGGAACTCAAACGCTGCCCCTTAGCTGCCCCGGGGTTGTGCAGCTGAGTGACAGCCCCTCTCCATCTGCCTGGGCTGGGCCCCCCGACAGCCCCGGCCCGGCCCGTGCTGTGTCTCCGCAGACTCTGTCTCCTTGCTTTCTGGTTAGAAGCTGGCTGCCCTGTTCCCTTCTTGTCTGCACTGGTCTGGGCCGCGCTATGCGGGCAGCAGTGCCCCCTGCCCTGCCCTACCAAGGCAGCCGCGGCCACCCATCTGTGCGGGTCTCCCGCCCTCACATCCGGTGTCTCCACTAGAAGCCATGGCGGCCGGAGGGTGCGGGTTCTATCTTCATCGCATCATGGGCAGGGTCCTGGCCAGGGCGGCCTCTGTGTGCTCTGACCTGCCATGATGGCATGCTGGAAACTCAGTTCTGCCATAATGATTATAACAATAAGAGCCACAGCAGTTGCTACTGTTTTCTTTTCCTCTGTTTTGCTCAACAATGTCTTACGGGGGTGGGAATCGTGGCTCAGGTGATAGAGTGCCAGCCAATGAGTGAAACTTTGAGTCCTGGTCTCTGACAAAAAGAAGTCTCAAAGAGATGCTCCCAAGGTTTTAAGACATGTTTCACATTGTGCTCCTCCCCCGCCCCCATCTCCAGGGCTGCCATTTCTCTCCCTTGCCGGGGTTCTGTCCTGGGTTCTGTCCGCACACCTGCCTGGCCCTGGCAGTCTGACGGACCCCTGCAGGTCCCTATAGCTTGCTCGCTCGCTCTCTCTGGCCTGCTGCTTACCAGCTCCACGCACCTGGGACCCTGGCTCTGTCTTGTTCCTGTCTCTCCTGCCAATGCTGTAGCTGGTGCTCTGATCCCTGAGCCAGACCTCAAAAACTTAGAGCAAGAAAAAACAATAGCTACAATTGTGTCTGTTGTTGTTGCTACTATTGTTGTTGTTGTTATTATTATTATGGCAGTATTGGGACTGAACTCAGGGCCTTGAGCTTGTTTTCAGACAGGGTCTCATACTTTTTCCCTGGCCAGCCGTGGAACTCAAACCTATTCACGCCACGTCCTGTGTCGCAGAGATAGCAGAGGTTCACCTCCACAGCTAGCACTTGATTCAAGTCCATGGACTCCTGGCTGAGCCTGGCTGGCGCCGCTCCTTACCCGTCTCCTCCTTACGGAGGCGGTTGCACAGCATCTGGAGGGAAAATTCTCGGGACAGAGACTGGGTCGTGCCCTGGTTGAACACAGAGAGGCCTTCCAGGGGCAGCTCCAGCAGGTGCCTGTCTGCAATCAGGATCGTGTCCACCATCTCCATCTGACCTGTGAGCACGGAGATGATATTAACCGCAGGGAGACCTGCTCCCGATGGAGGGCCACCCCTCCCTGACCGTGCGACTGCCCCGATGGGGCAGACCTCAGCCCGGAGTGAGTGCGGGGCCCCGAGGTGTGCCCTGGCTCTGATGGGAGGTTGGGCTGCTCCCCTGTGGACCAAAGCCGGCCTGACTGCAGATGCTGACTGCTGGCTGATGGGAAAAGCCTGGTCCTGGGGTCACAGCTCACGCTCCGAGTCACACCAGGGAGGCTCTCCCTGCACGCTCCTCATGCACAGAGCAAAACACATTTGCTTAAAGCCAAGCAGCATCCTTCTTATCTGAATTGTGGCCATTTTTGGGACGGGAGCCCAGTTTAGTTTGGGTCCTTGGGAGAGATGGGGCCTGGCAGCAGAGTGAGATGTGGGACTGCCTTCCTGACTGCGTAGGACCCGAACCCCTCATGTGGTCTGCCCGCTGTGGCTGGAGCCCCGAGGCCCTGTCTCCCGGCACGGGGCAGCGGGGCTTGTGGGGGAGGTGCTTGGCACTCTGGGAAATCAAAGTTCTTTTCTGGTTGAGTGACAACCCCCTTGGTTCTGTCTTGACAAGTTCTTGTGGGAGATACGAAAGCATCTAAGAATTGAAGAATGATATTGCCCTTTATAAAAGCAGCAGATGCCAGGGAAGGAAAATGAAGCTGGTAGTTGCTTAGCCCCCGGGGTACGTGCTGAGCACAGCCGGCGTTTCCCGGGGTGTTGCGTCAGGAGCACAGGGGTGCGCTCGGAAGCAGCAGAACGGGAGGACGGGGCCCTGCACGGTGCTGCGGGCCTGGAGGCCATCCCCAGGACGACAGTTCATCCTTTCCAGAAGCATCACAGCCTCCTCTGCCATGGGACGCCCTTCCTGGCCAGGGGTCAGCTTTATCTCCTGCACAAGGTCAGCCTAGGTCTTCTCCCAGGCAGGCTCCGCAGGGGGTGGGCACTGACCACCAGCCTAGGAGGGGCAGGTGACCAGACACTGTCCGCATCTGTGAGCAGGACCTTCAGGTCTCCTCCTGGTGGGGATGCCCAGCACACAGGGAGCCCCACACTCTGTTCACATCTCCAGCCTGCTGGCTAGGAACGTGGCCACTCAGCCTTCCTCAGTGGGCTGGGCAGGGGTTCCAGTCCATCTCTTCCCGTGATGCACGCTTCTGTGGTCTGCGCTGCGGCCACCTACCTGTTGGATTGGACACTTTCCTTTCCTTCTCTTTGCCCTTTGACTTCCCTGGCTCGGTCACGATCACAGGAACTGGAATTCTGAAAGACAAAGCTGGGGTCTCGTGCCCAGGTGCACTGGAGCTAGGTCTCTGGCGGGCTGTGCGCCTTTCTGACTGCTGTCACTGGGACGGGCTAAGGACACCCTGGGCACGGGGAGTGAGCCAGAGATGCCACAGAGCAGGCCCCGCCCCCGGGGGAGAGCAGCACTGATCACACCGCCCACCACTGTCGTGGCACTCAGAGCTCCATCTGTGAGGCCTGATCCAAAGAACACTTCCACGCCTCTGCTCAGCACCCCAGCGCGTGGTCCCACCACAGCTGCAGAACTGAGCCCACGGTACCTGACTTCTGGAAAGTTCAGCAGGGGAAAGATGGGCCGCAGGTAATCTTCCATGGGCTCCAGGACCCCGCTGAGCTTCTGCAGACAGAGTTCTCTCTCTTCAGCAGGCAGGGTCTCCAGATCCTGTCCCAACAAACCGCAGCCTGTCCCCAAGTGTGTGGGGCCCCACACAGCCCCTCCAGCTGAGTGAGCAGGGGACGGGAAGGTCTGAGCTCCTGCCCTCTGGGGGGCACAGCGGACACCGCCGTCTCCACACACCTGTGCTACAGCCCCAGGACTCCCAGCCCGTGTGCTCAAGGCCACCCTGAGACCCTCTGCAGACTGCCTGTGTGCTGTGGACAGAGGCTGCCAGGGCCCTCCACACAGTCAGATTCAGCAGGGAGCGTTGACCACACTGGGGCCTGGCCCCACCCCGGGGCCCTGGCTCTCCCAGGGTGCTCACACTGGGGCCTGGCCCCACCCCGGGGCCCTGGCTCTCCCAGGGTGCTCACACTGGGGCCTGGTACTGCTCCAGGGCCCTGGCTCTCCCAGGGTGCTCACACTGGGGCCTGGTACTGCTCCAGAGCCCTGGCTATCCCAGGGTGCTCACACTGGGGCCTGGCCCCGCCCCAGGGCCCTGGTCTCCCAGGATGCCCACACTGGGGACTGGCCCCGCCCCGGGGCCCTGGCTATTCCAGGGTGCCCATCGTCTGCAGTGCCATCTGGAGCCAGGCCCAGGAGCGTAGGTCCGCCGTGTACCCGAGCTTGATTCTGGGTCAGCTTCTGGAACTGCTGGAACTTGGCCATCAGGTCTGAGAAGGCTGCCGGGATCACTGTCATCTTCATCACTTTGCAGTGCCCTGTGCAGACACAGGGCTGAGTGCCAGGCTGCCGGGTGTGCGGCTCAGAGGTCAGCCCTGAGCCGCCCACGTGTCGCTGCAGGATGGGCAGACAGCGCGGGCAGAGCCTCTTGCTACCACCTCTGGCCCCGCTGGACCCCTGGGTTTCCTCACCCGCGGCTGGGTGTGTGCTCGGGCTTCCCCGGGGAAGGCCACGTCCACCCCACGTGCTCAGCAGGAAGTGGGACCTCGGCCCCAGCTCACCGCCTACTTGCTGCAGTTTGCCCTTGACTGTGGACGTGGACTTGGGCTTCTCGTAGGCGGCTGCGTAGAGTCGGGACCTGTGGGCCAAGACAGTCGGGAGCCAGGCCCAGCGGGGCCGGAAAGCCAAGCTGCGGCCTCAGCCGCGGTGCTGCCCTCCAGGGTCTCTTCCCAGCAGGGCTGGTCGAGATGAGGCCCTCGCCTCCACCCCAGGCCCAGACCAGAGCTGTCCACTCCCATCGCCTCTCGGCTCCATCTCGGGGCGGCCTCGGGTTCCAGGACTCGACCTCAGAGAGCGGGCGCCCTCCCAGACCCCAGCCTGGCCTCTGTCTCAGGCCCGGGCCTGGCTGGCAGGACCCGTTCAGGACACTTCGCAGCTGACCACGGCCCCCAGGGCGGGGCTTCTCCTCGGGCAGGGGCCCACCCCAGGTCCTTACATGTCTGGAGAGTGATGCAGGAAGACAGCCTGGACCGAGGGTGGAATCTCGCTGAGGAAGTTGAAGTGCTGCTCAGTGACGCAGAGGTTCTGATAGGCCTGAGTGACAAACAGGGCGAGGGAGAGGCCATGGAAGGGGCTCCAGGGTCCTGCCTGTGCTGGGAGCCACCACAAGGGGGAGACAGGCACCGCGTGGGAAGAGGCGTCTTCCGGGCCAGCGCAGCCCCGCCCACCGCCTCTCCTATTCCCCACGTCGCAGGCAGAGGGGCAGACGCGCACATGCACACACGCATGCGGACACGGCTGTGCCCTCGCTGCCCGCAGGCCGGCACCCTGCCCAGGCTCTCACGCCTCCAACTTGAGCCTCTAGCACACAGTGCGCGTCTGCAGGCACCGCAGCCACGGACCTCTTGTCTGTGGGCAGCACCAGCCCTCGCCCATGCACAGCTCTTCTCCTGCCGGCAGTCAGCTTCTCCCCGGATGGCTCGTGGGCCACCGCTTCTCCATTCTGCTCAGCTTCTCCCCGGATGGCTCGTGGGCCACTGCTTCTCCATTCTGCTCAGCTTCTCCCATCGATGGCTCGTAGGCCACGGCTTCTCCATTCTGCTCAGCTTCTCTCATCGATGGCTCATGGGCCACGGCTTCTCTGTTCTGTTCAGCTTCTCCCCGGATGGCTTGTGGGCCATGGCTTCTCTGTTCTGTTCAGCTTCTCCCATCGATGGCTCGTGGGCCATGGCTTCTCTGTTCTGTTCAGCTTCTCCCCTGGATGGCTCGTGGGCCACACGGCTTCTCTATTCTGTTCAGCTTCCCCCCTGGATGGCTCGTGGGCCACGGCTTCTCTGGTCTGCTCGCTTCTCCCCTGGAAGGCTCGTGGGCCATGGCTTCTCTGTTCTGTTCAGCTTCTCCCATTGATGGCTCGTGGGCCATGGCTTCTCCGTTCTGTTCAGCTTCTCTCCAGGAAGGCTCGTGGGCCATGGCTTCTCTGTTCTGCTCAGCTTCTCTCCAGGAAGGCTCGTGGGCCATGGCTTCTCTGTTCTGTTCAGCTTCTCCCATCGATGGCTCGTGGGCCATGGCTTCTCTGTTCTGTTCAGCTTCTCCCATCGATGGCTCGTGGGCCATGGCTTCTCCGTTCTGTTCAGCTTCTCCCATCGATGGCTCGTGGGCCATGGCTTCTCCGTTCTGTTCAGCTTCTCCCATCAATGGCTCGTGGGCCATGGCTTCTCTGTTCTGCTCAGCTTCTCCCATCGATGGCTCGTGGGCCATGGCTTTTCCGTTCTGCTCAGCTTCTCTCCAGGATGGCTCGTGGGCCATGGCTTCTCTGATCTGTTCATGTTTTTGTATCTCATAGTCACATTGCTGTGTGGTAACATCTTGCTGGATCACCATCCTTCCTGCTCATCCTCCATGACTCTTGGTTCACCTTTTTCTTTCTTTTATAAATATCAGCCCTTTTAAAGCAACCCACAGTTACATTTTCCCCTTTCATCCAATCCAACAATTGTTGACCTGGAGTGACTAGTCTTGCACTCTTCCTCTTTTGGGACTGTCTGTTTTGTATTTTCCCCTCTCTTCATTGTCCTTTGGATTGATACAGTACTACTGTAAAATGTTTCCTTTTTGTTAACCTGGTTACACGTTATTTTGGTTGGTACTGTAGGACCTGGGGGGTAGGGACTCCTGGACCTCCGAGGTCTACCATTTCTCTGGTGGTGACGGGTGCGGGGTATCGGCTGTCCCTCACCCCCACCCCTTACACTGTTCTGCCTCCCACTCTGGCCCTGTGATGCCATCGGAAGCTCACAGGACTTCATGGTTCAGACCCCAGCGCTGTCTTTTTGGTCAGTTGCGGGGCTGTCCTTGAGCCTCCTTGTGTTCACGGTGGCTCTGTCACTTGAGCCACAGTGCCACCTCCAGCACCATGGCACTTCACTCCCATGGTGCTTTGCGTCAGTTCTGGTCAAGGCTCGGCCTCTCCGGACGGTTTATGTAACTGCCTGAAAGGATTGGCCAGAAGCCTCCCTGATTGGCCAGAAGCCTCCTTTTGGTTTTTCTTTTATTATTGGTCACAGATTGCCTTGGGATTTTGTTTGCCTAGAAATGTCTTCATGCACCTGCCTTGTGAACAGTATTTCACTGTTCAGTATTTCACTGGAGGCTCTTTTCCTTTGGCCTGGTAATGTGCTGTTTTCTTCAGATGCTAGGAGTTTGTCACTTTGTGCTCAGAGGGTGATTTTCTTGATGTTTCTGCAAGTGTGTGTGTGTGTGTATGTGTGTGTGTGTGTGCGCACCCGCACACACACATGCATGATTTCACATGGTAAATCCCAAGCCTGTAGGTCTTATGAGCATAGGAAGTTCCTTCCTAGCGTTGCTTGAAGACTCAAAGAAATGTGACTCTGGCCTTTGGCTAGGCTCTTGCCCTCCTTGGCTCCTGTGTCTTCTCCCACGGGGTCTTCTCTGGGTCTGAGCTGGTCTTGGGTCCGGGTGTGGACTGCGATCACTTCCCTGCTCTCCACTTCTGAAGTTCCAGGCCCGTGTGTCTGGGGCTGTTCCCCAGCCAGAGTCCCGTGGCTGCTCCTCCCTGTGGCCTCTCCCTAGAGCACACTTGTAGGTCTCGGCTGTCCTGAGTGGGCCAGTGGCTCCCTGGTGGCACCATCTGAACCTCACCAGCTCTGGCTGCGGCTGCAGCTGGTGCCGCGTGCCTGGCGTGGTTTGGATCACGGCGCCAGCTTCCCTGTGTCTGTGTGCAGGGGAGGGCAGCCATGTGCTCTGCACTGTGCCGCTCTGCTGAGCACTCCTACACCGCTGTCTGGGGCTCAGCCCGAGGGTTCACTGCCAAGCTCAGTGCGGGCCCGTCTGCACCCATGTTCTGTGAACTTGTCCTCTATGCCCTTCACCGGGGAAGCCATTTACACTCCCACCTGACAGAACAGAGCCCACACAGCCTCCTCCCTAGGATCCACCCTGCAGGCTGAACCTCAGGCTGCCAGCCAGGCTCCTTCCCCTCTAAGGCCCACAGAGGCCCACTTTCCCTCTTGGGGTGGACCTCAGGGTGTCAGCCCAGGCTCCTTCCCCTCTAAGTCCCACAGAGGCCCACTTTCCCTCTTGGAGTAGACCTCAGGGTGTCAGCCCAGGCTCCTTCCCCTCTAAGTCCCACAGAGGCCCACTTTCCCTCTTGGGGTGGACCTGGCTGCCGGCCAGGCTCCTTCCCCTCTAAGTCCCACAGAGGCCCACTTTCCCTCTTGGGGTGGACCTCAGGCTGCCGGCCAGGCTCCTTCCCCTCTAAGTCTTTCTGTCTTGGGGTGGACCTCAGGGTGTCAGCCAGGCTCCTTCCCCTCTAAGTCCCACAGAGGCCCACTTTCCCTCTTGGGGTGGAGACTGGGAATCCACTGGTGATGTCTAAGGCAGTTTTGGTTGTCAAAGGCCAACATCCCCAGCTGCATGCCGACCACACAGAACTGGCCCCGGTATGGGCACAAGCAAGTACTCAGGAACAGAGGATGCAGAGGGGCTGGGAGCCACCCACAGGAGGACGGGGACAGTACAGAGGAGGTCATCCTCAGGAGGACAGGGGACAGTACAGAGGTCATCCTCAGGAGGATGGGGACAGTACAGAGGTCATACTCAGGAGGACAGCGACAGTACAGAGGAGGTCATCCTCAGGAGGATGGGGACAGTACAGAGGTCATCCTCAGGAGGACGGGGACAGTACAGAGGTCATCCTCAGGAGGACGGGGACAGTACAGAGGTCATCCTCAGGAGGACAGGGGACAGTACAGAGGTCATCCTCAGGAGGACAGGGGACAGTACAGAGGAGGTCATCCTCAGGAGGACAGGGGACAGTACAGAGGTCATCCTCAGGAGGACAGGGGACAGTACAGAGGTCATCCTCAGGAGGACAGGGGACAGTACAGAGGAGGTCATCCTCAGGAGGACAGGGGACAGTACAGAGGAGGTCATCCTCAGGAGGACGGGGACAGTACAGAGGAGGTCATCCTCAGGAGGATGGGGACAGTACAGAGGAGGTCATCCTCAGGAGGACAGGGGACAGTACAGAGGTCATCCTCAGGAGGATGGGGACAGTACAGAGGAGGTCATCCTCAGGAGGACAGGGGACAGTACAGAGGAGGTCATCCTCAGGAGGACAGGGGACAGTACAGAGGTCATCCTCAGGAGGACAGGGGATAGTACAGAGGTCATCCTCAGGAGGACAGGGGACAGTACAGAGGTCATCCTCAGGAGGACAGGGGACAGTACAGAGGAAGTCATCCTCAGGAGGACGGGGACAGTACAGAGGAGGTCATCCTCAGGAGGACGGAAAGGAGCACAGTCTAGGCAGGGCCATGGAGGGATCTGGAGCTCCCTGGGGGGCCGGGGGGGGTCTGGGGGCCATGGAGGGATCTGGAGCTCCCTGGGGGCCAGGGGGGGTCTGGGGGCCATGGAGGGATCTGGAGTTCCCTGGGGGCCAGGGGGGGTCTGGGGGCCATGGAGGGATCTGGAGCTCCCTGGGGGCCAGGGGGGGTCTGGGGGCCATGGAGGGATCTGGAGCTCCCTGGGGGCCAGGGGGGGTCTGGGGGCCATGGAGGGATCTGGAGTCCCCTGGGGGCCAGGAGGGTCTGGGGGCCATGGAGGGATCTGGAGCTCCCTGGGGGCCAGGGGGGGTCTGGGGGCCATGGAGGGATCTGGAGTTCCCTGGGGGCCAGGGGGGGTCTGGGGGCCATGGAGGGATCTGGAGCTCCCTGGGGGCCGGGGGGGGTCTGGGGGCCATGGAGGGATCTGGAGTCCCCTGGGGGCCAGGAGGGTCTGGGGGCCATGGAGGGATCTGGAGCTCCCTGGGGGCCAGGGGGGGTCTGGGGGCCATGGAGGGATCTGGAGCTCCCTGGGGGCCAGGGGGGGTCTGGGGGCCATGGAGGGATCTGGAGCTCCCTGGGGGGCCGGGGGGGTCTGGGGGCCATGGAGGGATCTGGAGCTCCCTGGGGGCCAGGGGGGGTCTGGGGGCCATGGAGGGATCTGGAGTCCCCTGGGGGGCCGGGAGGGTCTGGGGGCCATGGAGGGATCTGTAACCCCCCTGGGGGGCCAGGGGGGTCTGGGTCCCTGGGTGGGACCATGGTGTCTGGAGGCCTCTGGGAGCAGGTCTGGAGCCCCCCTCCCCTCACCTTGAAGGTGGTGGTCAGCTTCTGCTCCATGCTGGCAAACAGGCTGGTGGAAGTCTTGTACTGCTGCTTCAGCTGCGTCTGGAGCTGCAGCAGAGCTGCCAGCTGTGAGCTGCTGGTGTTGGCCGTGGCCTTGAGCAGCACCTCCTGCATCATCTCCGAGGCTGAGCAACTCTGACACAGACCAGGATGGTGGTCATGTATGTGCAGCGTGACCCCTGTGGGCCCGGGGGGGGGGCAGAAGCTGGGCAGGCACACAGTGGTGATTCCTGGGTAGACCTCTGACTACACTGGCCTTTGGCCACGCAGGGGGTCCTGAGGACGCGCCACTGGTGGACCCGCAGGGCCGAGGAGAGGGGGCAGACTGCCTTGGGGCTGCCTAGGCCTGTCTCTTTTACCCGGGTGCACCCCACAGCCAAGACCCCAGCTTCAGGCTGGCCGGTGGGCGCCGTGGTTGCGCCCGGTGCCCGGGGCAGGGCCGTACCTGAGACAGAGCCAGAAACTGGCAGGTGGAGGCGGGGTCCAGGGTGCCGGTGCACTCCACCATCTCCAGGCTGGCAGCGGCCGCGATCTTTGTGAGCTTGTTGCCCAGGGCGGTGTGCAGGCACTGCAGCAGCACTTCAGAGGCCTGGGCCAGGTACCGCTGGGCCATCACCATCCTCTTCTGCGGGCCAGAGAGGCTCAGCCTCAGGCTCCCCGGCGGAGACCGCTGAGGGACCGGGAGCGGGGAGGGGGGCTCCGGCACACCCACCTTCAGACTCTCGGCCTTCTTGCTGTGCTTCTTGGGGGCGTCCTTGAAGGGCGGCGGCTCCCGCACGAAGAGCTCTGGGCTCTTTATTTCGGCCTCCATCTCCAGGGATCGCAGCCGGCTCACCTTGGCCCCCATCTAGGGCACACACAGGGCTGGGCAGCTCCCGGACTCCTCCCGGCCAGGGGCCGGGGCGGGCCCCATCTATCACGGCCCTCGGCGCCTGCTCTGCCCAAGATGGGCTTTGTGGATGTGGAAGGGCCACGGCTTGAGAGGCGCCGATGACCATGAGTGGCGGCCAGGGTGCAGGTAAACCGAGGGAGCAGACCAGCACCACAGGCCCAGTCACTACCATGGCTCCTCCTGTCCCGTCCTCCACCCCGGAATCTCCCACTGCACGTCCTCCACTCCAGTGCTCCACCCCGGAATCTCCCACTGCACGTCCTCCACTCCAGTGCTCCACCCCGGAATCTCCCACTGTACGTCCTCCACTCCAGTCCTCCACCCCGGAATCTCCCACTGCGCGCGTCCTCCACCCCAGAATCTCCCACTGCGCGTCCTCCACTCCAGTGCTCCACCGCGGAATCTCCCACTGCACGTCCTCCACTCCAGTCCTCCACCCTGGAATCTCCCACTGCGCGTCCTCCACTCCAGTGCTCCACCCCGGAATCTCCCACTGCGCATCCTCCACTCCAGTCCTCCAGCCCGGAATCTCCCACTGCGCATCCTCCACTCCAGTGCTCCACCCCGGAATCTCCCACTGCGCGTCCTCCACTCCAGTGCTCCACCCCGGAATCTCCCACTGCGCGTCCTCCACTCCAGTGCTCCACCCCTGACATTCCCACTGCGCGTCCTCCACTCCAGTGCTCCACCCCGGAATCTCCCACTGTGCGTCCTCCAATCCAGTGCTCCACCCCTGACATTCCCACTGCGCGTCCTCCACTCCAGTCCTCCACCCCAGAATCTCCCACTGCGCGTCCTCCACTCCAGTGCTCCACCCCGGAATCTCCCACTGCGCGTCCTCCACTCCAGTGCTCCACCCCGGAATCTCCCACTGCGCGTCCTCCACTCCAGTCCTCCACCCCGGAATCTCCCACTGCGCGTCCTCCACTCCAGTGCTCCACCCCGGAATCTCCCACTGCGCGTCCTCCACTCCAGTCCTCCACCCCGGAATCTCCCACTGCGCGTCCTCCACTCCAGTCCTCCACCCCGGAATCTCCCACTGCGCGTCCTCCACTCCAGTGCTCCACCCCGGAATCTCCCACTGCGCGTCCTCCACTCCAGTCCTCCACCCCGGAATCTCCCACTGCGCGTCCTCCACTCCAGTGCTCCACCCCGGAATCTCCCACTGTCCGTCCTCCACTCCAGTCCTCCACCCCGGAATCTCCCACTGCGCGTCCTCCACTCCAGTCCTCCACCCTGGAATCTCCCACTGCGCGTCCTCCACTCCAGTCCTCCACCCCGGAATCTCCCACTGCGCGTCCTCCACTCCAGTGCTCCACCCCGGAATCTCCCACTGCGCGTCCTCCACTCCAGTCCTCCACCCCGGAATCTCCCACTGTGCGTCCTCCACTCCAGTCCTCCACCCCGGAATCTCCCACTGCGCGTCCTCCACTCCAGTCCTCCACCCCTGACATTCCCACTGTGCGTCCTCCACTCCAGTGCTCCACCCCGGAATCTCCCACTGCGCGTCCTCCACTCCAGTGCTCCACCCCGGAATCTCCCACTGCGCGTCCTCCACTCCAGTCCTCCACCCCGGAATCTCCCACTGCGCGTCCTCCACTCCAGTCCTCCACCCCGGAATCTCCCACTGCGCGTCCTCCACTCCAGTCCTCCACCCCGGAATCTCCCACTGCGCGTCCTCCACTCCAGTCCTCCACCCCGGAATCTCCCACTGCGCGTCCTCCACTCCAGTGCTCCACCCCGGAATCTCCCACTGCGCGTCCTCCACTCCAGTCCTCCACCCCGGAATCTCCCACTGCGCGTCCTCCACTCCAGTCCTCCACCCCGGAATCTCCCACTGCGCGTCCTCCACTCCAGTGCTCCACCCCGGAATCTCCCACTGCGCGTCCTCCACTCCAGTGCTCCACCCCGGAATCTCCCACTGCGCGTCCTCCACTCCAGTGCTCCACCCCGGAATCTCCCACTGCGCGTCCTCCACTCCAGTCCTCCACCCTGGAATCTCCCACTGCGCGTCCTCCACTCCAGTCCTCCACCCCGGAATCTCCCACTGTCCGTCCTCCACTCCAGTGCTCCACCCCGGAATCTCCCACTGTGCGTCCTCCACTCCAGTCCTCCACCCCTGACATTCCCACTGTGCATCCTCCACTCCAGCCCTCCCCTCCCGAGGCTCCCACTGTCCAGTTCTTTAGAAAAGCCCTCCCTGCCTGTCAGTGTGGTCAGTATGAAGCACTCTCCCAGAGTGGCCAGGAGACAGACACTAAGTGAGGGAAGCGAATGCAGGCAGGCAAGGGAGCAGGCCCTGAAGATTGGGTAGAGGCGGAGAGGTGGAGAGGGCCTGGGCTTGTGGGATCAGAAGATGTTGCTTTGGTAAGAAGCTGAATGCCCTCTCAGTTGCTGGCAGACTAAGTGGGTAAGAAGCCATCCTATGCACAGAGGCCTGGCAGCCTTGACCCAGAAGACAATGTCCCTTGTGCTGGCCACACTGCCCCCCCACCCGCAGTGCTGGCCAAGCTGTAGGGAGCACCCACCAAAACCCAGGCTGGGTCCACACCCAGCCTCTACAAAGCCCAGAGATACCGAGCTTGTTTTGAAGCACAGTGGACTCATACTAGAGGCTGCAAACACCAAACCTGCCTTGAAATTAAACACTGTCCTTAGAGTCATGAAGTTGGTCAAGGAATCTGAAAAAATCTCAAGCTGTGGGATCTGAAAGCACCTCAAACTGACACGGAGAACAATACTACCCACCAAACGATGGGGCTTTGTCAAGACAGGGCTTAGAGGAAAGACCCTGACTGTGAGAATGGAAAGGCTGGAAGGCTTTAGTTTCTAGAAGCCCTGAGGCAGCAGGCAGCCACATCTAAGAGAAAAGAAGGGAGCTGGGGCGGGGGACGGGGGCCTGGTGCTGCGTTTCTGGAGCCTCCTGGGCCCATGTAGGGCCAGCACGCTTGGGGCCAGGGCTGCATGCCACCTGCAGCATCCCACCAAGAACACGCCAGGCTCTGTGTGGCAGCCAGACAGGTTCTCACGGCCCTAGCAGGCTCCGTCCGTTCACCCAGCAAAAGCCCCATCCTGCCCAGGGGCTGGCCTGGCTGGGAGCCCGCTGGATGCAGGGCTGGCTGGGACACAGGCCAGCTAGGCCGGCCTGGAGGGGTTTGTCTGTTGGGCAGGTGCTGGGGCGTCCAGGGCGTGCAGGACTCTGATGGGCAGGGAGCGAGGGCCTTCGAGAGGCTCCTGTGTGCTCTGAGTGGCCGGCAACTGGGAGTGGAGACTGCTTTCTGGCTCCCTGGCTGTGGGGGTGGGGGTGGCCTGGAGGTGGGCCAGTGTGGGGGGCTCGCCCAGGGAGCCTGTGTTCCTCAGGCACAGACATAGCAGAATGCGCCCTGAGTCAAGAGCCAGGCACCTACCAAGAGGCCCTCCTCCCAGCAGAAGGAGGAGCGCACGGGGTCTGTCTGTACCGCCAGCAGGCGCAGGGCTCTCCCGACCAGGCCCAGGAACTTGGCTCGGATTTCCACACAGCCCACGCACAGTGGCTGCATGCTCTCTAGCTGCACCAGCGACATGTGCACCAGGGTCCGCTTCAGGGTGAACCATTGCTTCCAAGATAAGGAGGCCTGGTCACCATGGTGCTTGGGAACCTGCCCAGCCCGGAAGCCCACAGGCCCCCCCCCAGCCCTCCCCTGGAAGCCCCTCCCCCCGCCCACAGGCCTCCCCCCAGCCCTGCCCAGCCCGGAAGCCCACAGGCCTCCCCCCAGCCCTGCCCAGCCCAGCCCAGCCCGGAAGCCCACAGGCCTCCCCCCAGCCCTCCCCTGGAAGCCCCCCCCCGTCCACAGGCCTCCCCCCAGCCCTGCCCAGCCCTGCCCAGCCCAGAAGCCCACAGGCCTCCCCCCAGCCCTGCCCAGACCAGAAGCCCACAGGCCCCCCCCAGCCCTCCCCTGGAAGCCCCTCCCCCCGCCCACAGGCCTCCCCCCAGCCCTGCCCAGACCAGAAGCCCACAGGCCTCCCCCCAGCCCTGCCCAGCCCGGAAGCCCACAGGCCCCCCCCCAGCCCTGCCCAGCCCGGAAGCCCACAGGCCTCCCCCCAGCCCTCCCCTGGAAGCCCCCCCCCGTCCACAGGCCTCCCCCCAGCCCTGCCCAGACCAGAAGCCCACAGGCCTCCCCCCAGCCCTGCCCAGCCCGGAAGCCCACAGGCCTCCCCCCAGCCCTGCCCAACCTGGAAGCCCACAGGCCCCCCCCAGCCCTCCCCTGGAAGCCCCCCCCGCCCACAGGCCCCCCTCCAGTGCTGCACTGTGGAACTTCAGGCTCTCTGAGCAGCTTCCTGTGCCATGCAGCCCTGTGGACCATTGGGTCTCCAGGGCTTGGGCATCAAAAGGGCCACAAAAGTTCTCCTATAACCTCAAGTCCAATTTTAGGGCTATTTCTGATCCTAAATATTTAATACTATAATACGTTCAATATATAGTATATTCATTTCAAATTAAATTGATTCATTCTTCATAACATCTAAAAAAAGGTAAAGCAGCAGAAAATTGTTTCTTTCCAAGTTGGGTATTTCCACATGCCCAGCTTTCTTTCTGGAACCAGAGCCTTCTACAGCCTAGGCAAGCGCCATTAGCGTATGTTTTGTTTTGAAGCTAGCATTAAGGGATTTAGTGAGCCCTTCGGTGTGCTAGGAATGCTAAACGCAAAGCCCAGGGCACTGGCGCGGGTGGCCGGGGCTGGGCTGGGGCTGTGTGCGGTCACCAGGCCGATGGGAGAGTCGTCTCTGCTCTCCATGAATTCCTCCAGCAGCTTCTCCACGGAGCCGCGGTCCTGGTGCCGCTCCAGCTTCTCCCGCCACATGAACTGCATGAGGTCCAGGCAGGCCTTCCCCAGGTGGAGCTTGAGGCGTGCCAGCCTCCGCATCAGCGGGGAGTTCACGTTCTGTAACTGGAGGGGCGGGGCGGCCCGCGTACCCGCCGGGGGACCACGGGCCCATGCTGCAGTCAGCCCTCCATCCCCTACACCGCGTACCCCCGCCGGGGGACCACGGGCCCATGCCTAGTCACCCATCCTACTACCACCCAGCGGGTGACAACAGACCCATGCCTAATCTACCCCCATCCTACATCACCACCCAGGTACAGATGACGTACACCTATTCATACCACCATTGAGGTACAGAGATCTTACACCTACTCACACCACCATTGAGGTAAAGAGATCTTACACCTATTCTCACCACCACCGAGGTCGGGAAGCTGGCTTACACCTCAGTTTCCCAGGATCCCGGGGCTCCCCCTACCTACTCCCTCCAAAGTGAGCACATGACCATTTGAGGCTACAGTTGTGATAAGGTCTCATCTCCTGTGTCCACGCTGCTGCGTGCACACTGTCCTTTTTTCTAGCGGAGTGTTTTTCGCAGTATGGTGTGCTGCCTTTTATCTAAGCACCCGGTCCTATTCCAGTTTGGGGTTACTGCAAGGAGAGCTGCTCTGAGCTCCGCTCACAGGAGCCTGGCGCGTGGGGCTCCCATCTCCCCCAGCGCATCTCTTACAAGGCTGCATGTTGTGAAACTACAACTTACACCAGGTGTTCAAAAGTCTCCGAGCCCTTCCCCTCCACTCGGCACCACCTGACGCCACCCCGGGAAGCCTGAGCCTCGATTCCTCTGGCCACATCCCGTGTTTCATGTATCCTGTCTGGGTTGGGGAGTGCATCTAGCCTCCGTTAGAGTGAAGGTCATCTGGTTGGAGAGAAGCTGGGACAGTGAGCAGGAGGGAGGCGGGGCCAGGGCTGATACGTACGTCCTGGAGTGACAGCAGCCCCTGAATCCTGTGGAACAGCACCTCCTCCTCAGCCACAGCCCTCCTGGCCACATCATAGGCTTCCAGGTAATAGGTGATCTTCTGTTCTTCGTCTTTCTCCTTTCGGGCACACAACCTTCAAACAACATGACAAAGATGTTAAAGCAAATAAATGTCATTAGTACTGATTAATATATAACGTATAATCTCCACATAATTATACTGTATCTGTTATTACATTTATAGTTGGGTGTTTTTCTCTGGGGGAGGGGGTGGTCCTGGGGTTTGAACTCTGGGACTGGGCACTGTCCCTGAACTTCTTTTGCTCAAGACAGGCATTTTACCACTTGAGCCACAGCGCCCCTTCTAGCTTTTCCTTTCCTTTCTTTTCTTTTTTGGTAATTTATTGGAGATAAGAGTTTCATGGACTTTCTTGCCTGGGCTGGCTTCAAACTGTGATCCTCAGGTCTCAGCCTCCTGAGTGGCTGGGATTATAGGTGTAAGCCACCAGCGTCTGGCTTGTTGGATGTCTAGATATGTTTATGCTATTTACTTATTGTGTGGGTCCTGGGGCCTGAACTCAGGGCTTGGGCACTGTCCTTAAGCTATTTCGCTCAAGGCTAGCACGTTGCCACTGGAGCCACAGCTCCATGCTGCTTTTTGCTGGCTGACTGGAGTGAGAGCCAGCGATGGGCCTTCCGGGAAGTTAGGAGCACTGCCGTCTGCTCACTCAGGACTGGGGTGCTGGGTGGGTGGCTGGGGAGGCGAGGGGTGGACGCTGCCCTGGGAGGGCGGGTGGGGCCAGAGCTCCCCGGGCACGGCCAGTGCGGGTGCGGCCCTCCTCGGCCGCCGGGCCCCAGCACGCACCTCTTGAGCTTGGCACGGGCAATCCTCACGTTCATGCAGTCCGTTTCGTACCCGCAGTTGGAACACTTCTCCTCCATGTCCACCAGGTGCTTGTCTATCTCCTTCAGCAGGAACAGGCTCTCCAGGGACTCGCTGGCAGCGGTTGAGCCCTGGGCCATCTTCAGCTGGAGGTACACGCACCTGTGGGTGGGGCCTCTTCAGGGGCGGGGCCTCTTCAGGGGTGAGGCAGGGGCGGGGCCTCCCAGATGACAGTGCCTCTCCAGGGGGTGGGGCCTCTCCAGGGGCAGGGCCTCTTCAGGGGCGGGGCCTCTTCAGGGGGTGGGGCCTCTTCAGGGGGTGGGGGCCTCTTCAGGGGGTGGGGGCCTCTTCAGGGGCAGGGCCTCTTCAGGGGGGTGGGCCTCTTCAGGGGCAGGCCTCTTCAGGGGCGGGGCCTCTCCAGAGGGGCGGGGCCTCTCCAGGGGGCGGGGCCTCTCCAGGGGCAGGGCAGAGTCAGAAGCCCAGAGTACAGCAGTGCCCCTCAGTGCCCACCACGGTTGCTGATCAAGCACTTAGGGCCTTGTTCTCTCCCAGGCTGGAACACATACAGCCTTGCTCCCCCATCATGTGGAAGGAAGTTGAATTAACAGACCCTGTGCAGGTTCAAAACCAGTTCAAAACCTGAATTGCACATGGGGACATGAGACCCAGGCTAAAATGGCCAGGCACAGTGTCTGTCTCTAGACAGATGAATGGCTGTCTGGATGCAGGTCACACCTCACAAGAGGAAGCGCGACAGAAAACAGCAAGGTGGAAATCCCCTGTCCACAAGTCCAGTGCTTCCTCCAGCGAGCACAGTGCCCAGAGCCAGGCCAGGTGCACAAGATGGGGCCTAGCTGCGCTGCTGAGGCGAGGGGCTCAGTGTGAGCCGGCCTGGAAGATGGCTCCAATGGAGGACAGTCACCAGCAGCTCACCTAGCCTCTAGGTCCAAGATGAAGAACTCCAGCATGGGTTCCTGGTTGGGCCGTTCTTTCTGGAGGATTCTGAAGCCATCGATGAGTTTTTGATACAGGCAGCAAACCTGGGGGTGAGCAGGCACCGGCATGACTGCATCACTCAGCAGGGCAGGGGCCAGAACACTGCCAGGGGCCAGAGCCCAGCCCAGGGGACAGAACTCAGTCCAGAGGACAGAGCCCAGACCAGGGACCAGAGCCCAGCCCAGGGGACAGAGCCCAGACCAGGGGACAGAGCCCAGCCCAGGGGAAAGAGCCCAGCCCAGGGGACAGAGCCCAGCCCAGAGGACAGAGCCCAGCCCAGGGGACAGAGCCCGGCCCAGAGGACAGAGTCCGGCCCAGAGGACAGAGTCTAGCCCAGGGGACAGAACACTGCCAGGGGCCAGAGCCCAGCCCAGGGGCCAGAGCCCAGCCCAGGGGACAGAACACTGCCAGGGGCCAGAGCCCAGTCCAGGGGACAGAGCCCAGCCCAGGGGACAGAGCCCAGCCCAGGGAAAAGAGCCCAGCCCAGGGGAAAGAGCCCAGCCCAGGGGACAGAGCCCGGACCAGGGGACAGAGCCCAGCCCAGAGGACAGAGCCCAGCCCAGGGGACAGAGCCCAGCCCAGGGGACAGAGCCCAGCCCAGGGGACAGAGCCCGGCCCAGAGGACAGAGCCCGGCCCAGGGGACAGAGCGCAGCCCAGGGGACAGAGTCCAGCCCAGAGGACAGAGCCCAGCCCAGAGGACAGAGCCCAGCCCAGGGGACAGAGCCCAGCCCAGGGGACAGAGCCCAGCCCAGGGGACAGAGCCCAGCCCAGGGGACAGAGCCCAGCCCAGGGGACAGAGCCCGGCCCAGAGGACAGAGCCCAGCCCAGGGGACAGAGCGCAGCCCAGGGGACAGAGTCCAGCCCAGGGGACAGAGCCCAGCCCAGAGGACAGAGCCCAGCCCAGGGGACAGAGCCCAGCCCAGGGGACAGAGCCCAGCCCAGGGGACAGAGTCCAGCCCAGGGGACAGAGCCCAGCCCAGAGGACAGAGCCCAGCCCAGGGGACAGAGCCCAGCCCAGGGGACAGAGCCCAGCCCAGGGGACAGAGCCCAGCCCAGAGGACAGAGCCCAGCCCAGGGGACAGAGCCCGGCCCAGGGGACAGAGCCCGGCCCAGGGGACAGAGCCCGGCCCAGGGGACAGAGCCCGGCCCAGGGGACAGAGCCCGGCCCAGGGGACAGAGCCCAGCCCAGGGGAGAGAGCCCAGCCCAGGGGACAGAGTCCAGCCCAGGGGACAGAGCCCAGCCCAGGGGACAGAGCCCGGCCCAGAGGACAGAGCCCAGCCCAGGGGACAGAGCGCAGCCCAGGGGACAGAGTCCAGCCCAGAGGACAGAGCCCAGCCCAGAGGACAGAGCCCAGCCCAGGGGACAGAGCCCAGCCCAGAGGACAGAGCCCAGCCCAGAGGACAGAGCCCAGCCCAGGGGACAGAGCGCAGCACAGGGGACAGAGCCCAGCCCAGGGGACAGAGCCCAGCCCAGGGGACAGAGTCCAGCCCAGGGGACAGAGTCCAGCCCAGGGGACAGAGCCCGGCCCAGGGGACAGAGCCCGGCCCAGGGGACAGAGCCCGGCCCAGGGGACAGAGCCCAGCCCAGGGGACAGAGCCCGGCCCAGGGGACAGAGCCCGGCCCAGGGGACAGAGCCCAGCCCAGGGGACAGAGCCCGGCCCAGGGGACAGAGCCCGGCCCAGAGGACAGAGCCCGGCCCAGGGGACAGAGCCCGGCCCAGGGGACAGAGCCCAGCCCAGGGGACAGAGCCCGGCCCAGGGGACAGAGCCCAGCCCAGGGGACAGAGCGCAGCCCAGGGGACAGAGCCCAGCCCAGGGGACAGAGCCCAGCCCAGAGGACAGAGTGCAGCCCAGGGGACAGAGCCCAGCCCAGGGGACAGAGCGCAGCCCAGGGGACAGAGTCCAGCCCAGAGGACAGAGCCCAGCCCAGGGGACAGAGCCCAGCCCAGGGGACAGAGCCCAGCCCAGGGGACAGAGCCCAGCCCAGGGGACAGAGCCCGGCCCAGGGGACAGAGCCCAGCCCAGAGGACAGAGCCCGGCCCAGGGGACAGAGCCCGGCCCAGGGGACAGAGCCCAGCCCAGGGGACAGAGCCCGGCCCAGGGGACAGAGCCCAGCCCAGGGGACAGAGCCCGGCCCAGGGGACAGAGCCCAGCCCAGGGGACAGAGTCCAGCCCAGGGGACAGAGTCCAGCCCAGGGGACAGAGTGCAGCCCAGGGGACAGAGCCCGGCCCAGGGGACAGAGTCCGGCCCAGGGGACAGAGCACAGCCCAGGGGACAGAGCCCGGCCCAGAGGACAGAGCCCAGCCCAGGGGACAGAGTCCAGCCCAGGGGACAGAGTGCAGCCCAGGGGACAGAGCCCAGCCCAGGGGACAGAGCCCAGCCCAGGGGACAGAGCCCAGCCCAGGGGACAGAGCCCAGCCCAGGGGACAGAGCCCAGCCCAGGGGACAGAGCCCAGCCCAGGGGACAGAGCCCAGCCCAGGGGACAGAGCCTGGCCCAGAGGACAGAGCCCAGCCCAGGGGACAGAGTCCAGCCCAGGGGACAGAGTGCAGCCCAGGGGACAGAGCCCAGCCCAGGGGACAGAGCCCAGCCCAGGGGACAGAGCCCAGCCCAGGGGACAGAGCCCAGCCCAGGGGACAGAGTCCAGCCCAGGGGACAGAACACAGCCCAGGGGACAGAGCCCAGCCCAGGGGACAGAACACAGCCCAGGGGACAGAGCGCAGCCCAGGGGACAGAGTCCAGCCCAGGGGACAGAACACAGCCCAGGGGACAGAGCCCAGCCCAGGGGACAGAACACAGCCCAGGGGACAGAGCGCAGCCCAGGGGACAGAGCCCAGCCCAGGGGACAGAGTCCAGCCCAGGGGACAGAGCCCAGCCCAGGGGACAGAGCCCAGCCCAGGGGACAGAACACAGCCCAGGGGACAGAGCGCAGCCCAGGGGACAGAGCGCAGCCCAGGGGACAGAGCCCGGCCCAGGGGACAGAGCCCAGCCCAGGGGACAGAGCCCGGCCCAGGGGACAGAGTCCAGCCCAGGGGACAGAGCCCAGCCCAGGGGACAGAGCCCGGCCCAGGGGACAGAGCCCAGCCCAGGGGACAGAGCCCGGCCCAGGGGACAGAGTCCAGCCCAGGGGACAGAGCCCAGCCCAGGGGACAGAGCCCGGCCCAGGGGACAGAGCCCAGCCCAGGGGACAGAGCCCAGCCCAGGGGACAGAGCCCGGCCCAGGGGACAGAGTCCAGCCCAGGGGACAGAGTCCAGCCCAGGGGACAGAGCCCAGCCCAGGGGACAGAGCCCAGCCCAGGGGACAGAGCCCGGCCCAGGGGACAGAGCACAGCCCAGGGGACAGAGTCCAGCCCAGGGGACAGAGTCCGGCCCAGGGGACAGAGCCCGGCCCAGGGGACAGAGCCCGGCCCAGGGGACAGAGCCCGGCCCAGAGGACAGAGCCCAGCCCAGGGGACAGAGCCCGGCCCAGAGGACAGAGCCCGGCCCAGGGGACAGAGCCCGGCCCAGGGGACAGAGCCCGGCCCAGGGGACAGAGCACAGCACAGGGGACAGAGTCCAGCCCAGGGGACAGAGCCCAGCCCAGGGGACAGAGCCCTCAGTGTTCCCCCTCAGCACCTCTGTTTGCTCTCACCGAGACTTCTTTCCCCGTGTCCTCTGAAGACAGAATGGCCTCAGCCAGGGTCACGGTGGACTTGTACCAGAACTCCTCGCTCCCTCCCAGCTGCTGGGCCTTCTCGATCATTCTCCTTGCTCGTCCATAGTTGTTCTCCTTGTTGGCCAGCTGCGCCAGGAGCAGGAGACACTGGGACTGTGCACACGGGTCTTCCAGGTCCTGGAAGTATATGGCAGACTGTGGATGTAGCAGAGGCGAGGAGGTGGGGTGAGGGGCAGAGGCGAAGAGAGGAGGGTGGAGGTGCAGCTCAGGGACTGCCTGGGCCTTGGGCCTTTCCCCCTGGTCCTAGGCTTCCCTGGCTGCTGAAGGAGGAGGCCCCCATCTTCTCCCAGGGGTGAAATCTACACACGCAGCGTTCCATCAGGGACCTGCGTCTTCCAGTGTCCCCGTGGGACCAGTGCCCACCACGGTAGACAGAGTCCCCGGGGAGCTGCAGGTCCCCGCTCTTGCCCTCTGCCCTGCCCCAGGCCTGACAGCCCCTTCCCTAGTGCTGTGGACCAGTCTTACTGGCCACTGGAACTGGGTCAACAGGCTGTCTGGCTGGACTGCCAGGAACTGCCCGGGGGGTGGGGGGGTGTGGAATTCTCTTCTGTGGAAGAGCACTTCTGGCTTCTGGGCCATGCCGGCACAAGGCTGTAAGGTGGGTGACAAGAGGGGCCGAGGCAGAGGGGACGGGTCCCCAGAAGCCAGGCCAGCCATGGCCACGCTGGCCACCAGGGCCAGGCTCCCGTGGGGTGGGTCATGCGGGGTGGGTGTCTCCGGCCAGAAGGAAGATGAGGAGGGAGGCGTAGACCCAGGCAGGACTTGGCCTGGGCATGTGGGGCGGGCATTACTGCAGCCCAGGTGGAGAGGCCGCACTTCCAGACACCCACAGGAAATGCTCTTGAGTGAAAAGCCCCACAGGCAGGGACACCTCCTCCTCAACCCCACTGCCCAGGGCTGGTGCACACCTGTTCTGTGGGGATGTGGGGTACCTGACCCCACTGTCGCTTCGTCTGATCCCTCCTGCCTGATGTCTGCCACCCCTGTTCTTCCTACACTGGCGCCTGTGCGTACCCATCCTCAGGCCGGAACCCGACACAAACCCGGCTCCCACACCAGAGCCCGCACACAGCTGCCCCCTGGAGGCCTGCTTGGCCCTGACTCCTTCTGTGATGCCTGCACACGCCTGTCCTCCTGCGCGCTGCCCTGACTCCTTCTGTGATGCCTGCACACGCCTGTCCTCCTGCGTGCTGCCCTGACTCCTTCTGTGATGCCTGCACACGCCTGTCCTCCTGCGTGCTGCCCTGACTCCTTCTGTGATGCCTGCACACGCCTGTCCTCCTGCGTGCTGCCCGTGCTGCCCCGCACACACCTCTCTCTAAAGCTGCACGTGTCTGTCTCATGCCTTGACACCCACACGCACCTGTCCCCTGCCTGCAGCCTGCACACCGGCTCCTCTGCCAGACACAGGAGTGCACCCTTCCTCTGTCTGATGCCTGCACACCCGTGTGTGCCCACCCCTGACGCCCACCCCTGCCTGCCTCTGTCTGGGTGGGGCATCTGCAGCTGTCCCCCAGCAGGAGGAAGTCTGATCCACACAGGCTTTTATGGTGTCACTGCATTTTCAAACCATTTTCTCTCCTGCAATGCTTCTGTAAAACGAGCCACAGGATGCCCATTTCTGGGCCTGGCCTGTCCCCCAGTGCTGTCCGGTGGAGGTAGAGCCATGCATCTGCAGGAGGGCTGCAGAGGCGGGGGGCTGGCCCCCCTGAGGAGTGTAAACCACCTCATCCCCTCCAGGTTTCCCACTGTGGACCATCCCTGGGGAGGCGGAGCCCAGTACAGATGCTAGTCTGGAGCCTGGGGCCCCCAGGGTTGAAATGCAGAGGCCGTCTCTGAGAGGGGAGGTGGCGCCACGCATCTCAACCCCAGGCCAACAGCGGCTCCTGGCTGCTCAGGGTGGCACAGGGAGGAGCCACCGGGCTCTTCACAGCTACACAGTGTCCAGCAGACAGATGAATTCAAGCCCCCCCAGGGACTGAGCGAAGACCTGAATGGCCACAGATGCCATGAGGCTCAGAGCTAAGACACATCAGAGGAAGGCCAAGATGGCAGCCCCCGTGGCCAGGATGGCGTCTGCCTCCTGGAGCAGCATCACGGGCTGGCAGGAGACACCCCATGGGTCCCGAGCCCCCCCCCCGCCAGAATTACACCGGGAAGCAAACAGGGAAGCACAAGCATTGGCACACTGGAACCAGAGACTCTATAATCAACAAATTAGAGTAGAAAAGATAGGCAAAGGCTAGGAAGGACAGACCTGCCAGAGAGGCCAGTCCTGCAGAAGGGCGTGGAATGGACTGTGTCTGCCCCCCTGCGCGCAGGAGAGGGGAGCGGCCTGCTGGCCAGGGCTGAGAGCTGCTTGCCTGGAAAGCCTGGTGGGCCTCAGACAGAAGCAGCCGCACAGGCTGGAACTGGTCCATGTCCAGTAGCACTTCAGCCTTCAGTGTCCACAGCAGAGGGTAGGAAGTCCCCTGCAGGCCCTTCCCAGTCTCTCTGTTTATCTCCAAAATCTGCAAGACAGTAGTGAGCGTTCAACCACCTGCCTGCGCTCCGTGACCGGCGCTGGCCAAGGCCCAGACGCCCCTCCGAAGCCTGCACTCCGTGACAGGCGCTGGCCAAGGCCCAGACGCCCCTCCGAAGCCTGCATATTGCCCAAGGTGCCCTTCTCTACTCATGTGCTGCTGCTGGGGCCTCGGGAAGGCCGGGGCCTTGGTGGACAGCCGGGACACATAAATTTCATCTCCCCTGGGGGACTTCCAGGGCCCCGGGCAGCTTGGCGAGGCCCCTGGGTTTGCCACAGCCTACAACTGACTGCACACAGCAAGTTAGCGTTAGCACGCAGCCGGGCCCCTGAAGCTGCTGGCTGTCAATGCTGTGTCCTGGCGGCGTGGGCTCACCTTGTCTTGGGCTATCGGTGGCTTCATCTCCACTGGCTTCCCAGTAGGGACTGGTGCTGGCGACTCCATCAAACTGGGCTTATTTTCTTCTACCATGGGCTCCTTGATCTTCTCCTTTTTAGATGCAATCTCTTTCCTGCAGCTATGGTAAATGAAATAGAGCATGCGGCAGAGCGGAGCCAGTGGCCACTGGTGGTCAGCTGTGGATGCACGCATGCTCTCCTGTCTACAAAGACTGAACACAGCTCTCTCTTTGGAACTATCTGGCACACTGACTCAAACTCTACACACCAAAGCAAACTCCCTGCTGTCTACTCACAGACACTGGCCCAGAGCCCAACAGCCCTACGAGTGCCTAGAGTGCTCCGTTTCAGAGGCCATCATCTGGAAATCAGCCCTCCCACGGCCCCCCAAGTGCTCAGATAATACCCACCAGGGAGCAGGAAAAAGGCAGCCAGGCCTATGGCTTCAGTGGCCATGGTTCTAGAACCTCTCTGAGGAGGTCGGTCTCCACACTTCTAGAACCATTCCAAGGAGGTCGGTCTCCAAACTTCTAGAAGCTCTCTGAGGATATCAGCCCACACTTCTGGAACCATTCGGAATATATCAGTCTCAATTTCAAGCACCTCTCCTTGGAGGTCAGCTTCTACACTTCTAGAAGCTCTCTGAGGATATGTCTTCACACCACTAGAACCTCTTTGAAGAGGTCAGCCTCCACACTTCTAGAACCTCTCTAAGGATATCAGTTTCCACACTTCTAGAATCATTTGGAAGATATCAATCTCTAAACTTCAAGAACCTTTCCTTGGAGGTCAGTCTCTACAGCTCTAGAACCTTTTCTTTGGAGGTCAGCCTCCACATTTATAGAAGTTCTCTGAGGATATCAGTCTCCAAACCTCCAGAACCTCTGCTTGGAGGTCAGCCTCCGTACTTTTAGAATCTCCACACCTCTGGAACCTCTCTGAGGAGGTCAGTCTCCACACGTCTAGAATCTCTCCGATGATGACAGTCTCCACACCTCCGGAACCTCTCTGAGGATATTAGTCTCCACATCCCAGCGCCCCTCTGGGGAGGTCGATGTCTACACCTCCGGAACCGTTCTGGGCGGGTTGGTCTCCAGGCTGTCCTGCCACACCAGGACACTTGGCACCTGGGCCACATTCAAGCAAGGGCTGGGCAAACGCACCATGAAGCTTACAATTATGAGCACAATGGTGTAGAACACCTGCAATCCCAGCTTCTAGGGAGGCAGAGACAGGCGGTGACAGCTGGGTGAGGTGATAAATAATCTCAGCCTTCATTCCCAGACTAGGCAAAAATTCAACCTCAAAAAACTACTAAAAGCCAAAGGAGAGCGGGCTCATGTGGCAGAGTTCCTACCCGGCAAGGGAGGAGAAGCCCTGAGGTCAGGCCCACACTTCTCACCACATTGATCAGAGAAAAATCTACAAGGAGAGTGCATTTTTATCTCCTGGGGAAAATGTATAGAAGGGCATACACCAAACCTCGAATGGCAGCTGCTGCCCAATGATGAGTGACAACATTTACCCTCTTCCTTATCTACACTTTCCAAGCTCAGTACAGTGAAATACATCATCTGTGTAATAAGAAAAACTTAAGCCACCTGGCAGAAACACATAGAAATAGACCTGTGTATAACTGCAGCACAGAAATCCTCCCAGTGGTCTCTAAATCTAAATCACAATTTCTACAAAAATGATCATCAAGCAGTTGGGTTGTTAAGCAGACTGATCCTTGCTCACCTCAAGCACCTGAGTGGCCCACAGATATAGGCACCAGTGAACCATGTGCACCTCTCACCCAGGACCAGAGGGCCCTGCTGCCCTGGGTGGCCCCCGCCTGCCCTACCCCCCCCCCCACTCTCCTCTCCACCCTTCGCGAGCACGGCAGATGAGTGAGACCCAGCCCTCCTCTGTTTCTCCCCTCCCCGGGGGCTCCCTGCCAGGGCAGGGCTGGGCCAGATGACTAGATCTGCCCACAGCAGCCTTCGCCTGCCTGGAGGGAGAGCTCTCTGCCCAGGAGAGGGCGCTGCCAGCAGAAAAGAGTCAGACGCACCTGGCCTGCTCTGTGTCCCCGATGTACATCTGCCCAACAACCTCTTCATGGTAGGCAGCGGCGTCACGAAGCCGCAGGTCAGAGCAGACCTGGGCCAGCCTGAGGGGAGGGTGACAGGGGCGTCACCAGGCGTCAGCCAGGAAGCGACTGTACGGACTGGAGTTTGTAAGCGGAGAGAGAGCTGGGCACTTTGCTGTTTCCCACCCTTTCAAAGCTAAGCAGACATTCTAGGTAACGAGAGCAGGTGCTGTAGCAAAGCTCAGGGAGAAAGATTTAAAGTCGTCCACCGGTATATTTTATTTACTGCGCCATCTCTGCTCTCAGGTGTGTTCAGCAGGAAAGGCCAGGTCCAAAGTGGGGCGGAACCCGGACAGTGTCCAGCAGAGAACTCTGCCCGTGTTGGACATGACTTCAGCCTCACAGAAAGGTCACATGTCCCCCAGGGTGAGCCTGCCGCCTCCCCCTCCTCCTCCTGCTCCTCCTCACAGTGAACACACACTGGCCTCTTGCCCCTGAGCTGCCCCGGGGCGGCACCAACCTCAGGTGGTAGAGGTTTGCGAGGCTCTTGCTCTCCACCACGGCGTTCGCAATGAGGACCCCCAGCTGCAGGAGGGGGATGGTGAGCTCATGGAGGAACATCTTCTTCAGGGCCTTCACCAACTGGTCCAGATAGTACAGCGTGTATGTCTGCAGAAACACAGCAGGTGCACCGGGTCACAGGTCGAAGGGAGGAAGGCTGGCCTCCAACACAGTGCCCAGCACACAGTAGGTCTTCAGCTGGTGTCTGTGGCACAAAAGGAGGATGTACCATCTTTCTTTTCTCCCACATTGATAGATTTCATTTTGCCATGTGCAAAGATATGAAATCACCACACATGAGAGCAGTGAAAGTCTTCCCAAGAGAAATGCCGTTACCTGTCTGTTCAACAAATTCACAGGTATTTTTCTTTTTCTCTTTCCACAAGACTGCTGATCAATCAAAAACAGAGCTTTTGGGTACACATACAACTGCTTTAAGACTTGGGGCACAGGAGAGCTAAGCGTCTGTGATGTTGGGCTGGGCTTGCCAAAGCACTGTTCATCTATGGGAAGCAGGAGGGGCTGGGGGAACATGCCAATGTTTTCACCCAGGAACCACTCAGGAGGCCACTCTAGTTAAGGTCCAGGCTACATGGTGGTCACAGGCAGCCAAGGCTGAGCAGCTCTGGCTAGCCAGGGGATGTGAGCTGAGGTGGTGCTCCGGGGGAAGCCTGTGCACTGTTCAGGAAGAAAGTATGACAGACTGCCAGGAAGTAAGCTTCTGTTCTTTTAAGGACATGAGAAAGCACAAATAACAAAGCAAAAGATCGCTGGCAGTATCAAAAATGAATCATCTCTACTCACAGAAGACCCATCAGTAGATAGAAAGGCAAAAGCAGAAGCTGGCCCAGTAACTGCGGTTAACTTGATTGTCCTAGGACTCTCCCCGTAACAGATTCAATATTCAGAGACGCAGAGAGCTTCATAGGCCATGGGGATGCTGTGGGCAGGCACTTCACAAAAATGCATGTCCAGTGCCCAGGATGCTGGCCGCAGCCCAACGCCACTGTAGGCAGGGCTGTCCATCTGGGCCACAGGTCGGGAAGCCGAGCAGCTCTGCCTGCACAGGTGTGGGTCACTCCCGAGAGACCACCTGTCACTCTACCACCGCTGCTGGGCTCTGCCCAGAAGGCACGTCTTCCAGGCACAGCCCCAAGACATGCAGACTCCAGTGTTCAAAGACTCTGCCCCTAGGCAAGCAGACAGGTAGGCGAGGCCTGACCTCTGCTGCAGATGCTTGAGCGATGAAGGAGGGGCTCCTGGGCACTGAGTGAAAGAAGCCAAACCAGCCGTTACTGGCGGCGTGATTCCACTCCATGCGGCCTCCAGCCAGGAACAAGGGGTGAATTGAATCTGATCCCCAAGTACGGGGCCACCCAGTGCCCAGCCCCTGTGGTGAAGGTTCTGAGGGGCAGGGGCCCCATGGCAGAGGCGGCGAGGGGCTGGCCCTCCCTGCCGGCTGCCTGGCTGTGGACGCGTTCGGGGGATGGGACGGGTACAGAGTGGGGAGGCTGCCCCACACGCAGACGCGGCTGCGCGGGCGCTGGGTCCTGGAGGCCTCTCTGGTGACATTTGGGTGGGACAGGCGTGGCGGTGGGGGTGGCAGTGGGCCTCAGGCAGGGGCCGGCCCCACGTCTCCTCACCGGCTTCTGGAAGCTGCTTGCGTTCACCGTGAAGTCGCTGTCGTCCTGCCTGAGCACGGTCAGCAGCTCCTCGGGGCAACTGTAGGAGGCCCACTCCTCCGTGCTGCTCGGTAACTCTTCGGGCCTCTTGTTAGCCAGGACCTGCGCCAGCAAGGCGGAGAAGCCGCCGTGTGCCAAGGCTGCCGGGCGGGGCGGGGGTGGTCCTGGGCCACCCACCCCGGCCCTCTCTCTGGGCCCTCACGGCACACAGCTCGGGCGGGTGGGGCTCAGGGCCTGCTCCAAGGTCCTGTGACTCAGTGGGGCACCCCTGCTGGCTCTGCCTCTGGGAGTCAGGCCAACAAGCAGTTTCTAGACTTGCTTTGCAGTGGAAGGAGCTAATGTTTGAGGATGAAATAATCTCATGGATGTTGGAGGAGCTTTGGAATATGAGGAAAGTGGTTTGCTCCCCCCCAGGATCCCAGACCCCACCCTGGCACACCGAGACCCAAATTCAGCTGGCCAAGCAGGGCCACTGAGCTGCGCTGTGTGTACAGAGCGCACGCCAGTCAACTGAGCCGCCCACGAGTGCACATCCCAACCCAGTCCACTGAGCCGCCCGCGTGTGCATGTCCACGCCAGTCCACCGAGCCGCCCACGAGTGCAGAGCCAGTCCACTGAGCTGCCCGCGTGTGCACGTCCCAACCCAGTCCTCTGAGCCGCCCGCGTGTGCACATCCCAACCCAGTCCACTGAGCCGCCCGCGTGTGCACGTCCACGCCAGTCCACTGAGCCGCCTGCGTGTGCATGTCCACGCCAGTCCTCTGAGCCACCCGCGTGTGCATGTCCACACCAGTCCTCTGAGCCGCCCGCGTGTGCAGAGCGCACGCCAGTCCACTGAGCCGCCCACGTGTGCTCAGCACACGCCAGTCCAATGAGCCGCCCACATGTGCACGTCCACGCCAGTCCACTGAGTTGCCCACGTGTGCAGAGCACACGCCAGTCCACTGAGCCGCCCACGAGTGCAGAGCCAGTCCACTGAGCCACCCACGAGTGCAGAGCACACGCCAGTCCAGTGAGCCGCCTGTGTGTGCACGTCCACGCCAGTCCACTGAGCCACCCATGTGTGCACGTCCATGCCAGTCCACTGAGCCACCCACGTGTGCACGTCCACGCCAGTCCACTGAGCCACCCACGTGTGCACGTCCATGCCAGTCCACTGAGCCACCCACAAGTGCAGAGCCAGTCCACTGAGCCGCCCACGAGGCAGAGCGCACGCCAGTCCAGTGAGCCGCCCGCGTGTGCAGAGCACACGCCAGTCCACTGAGCTGCCCGCATGCAGAGTGCATGCCAGTCCACTGAGCCGCCCACGTGTGCACGTCCCAACCCAGTCCACTGAGCCGCCCACGTGTGCACATCCACTCCAGTCAACTGAGCTGCCCACGTGTGCACATCCCAACCCAGTCCACTGAGCTGCCTGCGTGTGCACGTCCCAACCCAGTCCACTGAGCTGCCTGCCTGTGCAGAGCACACGCCAGTCCACTGAGCCGCCCGTGTGTGCAGAGCACACGCCAGTCCACTGAGCCGCCCGCGTGTGCACATCCCATCCCAGTCCACTGAGCCGCCTGTGTGTGCAGAGCACACACCAGTCCATTGAGCCGCCCTTGTGTGCACGTCCATGCCAGTCCACTGAGCCGCCCGCGTGTGCTCTGTCCACTGAGCCGCCCGTGTGTGCAGAGCACACGCCAGTCCACTGAGCCGCCCGTGTGTGCAGAGCACATGCCAGTCCACTGAGCCGCCCGCGTGTGCACATCCCAACCCAGTCCACTGAGCCGCCCGCGTGTGCATGTTCACGCCAGTCCACTGAGCCACCTGTGTGTGCACATCCCAACCCAGTCCACTGAACTGCCCATGTGTGCATGTCCACGCCAGTCCACTGAGCTGCCCGCGTGTGCAGAGCGCACGCCAGGGGACCACTGCAGGCTTGGGCTGCCAGTGAGATCACTGCCTTCGGCTGTGAGGCAAAGAATGGATTGTAAGGACCCCCAGCCTGAATGCAAGTGGTCTAAATAGGGAAGAAGGGGTTTCAGACATAAGCCATACAGCTTCACCCTCTGCTGCCCACTGCCCACCGCCTGCTGCCCGCTGCCCTCAGGACTGAGTACCTGCTTGCTCTCTCTCCATTTCTCTTTCTCTTTCTCCTTTTCCTTCTCCTTCTCCTCCTTCCCCTTTTCTTTCTCCTTCTCTTTACTTTTCTCCTTCTCTTTCTCTTTGCCTTTCTCCTTCTCTTTTTTAGGCAAAAGTATTTGTGAACTGTTCGCCGCTACAGACTTTTCTGGAATTAATTGTCCTCCTTTTGACAGAGTGATCTGAGAAAGAATGGCATTCATGTTGACAGCATTCAGACAGACCCCATGCCAGTCCTCCCTGCCCTCCAGGGAGCTCCTAGGTCCCAGGGCTTTGCCGTTCCCTGGAGAACAGGGTGGTCTGCCCAGTGCCTGGGGCCACGACCCTGCCTACAAGCACATGGGTGGACTTGAGGCAGGACACTCGGTGTATGTATGGTCCTTGGAGACATCTGGAGTTGACTCTCAGCTGAGGTCCTCAGTTACAACTGAGGTTCCCACCATCCGGGCTTCTTGCTGGCAGGCCTGTTTTCTTCATGGCTCTGGGACTTGGGGCCAGGCCTGGGTTGGGCAGCCCTGGGTAGGGTCCTGGAGGGGCAGGCACAGTTCATCCTCTGCTGCAGGCTGTGCCTGCACACTGCGGTGGGTTCCCACAGCTGAGAACTTCCCCTTAGCCTGTACTGTAGCCGGCCTGTACTCATGGGTGCTGGACAGAGGCACAGGCTCGGGCCCCACAGGGAGAGGATGGGAGGGGAGGAGAGAGGAGTAGGCAGGTCCACTGCACAGGGAGTCTGAGCTGGTCAGGACTGCAGACAGAAGAATCACAGCAGCTGCTGAGCATTGTGTGTGTGGGCCTCCAATGGGCAGATTGGATACTGCTACAACAATGATGCTGGGATGGGTCTAGGGGAGCACCAGAGGCTCCATTGAGGACTCAGGGTGTGGAAGGGAGGAAAATGTGGACAGAGATGTGAGGACACAGGGTGTGGCAGGGGAGGAAACATGAAGAGTGGAAGGCGAGGAAACGTGGACAGTGTGGCAGGTGAGGAAACGTGGACAGCGGAAGGTGAGGCAACATGGACAGTGTGGCAGGTGATGAAACGTGGACAGTGTGGCAGGTAGGGAAACGTGGACAGTGTGGAGGGTGAGGAAACGTGGACAGTGTGGAAGGGGAGGAAACGTGGACAGTGTGGAGGGTGAGGAAACATGGACAGTGTGGCAGGTGAGGAAACGTGGACAGTGTGGCAGGTAGGGAAACGTGGACAGTGTGGCGGGTGAGGAAACGTGGACAGTGGAAGGTGAGGAAACGTGGACAGTGTGGCGGGTGAGGAAACGTGGACAGTGAGGTGGGTGAGAAAACGTGGACAGTGTGGAAGGTAAGGAAACGTGGACAGTGTGGAGGGTGAGGAAACGTGGACAGTGTGGTGGGTGAGGAAACGTGGACAGTGTGGAAGGTGAGGAAACGTGGACAGTGTGGGAGGTGAGGAAACGTGGACAATGTGGGAGGTGAGGAAATGTGGACAGTGGAAGGTGAGGAAACGTGGACAGTGTGGAAGGTGAGGAAATAGGGACAGTGGAGGGTGAGGAAACGTGGACAGTGTGGAGGGTGAGGAAACGTGGACAGTGTGGAGGGTGAGGAAACGTGGACAGTGTGGCGGGTGAGGAAACGTGGACAGTGTGGCGGGTGAGGAAACGTGGACAGGGTGGAGGGTGAGGAAACGTGGACAGTGTGGAAGGGGAGGAAACGTGGACAGTGTGGCGGGTGAGAAAACATGGACAGTGAGGCGAGTGAGGAAATGTGGACAGCGGAAGGTGAGGCAACGTGGACATTGTGGAAGGTGAGGAAACGTGGACAGTGTGGAGGGTGAGGAAACGTGGACAGTGTGGCGGGTGAGGAAACGTGGACAGTGTGGCGGGTGAGGAAACGTGGACAGTGTGGAAGGTGAGGAAACGTGGACAGTGGAAGGTGAGGAAACGTGGACAGTGTGGCGGGTGAGGAAACATGGACAGTGCGGGAGGTGAGGAAACGTGGACAGTGTGGAGGGTGAGGAAACATGGACAGTGCGGGAGGTGAGGAAACGTGGACAGTGTGGAGGGTGAGGAAACGTGGACAGTGTGGAGGGTGAGGAAACGTGGACAGTCTGGAGGGTGAGGAAACATGGACAGTGTGGAGGGTGAGGAAACGTGGACAGTGGAAGGTGAGGAAACGTGGACAGTGTGGAAGGTGAGGAAACGTGGACAGTGTGGAGGGTGAGGAAACGTGGACAGTGTGGAGGGTGAGGAAACGTGGACAGTGTGGAGGGTGAGGAAACGTGGACAGTGTGGAGGGTGAGGAAACGTGGACAGTGGAAGGTGAGGAAACGTGGACAGTGTGGAAGGTGAGGAAACGTGGACAGTGTGGCGGGTGAGGAAACGTGGACAGTGTGGAGGGTGAGGAAACGTGGACAGTGTGGCGGGTGAGGAAACGTGGACAGTGTGGCGGGTGAGGAAACGTGGACAGTGTGGCGGGTGAGGAAACGTGGACAGTGTGGAGGGTGAGGAAACGTGGACAGTGTGGAGGGTGAGGAAACGTGGACAGTGTGGCGGGTGAGGAAACGTGGACAGTGTGGAGGGTGAGGAAACGTGGACAGTGTGGCGGGTGAGGAAACGTGGACAGTGTGGCGGGTGAGGAAATGTGGACAGTGTGGAGGGTGAGGAAACGTGGACAGTGGAAGGGGAGGAAACGTGGACAGTGTGGAAGGTGAGGAAACGTGGACATTGCGGAAGGTGAGGAAATGTGGACAGTGTGGAAGGTGAGGAAACGTGGACAGTGTGGAAGGTAAGGAAATGTGGACAGTGTGGAAGGGGAGGAAACGTGGACAGTGTGGTGGGTGAGGAAACGTGGACAGTGTGGAAGGTGAGGAAACGTGGACAGTGGAAGGTGAGGAAACGTGGACAGTGTGGCGGGTGAGGAAACGTGGACAGTGTGGCGGGTGAGGAAACGTGGACAGTGTGGAAGGTGAGGAAACGTGGACAGTGTGGCGGGTGAGGAAACGTGGAGAGTGTGGAAGGTGAGGAAACGTGGACAGTGTGGAAGGTGAGGAAATGTGGACAGTGTGGCGGGTGAGGAAACGTGGACAGTGTGGAAGGTGAGGAAACGTGGACAGTGTGGAAGGTGAGGAAACGTGGACAGTGTGGAGGGTGAGGAAACGTGGACAGTGTGGAAGGTGAGGAAACGTGGACAGTGTGGCAGGTGAGGAAACGTGGACAGTGTGGCGGGTGAGGAAATGTGGACAGTGTGGAGGGTGAGGAAACGTGGACAGTGTGGTGGGTGAGGAAATGTGGACAGTGTGGCGGGTGAGGAAACGTGGACAGTGTGGAGGGTGAGGAAACGTGGACAGTGGAAGGTGAGGAAACGTGGACAGTGTGGAGGGTGAGGAAACGTGGACAGTGTGGAGGGTGAGGAAACGTGGACAGTGTGGCGGGTGAGGAAACGTGGACAGTGTGGAAGGAGAGGAAACGTGGACAGTGTGGCGGGTGAGGAAACGTGGAGAGTGTGGAAGGTGAGGAAACGTGGACAGTGTGGAAGGTGAGGAAACGTGGACAGTGTGGAAGGTGAGGAAACGTGGACAGTGTGGAGGGTGAGGAAACGTGGACAGTGGAAGGTGAGGAAACGTGGACAGTGTGGAGGGTGAGGAAACGTGGACAGTGTGGAAGGTGAGGAAACGTGGACAGTGTGGAGGGTGAGGAAACGTGGACAGTGTGGAAGGTGAGGAAACGTGGACAGTGTGGAAGGTGAGGAAACGTGGACAGTGTGGAAGGTGAGGAAACGTGGACAGTGTGGAAGGTAAGGAAACGTGGAGAGTGTGGAAGGTGAGGAAACGTGGACAGTGGAAGGTGAGGAAACGTGGACAGTGTGGCGGGTGAGGAAACGTGGACAGTGTGGAAAGTGAGGAAACGTGGACAGTGTGGCGGGTGAGGAAACGTGGACAGTGTGGAGGGTGAGGAAACGTGGACAGTGTGGCGGGTGAGGAAACGTGGACAGTGTGGCGGGTGAGGAAACGTGGAGAGTGTGGAAGGTGAGGAAACGTGGACAGTGTGGCGGGTGAGGAAACGTGGATAGTGTGGCGGGTGAGGAAACGTGGACAGTGTGGAAGGTGAGGAAACGTGGACAGTGTGGAGGGTGAGGAAACGTGGACAGTGTGGCGGGTGAGGAAACGTGGACAGTGGAAGGGGAGGAAACGTGGACAGTGTGGCGGGTGAGGAAACGTGGACAGTGTGGAAGGTGAGGAAACGTGGACAGTGTGGAGGGTGAGGAAACGTGGACAGTGTGGAAGGTGAGGCAACGTGGACAGTGTGGAAGGTGAGGCAACGTGGACAGTGTGGCGGGTGAGGAAACGTGGACAGTGGAGGGTGAGGAAATGTGGACAGTGTGGAGGGTGAGGAAACGTGGACAGTGTGGAAGGTGAGGCAACGTGGACAGTGTGGAAGGTGAGGAAACGTGGACAGTGTGGCGGGTGAGGAAACGTGGACAGTGTGGCGGGTGAGGAAACGTGGAGAGTGTGGAAGGTGAGGAAACGTGGACAGTGTGGAAGGTGAGGAAACGTGGACAGTGTGGAGGGTGAGGAAACGTGGACAGTGGAAGGTGAGGAAACGTGGACAGTGTGGCGGGTGAGGAAACGTGGACAGTGTGGCGGGTGAGGAAATGTGGACAGTGTGGAGGGTGAGGAAACGTGGACAGCGGAAGGTGAGGCAACGTGGAGAGTGTGGAAGGTGAGGAAACGTGGACAGTGTGGAAGGTGAGGAAACGTGGACAGTGTGGAGGGTGAGGAAACGTGGACAGTGTGGCGGGTGAGGAAACGTGGACAGTGTGGCGGGTGAGGCAAGGTGGACCGAGTGTTTCCGGAAGCTGAAAAGGAGGAAAGCACAGGGAGAGAGGCTTGCCTATCTCCTGCAGGTCTTTTGCTGTAAGCTGGGGAGCAGCAGCTGTGGTGGCTCAGGCTGCAATCCGGCTTGTTGGGAGGCAGAGGCAGGGCGAGGCCAGCTTTGGCATGGCCAGTGCAAAGGCCTAGTTCAGGAACAACATTTAAAAACCCACGGTAGCATGTTTGCCTAGGAAGGAGGCGGCACTGGGTTTAATCCCCAGTTCTGCCAACAACTACAAGAAGAAAGGAGAGGAAGGAGGGAGGGAGGGAAGAGGGAGGAAAGAGACAAGAGGACAGGAGGAAATGAAGCTCATCAGACGAGGTTCTGGTTACTGCCATCTTCCGCAGGGGGCAGCGGTGCAAGCCCCGTGGTTTCGGGCACAGGGATTGCTGGGTGGGGCCCAGGGTCCTGCTGGGCGCGCGGGTGGCCTCACCTTCCAGATGTGCCTGAAAAAGGTGAAGGCCATGAGGCAGTCGTTCTGGTAGTTGGCAGCACTGGGCGTCAACATCAGGGCCCGAAGGATGTGCACGCGCGCCAGGAGCTCCAGCTGCCGCATGCTCTGCAACTGCTCCAAGGAGAGGGTTGCGGGGCTCTGGTCCTGCGCCTCCGACTCCTCCACGTGGGTGCCAGCAGCCTTGTTCTCCCCTGTGCAAAGAGGGGCCTGAGGCTCAGGGAGGGCTGGGCTGGGGTGCCGGTGGCTGCAGGCCCTCCTCTCTCGCGTGGTGACCTGGCCGCCCTGCCCTGCCCTGCCCTCTGACAGGGCGGTTAGCCTCACCCCAAGTGTCCTCACTTTTCTCCCTGGTTCTGGGAGACAAGAAGCCTGACCCTCTGGGAAGAGCCAGGCTGCCAGCCCAGGCCCAGGCCGGGCCGGGGAGTGGGGGGGTGTCTGGCGGGTGTGTCTCAGGAGGCTCCAGCTATGACTTGCTGGACATGTGGGCTGGCTGCCAGCTGGGCAGGTCTTCTCCGCTGCTCTTGCATGCAGATGGAGGCTGGCACTTTCCCGGCCCTTCCTCTTTCCTGATTCTTGATATTGAAGCCCAGGACAGAGGGGTCCTCCAGCAGAGGGCATGCATGCCGGCCCAGGGCCAGTTGACCATGCGTGGCTGTGTGGACCCCAGACCACAGGGCTCATCCACCCTTCCGGGCGAGACTGTATTGAGTGCCTGGCTGTCCAAATCTCCCCTCTGTGGAACGACCCAGTACCCCAGACCTCCTGAGCTGCCTCCTGAGGACTCTGGATCCAGTCCTGAGCAGAGTGCTGCAGGGCCCCGGAGTCCTAATCCACACAGCTCCCCCTCCACAAGGGACTGGGGGCTCTGAGAAGGCCCTCTGTCCATCCTGATGGCACCGGACCAGCCAGCACCATCTGTGCTCCAGCTACGTGTGGGCTGGAGGTCACCTCCATGGGCCTCAGCTCTTCCTCTAGGGCCATTGTGGGTGGACCCGCGGGATGGCCGTGGGAGCCACGGTCACTGTGGGTGGACCCGCGGGAAGGCTGTGGGAGCCATGGCCATCTGCACTCCCCAGGGTGTGCTGTCCTTTGGGGTCCCCAGGGCTGTGCTGAGGCAGGGGCCGCCTTTGAGGCCCAGGGTGACTGTGGTCTCAGGGAGGCCCCAGCCTCCTGCCAGCCTCTCCTTCCACTGAGGTCCTGGCGGCCCCATGCTCAGGATGCAGCAGCCAGGCCCCAGCAACCTGGCTTGCTGCTCAGCCCAAGGTACCTGCAGCTTGCTGCCCTGGTGGGTGGTGGCAGGCTGGCCGGAACCTTCCCAGTGTCCCAGCTTCTGCTGGGAGCACACTTTATTGTTTACAAGGCCATGGGCCAGGATTGCGATGACCAGGACCATGGCACCCCGCAGGCTGTGGTGGACCAGGTCTGTGGCACCTGCAGGCTATGGTGGACCAGGTCTGCAGCACCCGCAGGCTATGGTGAACCAGGTCTGTGGCACCCGCAGGCTGTGGTGACCAGGACCGTGGTACCCTGCAGACTGTGGTGACCAGGACCGTGGCACCGCAGGGTGTGGTGTACCAGGACCATGGTACCCCTCAGGACGTGCTGAATCAGGACTGTGGCACCCGCAGGACGTGCTGGACCAGGACTGTGGCACCCGCAGGGTGTGGTGTACCAAGACTGTGGCACCCGCAGGGTGTGCTGGACCAGGACCGTGGCACCCTCAAGAGTGTGCTGGACCAGGACCATGGCACTCGCAGGGCATGGTGACCAGGACCGTGGCACCCGCAGGGCGTGGTGACCAGGACCGTGGCACCCGCAGGGCGTGGTGACCAGGACCGTGGCACCCGCAGGGCGTGGTGACCAGGACCGTGGCACCCGCAGGGCGTGGTGACCAGGACCGTGGCACCCGCAGGGCGTGGTGACCAGGACCGTGGCACCCGCAGGGCGTGGTGACCAGGACCGTGGCACCCGCAGGGCGTGGTGACCAGGACCGTGGCACCCGCAGGGCGTGGTGACCAGGACCGTGGCACCCGCAGGGCGTGGTGGACCAGGATCGTGGCACCCGCAGGGCGTGGTGGACCAGGATCGTGGCACCCGCAGGGTGTGGTGACCAGGATCGTGGCACCCGCAGGGTGTGGTGACCAGGATCGTGGCACCCGCAGGGTGTGGTGACCAGGATCGTGGCACCCGCAGGGTGTGGTGGACCAGGATCGTGGCACCCGTAGGGTGTGGTGACCAGGATCGTGGCACCCGCAGGGTGTGGTGAGCAGGACCGTGGTACCCGCAGGGTGTGGTGAGCAGGACCGTGGCACCCACAGGGCGTGGTGGACCAGGCCCGTGGCACCCCACATGGTGTGGTGGACCAGGCCCGTGGGCCCCTGTGGGGTATGGAATTGGAGTGGGAGTGCTGGGCCCTCACTTTCCGACTCCGGCTCCGGCTCCGATGTGTCTTGGGTAGATGTCATGGCCAGCAAGAGTCCAATTGCCCACGTGAGTTTGGCGATGATTTCTTCAAGAGGAAACTGCCTGAGGTACAGCCACTCACTGAACTCCAGGATGTAGTCCACCTTCTGCTGGTTGCTCTCTGGCCTCTAATAGAATACACCAGAAAGGCACCATGATGGCACTTCACTGACCAGGGCAGCGCCTGAGGGCCAGCACCAATCCTCCCAGGGCACCAAGTGGTCCCTTGGCTCCTGTCACCCACGGTCACCATGGGGGCATGCCCACAGGCTCTTCTTGGGGCTCGGCTGCCTTGTGCCTTTGCCCAGGCTCTCCTGGCTCCGGCCAGCCCCTAACCCTAGTGAGTCCCCTCTCTGCCTGGATCAGCAAGTCTGCCCTGCCCTGTCCAGGGCCGGCTGCCCCAGCCGCTTATGGCCAGCATGGACGAGCACAGACCTGCAGGGCCTGGATGGCGTTTTGGTAGCAGGTGAGCTCTCCCAGGATGCTCTTGGAGTTCACTGCTAGGCGGTGCCACATGTGTGCCAAGTAGTCTTCACTTTCATCCTTGAACTTCTGAATCTCCATGGTGAAATTCTGCCCAAGTTTGGCCTTCACAATGACCATGTGTTTGAAAATCAAGCTGAAGAAAAGTGAGTCAATACCTGAACTGCATATCCACACCTGCACGTGCACACACACACACACACACACACACACACACACACACCTGCATGGAGAGGACTGCATGGCCAGCAGATAAGCTACAGAGGAAACGGGGCGGTGTGTGTGGGGGGGATGAAGTGTGGGAGGGGGTGGTGTGTGTGTATGAGGTGTGGGGGGGTGTGTGAGGTGTGTGTGTGTGGGGGATGAGGTGTGTGTGTGTGAGGTGTGGGGGGGATGAGGTGTGTGTGTATGTGTATGTGTATGAGGTCTGTGTGGAGAATATGAGGTATGTGTGTGTGTGTGTGGAGAGGATGAGGTGGGGGGGATGAGGTCTGTGTGGGGATAGGGATGTGGGGTGAGGTGTGTGTGTGGGGGATGAGGTGTGTGTGTGTGAGGTGTGGGGGGGATGAGGTGTGTGTAGTATGTGTATGTGTATGAGGTCTGTGTGGAGAGTATGAGGTGTGTGTGTGTGTGTGTGTGTGTGTGTGTGGATGAGGTATGTGGGTGGATGAGGTGTGTGTGTGTGTGTGTGTGTGGAGAGTATGAGGTGTGTGGGGGGATGAGGTCTGTGTGGGGATGGGGATGTGGGTGGATGAGGTGTGTGTGTGTGTGTGGATGAGGTATGTGGGTGGATGAGGTGTGTGTGTGTGTGTGTGTGTGTGTGTGTGTGTGGAGAGGATGAGGTGGGGGGGGATGAGGTCTGTGTGGGGATGGGGATGTGGGGTGAGGTGTGTGTGTGTGTGTGTGTGTGGATGAGGTATGTGGGTGGATGAGGTGTGTGTGTGTGTGTGTGTGTGGAGAGGATGAGGTATGGGGTGGGATGAGGTCTGTGTAGGGATGGGGATGTGGGGTGAGGTGTGTGTGTGTGTGTGTGGATGAGGTATGTGGGTGGATGAGGTGTGTGTGTGTGTGTGTGTGTGTGTGTGTGGAGAGGATGAGGTGTGGGGGGGATGAGGTCTGTGTGGGGATGGGGATGTGGGGTGAGGTGTGTGTGTGTGTGTGTGTGGATGAGGTATGTGGGTGGATGAGGTGTGTGTGTGTGTGTGTGTGTGTGTGTGCGTGTGTGTGTGGAGAGGATGAGGTGTGGGGGGGATGAGGTCTGTGTGGGGATGGGGATGTGGGGTGAGGTGTGTGTGTGTGTGTGTGTGGATGAGGTATGTGGGTGGATGAGGTGTGTGTGTGTGTGTGTGTGTGTGTGTGTGGAGAGGATGAGGTGTGGGGGGGATGAGGTCTGTGTGGGGATGGGGATGTGGGGTGAGGTGTGTGTGTGTGTGTGTGTGGATGAGGTGTGTGGGTGGATGAGGTGTGTGTGTGTGTATGTGTATGTGTGTGTGTAGAGAGAATGAGGTGTGTGGGGGGGGGATGGGGAATCAGCTGTGAAGGGGAGGGGGTGAGGGCACTCACAGGCGGTGGGCCGTCCGGGGGAGCATCTGCACGGCTTCATCCAGCACCTTGAGGCCACCCTCCCAGTCGTTCTTGTCGGCATGACTGTGGAAGAGGAGGCCGTAGAGCGCTGCGCGGAGGGAGAGGTCATCCTCCGCCCCTGGGGACAGAGCAGGAGGGGTGGGGCTGGGTGGCCGGCTCCTTGCTAACTACCTGATGCTCTCTGACCTCTGAACTCCTGAGACCCTCCCCCCCCCAGTCTTGGATCTGAGCCTACTACCCAAGAGGTGGAAGGCAGGCACTTGTCCTGCAGGACAGGCCAGGTGGCTCCCTGCCTGCAGCCTGTCTGACAGAACCACCCCCATTCCCAGGGCCCCTGGCGCCCTCCTCCCCACCAGCTCCAACAGGCCCTCAGGCATGGGGTAAAGGTCAGTGGGGGGGGTGTCTGCTCCTGAAGTGCCAGGCACCAGTGCTCAGGTAACGCACGGATGCCATCGCACATACTGCTGTTGCTTGGCATGCATCCTGGGTTGATGACACTGGGCAGCTCCAGCGGCTCTGTGCTCAGCTCCATGGTCTGCATGAACCTGCCCTCTTAGCCCTGAACCCCCCACCCCCCACACCTAGGCCCTGGCCTGGCTTCCCACACCACCTATCGGCAGCACGCTCAGCAGCTCCCTGCTGTGCACACAGACACAGAAATCAGACGCCGTCTGGGGCACACAGGACAGATGCTGTCTGGAGTAGAGGACAGATGCAGTCTGGGGCACACAGGACAGACGCCGTCTGGAGTAGAGGACAGACGCCGTCTGGGCCACACAGGACAGATGCTGTCTGGGGCACACAGGACAGACGCCGTCTGGGGCACATAGGACAGATGCTGTCTGAGGTAGAGGACAGACTGGCTGAGCCAGGCTATTCTCCCTTTCCAAGGGTGTGCTCGGCGTGTCCTGCCTGTGGTTCCTGTGGCGTGCTCAGCGTGTCCTGCCTGTGGTCCCTGTGGTGTGCTCAGCGTGTCCTGCCTGTGGTTCCTGTGGCGTGCTCGGCGTGTCCTGCCTGTGGTCCCTGTGGTGTGCTCGGCGTGTCCTGCCTGTGGTTCCTGTGGCCTGCTCGGCGTGTCCTGCCTGTGGTTCCTGTGGCGTGCTCGGCGTGTCCTGCCTGGGCTGTGGTCCCTGTGGTGTGCTCGGCGTGTCCTGCCTGTGGTTCCTGTGGCGTGCTCGGCGTGTCCTGCCTGTGGTTCCTGTGGCGTGCTCAGCGTGTCCTGCCTGGGCTGTGGTTCCTGTGGCCTGCTCGGCGTGTCCTGCCTGTGGTTCCTGCGGCGTGCTCGGCGTGTCCTGCCTGGGCTGTGGTTCCTGCGACGTGCTCGGCGTGTCCTGCCTGGGCTGTGGTTCCTGTGGCGTGCTCAGCGTGTCCTGCCTGGGCTGTGGTTCCTGTGGCGTGCTCGGCGTGTCCTGCCTGGGCTGTGGTTCCTGTGGTGTGCTCAGCGTGTCCTGCCTGTGGTCCCTGTGGCGTGCTCGGCGTGTCCTGCCTGTGGTTCCTGTGGCGTGCTCGGCGTGTCCTGCCTGTGGTTCCTGTGGCGTGCTCGGCGTGTCCTGCCTGTGGTTCCTGTGGCGTGCTCGGCGTGTCCTGCCTGTGGTTCCTGTGGCGTGCTCGGCGTGTCCTGCCTGGGCTGTGGTCCCTGCAGCGTGCTCGGCGTGTCCTGCCTGTGGTCCCTGCGGCGTGCTCGGCGTGTCCTGCCTGTGGTCCCTGCGGCGTGCTCGGCGTGTCCTGCCTGTGGTCCCTGCGGCGTGCTCGGCGTGTCCTGCCTGTGGTCCCTGCGGCGTGCTCGGCGTGTCCTGCCTGTGGTCCCTGCGGCGTGCTCGGCGTGTCCTGCCTGTGGTCCCTGCGGCGTGCTCGGCGTGTCCTGCCTGTGGTCCCTGTGGTGTGCTCGGCGTGTCCTGCCTGGGCTGTGGTCCCAGCCGCTGCAGGGAGGTGCAGCTGCTCCTGTCCTTGGTCATCGGACATTAGGGAAGGTCTTGTGTGTGGGGAGTCTGGGGTCCAGCTCGGCCTCAGGGTGATGGCCCGACTGCAGGAAAGGTCTGAGTTGAGCTGGGCTGAGTCAGAGCCCCTGCTTGCAGTGACCAGCACAGGGCCTCGCTGCCTGGGCGTCAAGGACTGCAGCCAGACAGGATGTGCGGTCCCAGTCTGACTGGAAATCGGTCTGCTTTCCATCATCTGCAAGCATTAACTGTTTTACTTGAAAGTAAGCCTCGTCCCACCCAACTCTGCTTTCTGATCCAGGGCTTTGGATGGCATGCCAGTCCTGAGGCCATCCCCAGAACTGTTTTGCTGAAAGCTAGCGCTCTGCCACTTGAGCCACAGCTCCATTCTGGCTTTTTTGGTGGTTAATTGAGGATAAGAGCGTCATGGACTTTCCTGTTTAGGCTGGCTTTGAACCATGGTCCTCAGATCTCAGCCTCCTGGGTAGTTAGGATGACAGGTGTGAGCTACTGGCAGCCAGTTCCGATAAATTTTTTTTTTTTTTAACAGTTAACCTATCTAAAGTTCGTTTTGAGGAGTGGACCGCAGCATGAATTCAAACCCCGCATGTCTGTATTAGCAGGCAGTCTACATGGCCCCTGTCCCCTGGGCGGCGGGGTGGGGCAGGATGGGCTGGGCACTCTGCCTGGGGGCCCAGGCTCTGCCTGCTCTACTGGAGCCTGCGGGGGCCTGCCTTGACTCTCAGGGCCAGTGGGACTCAGAGGGCTCCAGGTCAGCAGGCGGGCTGCTTTCCACAGAATGATGACCAGCCCGGTGACAGTGAACGTGGTGGTCAGGGTTCTCGTGCTGCTAGGTTCCTGTGACCCCCCTACCCCCAAGTGTACCTCAATGTCCTCGTTAGGGATAGAAAGCCAGCTTCAATAGGAACACGTGTCTGTGCGCACACCAGGAGAGCTGCCCTGGACTCTGCCCGGGAGGGGCCCGGCACGGGCAGTCCCCATGCTGCTGGTCCTACACACAGAAGCACCTGTGGGAGCCCATGCGCGCGCGGTGTGTCCTGGGAGGCGGCCCTCACAGCCCCCAGACCTCGTGGCCCTGTGGGCCCTGCAGCCACCAACCTGGCAGAAAGTTGCCTTCAGCCCCAGAGCCAGCCTGGAAGTCAGCTGTGGGCCACTGGTGCAGGAGCAGGGTCTTCCCTTTGTCCTGAGTGAGAGCCACAGCAGCCTTGTCAGAGGCCCAGGGTCCCGTCACCCTGCTGCCTCTCCTGTCTAATGACCCACAGGATTACAGCAATACGACCGGAATGCGAAGTCACAAAAGTGAGCTCACATTCCACCCCCAAGAACAGGCTCCGTGCTGCTGGGCAGCGCACACGGTGCCATGGGTCAGGACTGTGCAAGGCCCGGGCTCCCCGGGTCACAGGAGACACCGCACAGCAAGCGTGTACATGAACCCTCCAGGCACAGGACAGGAGACAAGCTCCAAGCTGCTGGAGGAAGGGAAGAAGAAAGGCTGGAGAAGATAAGCAAAGTTGAGATGGAAAAACAGCCAGGAACTCCTACTGTTGAAAAGCTGGTTAAAGGGGCAGGACGGGATAGTCTCTGGCCAGGGCAGCGAGGTCAGTGGTCAGCACTGTGGTGAGCCGGAGCTCCCGCCCTGCCGGGATCTGGGATGTTCTACCACCAGCAGGTGCAAGTGTGCCTGAGCACACAGTCCCCCAGGGAGGGGCCCATGGCATCCCTGCGGTTCGGGGCGTACCGGCTTCTGGGCCTCTGTCTTGTTGATGATGCTGATCACCCTCTGGACAGACGCCCGGGCCTTCTTCCTGTTGGCTGCCGAGGACAGGAGCGGGAGCCAGGTGTTCCAGTAGTGTCTGGCCGCCAGCATCACCAGAGTGCTGCTGCCTGCCAGGCCTCCAAACCTGGAAGGACACTCCTGATCAGCAGGGACCCGGGCCCAGGCCGCTCGGGCCGCCAAGCCACATGGTGCCCCAGAGGCAGCAGTGGCTGGACCTGGAAACTCGGGTAGCACTGCCAGAGAGGATCGTGGGTGGGGCCTGCTGAGCCTTGCCCACACTCTGCTTCCCACGCAGGCCCCGCCTCCCTTCTCAGGTCAAGCCCTGGCCCCCTCCCTGCAGGGTCCACCTGCCCCCCCCAAGGCCCCGGCTGCGGCCCGCGGAGCCTCTGCACTGTGTTCGCCGCCCAGCCACGCACTTGGCACTCTCCACAAAGGCCCTGGCTGCGGCCAGCCGCAGCTGCTTCCGCCCTTTCAGGTTCTCCATGATGCTCCGGCCCTGTATGCAGGAGGCCGTGCACAGCATCTCGGCCACCAGCGGCACATCCACCCTGCGGGGCAGAGGACGGCTTAGAGGAGTGCAGCAGAGCACGCACACGCACACACACACACACACACGCACATGCATGCGCAGACAAATGCACACACACACACGCATACCCCCCAGAGGAGTAGTGTAGAGCTTGCTGGCCTGCAAGGTGCACACACAGATAGCGGCCCTCCTCCAGCCCGTCCCAGGTCTGGGTGGCCACATGCGCCCCCACAGTGGGCACATGACCCTGGCCTCTGGAAGCTCACAGCCTGGGCTGAAGGCCTGTGTGCACCTGGGTGTCTGGGAGTCTGGTAGGAGACTCCTGAAACACTGGGAGTGGGGGGTGTCTCATCAGAGTCATGATGCCTAGAGAGCCTTGTGGCAGGGCCGGAGCTGGCTACAGGAGCCCTGGGACATGGAAGCTACCGGTGGCCCCCCAGGACTGGCCCTGACAGAGATCTTGGAAGATCCAAACCAGAGCTAACTGGCTGAGTCCAGTCCAGCCAATCACAAATAGGTTATCTCAATTTTGGCAATACTAGGGTTTGAATTCAGGGCCTCTTCATTGCTAGAAAAGTGCTCTACTCCCTGGGCCATGTTTGCAGTCCTGTCTTGCTTTACTTTTTAGATAAGGTCCTATGTGTTTTGCCCTCCCCGGCCTTGATGTATAATCTTCCCAATCTCTGCCTTTCAACTAGCTGGGATTACAGGTATAAGACGCCATGCCCAACTACTGACTGCTGTTTTCCATTTAACAAGTTACTTTGGGCGTCTTGTCGTATACCAGTGACCAGGCCTGCCTTCGTCAGGCTGTTTCAAGGGCCCAAGAGGAAGCCTGGCCCAAGGGCATCTGGCAGGCCTGCAGTGGGGACACAGGCCCCGGGCTGCTCCTCCCGGCCCCTCCGGTCCTGATACAACAGTTATGGCAAACCACACACACCAAGGCCTGGCGTCCACCCTCAGCACACTCCCTTCCCCATTTCCTGTGTTTTGGGGTCACCTGCCTGAAACTTGGCTCAGAGGAGAACTTAACGCATTCTGTGAAAAAGACACTTCCTAGGGGACCTGGAGCAGATAGCTCCGTCTGCGCTCTGCCCAAAGGAGCCGGAGACCAAGGTGCTGATCCTGGCCTGCAGCGTCCCGCCGTGCGGCCAGCGCCCATGGTCTGAGGGGGAGATGAGGCTGTGCCAGGGCTGGGGAACACTCCTACTTGGGGCCCCTTTCTGAGCACCTGATCTACAGAAAGCAAGAAGACATTCCACCTGGGCCTGCCATGCAATCCCAGTCCTGACCACCAGGGGGCAGTGACGGCCCACAGATGACCTCCAGAGCTCCTAGCCGCCCCCTCCCATCCTGTGCTCCAACTTTACCTTATTAAGGGAATTTCCAATCAGAAATCAAGCTGGGACTAAGGACCATGGATGTGAGAGCAGCCAGGTGTGGCCGCACTGCTTCCGCCACCATCCCTGCCTCTGCCACCTGAACGGCTGCCTCTCAGATCCCCACGGGCGCCCCCCGCCCCGCCCCGGCCCCCACAGAGAGAGATGGTGGGAGCAGGGAGGGTTCACCTCTGACCCAGCCGGCGGCAGGCTCCTGGGATGGCCTGACAGCAGGCCAGCTTAGCACAGGCTCTGCAGCTCAGCTCACCGTGGCTCCTAACTAGAGCTCTGCTCTCCGCTCCCTACCACCTCTGCCCCTCACGGCCGCATGGCAGCCCGGCTCCTGCCAGCACAGCGGAGACACTGCCACACCCCAAGTCCTGCAGCGGCCTTAGGCGTCCACCGGCCACAAAAGTGTCTCTGAGCTGAGGATGTGGTCCCACTGCTCAGGACCACTGCGCTCAGGGAAGCCACCGAGAAAACCAGTGCTGTTTACAACAGCTTCGGACTCAGGAGGGGATTAAATATGCAGCTACTGCTGAATTTGTGGAATAGTGCAAACTGCTAACATTGAGAATGTGGAGACCGCGGAGGAAAGTAAACGCGGAGTGTCTCAGCTGTCCTGGTGCCGCGGTCAGTGGCTGCCGCGTGGGACACCTGGGCAAGCAGCCCTGCCTCCCTCCCCAAGAGCGAGCCTCCCCCCCAAGAACGAGCAGCCTCCTCCAAGAATGAGCAGCCTCCCCAATAATGAGCAGCTCCCCCAGAACGAGCAGTTCCCCCAGAACGAACAGCCCCTCTGAATGAACACCCCCCCAGAATGAGCAGCTCCCTCAAAACGAACAGCCCCCCCCCCCCCCAGAATGAGCAGGTGGCCACCATCCTCCGCGCTGGGCTGTCTCTCGGTGACTTCAGAGTGACTTCAGCCACGTCACTCTGCTCAGAGCTCTTTAACAAAGCTGTCTGGGTCCGGGGCGGTACCCTGCAGCTCCAAGGGGTGTGCTGGGCTGAGATCTGCCTCCCCAGGGTGGGTTTGTAGGCGGGCCTGGGGAAGGACCAGCTCCTGCTTCCTTGGAGGAAGCTCCCCGCAGCTCTGGGCATGGCTCACTTGTCAATCATCCTCAGGTATCGGATGCCCATATGTGTGGCCATCTGAGCGCAGGATAGGGTGACGTCATGGTCACGAGATGCGTGGGCAAAGTGGGTCAGGCGGGCGAGGGCCTGCAGCTCCACCAGGGGGTCCGACCAGTTGCACTCGGAAGCCATTTTCACTACCTTCCAGCGGTGTGTGGTGGGAGAGAGGGCGGCGTGTTAGTGAGGCGCGCAGCAGTGTCCAGTGCCCCTGACACCCAGGACTGTCTCCAGACCGGGGACCCTGTGGGTGCCCTCTCCGCCCGCCTGGGACAGGAGAGCTCTCCTGTGGATGGGGCAAGATCCCCCCCCGACTGCCCTGGGCAGCTTCCGAGGCCTTCCAAGCCAAGGCGCTCCACACCGGCCTGGCATGGCTCCTGGACGCCGACCTGGGCCAGAGGAGGCACGTTGAAGTCCATGAGGCCCAGCCCGTTGCAGGAGTACATCTCAATGGCCACCAGGACTCGGGTCATGCAGCTGATGTCGTCATCAGCACCCTGGAAGAGAGAGAGGGAGCACCCGCTGGTCAGCCCTGGGCAGTGTGAGCCGTCGGTCAGCCCTGGGCAGCGCGAGCCACCGGTCAGCCCTGGGCAGCGCGAGCCGCCGGTCAGCCCTGGGCAGCGTGAGCCGCCGGTCAGCCCTGGGCAGTGTGAGCCGCCGGTCAGCCCTGGGCAGTGTGAGCCGCTGGTCAGCCCTGGGCAGCGTGAGCCGCTGGTCAGCCCTGGGCAGCGGGAGCCGGTCAGCCTTGGGCAGCGCGAGCCCGCCAGTCAGCCCTGGGCAGCGTGAGCCACCGGTCAGCCCTGGGCAGCGGGAGCCAGTCAGCCCTGGGCAGCATGAACCCGCCGGTCAGCCCTGGGCAGCGGGAGCCACCGGTCAGCCCTGGGCAGCGGGAGCCGCTGGTCAGCCCTGGGCAGCGTGAACCCGCCGGTCAGCCCTGGGCAGCGGGAGCCGCTGGTCAGCCCTGGGCAGCGGGAGCCGGTCAGCCCTGGGCAGCGTGAACCCGCCAGTCAGCCCTGGGCAGCGGGAGCCGCTGGTCAGCCCTGGGCAGCGGGAGCCGGTCAGCCCTGGGCAGCGGGAGCCGCCAGTCAGCCCTGGGCAGCGCGAGCCCGCCGGTCAGCCCTGGGCAGCGCGAGCCCGCCGGTCAGCCCTGGGCAGCGTGAGCTGCCGGTCAGCCCTGGGCAGCGGGAGCCGCTGGTCAGCCCTGGGCAGCGGGAGCCGCTGGTCAGCCCTGGGCAGCGGGAGCCGGTCAGCCCTGGGCAGCGTGAGCCCGCCAGTCAGCCCTGGGCAGCGTGAGCTGCCGGTCAGCCCTGGGCAGCGGGAGCCGCCGGTCAGCCCTGGGCAGCACGAGCCCGCCGGGGAAGCTGTTTCCATGCCAGGCTGGTGTTGAGAGTGCTCACATCCCATTATCTTCTCATAGAAGGAAGGAGACCTCAGGTATGAAAGGTGGCGCCCGGCCGCTGGGGTGGGCCTTCCAGAGATGGCGGGCTGCTGGGCCTGGGCTCCTGAGGGCTCCGGCCTCTGCCTGCACCCGCCCGCCACCATGGGCCCTGCCTCCCGGACGGCTCCCTGCAGGCCGGCTGTGGCGCTCCTGACCCCACCCCACAGCCGTGTGGGACGAGGGGGGGAAGCACCCACGGAGGTCCAGGCTCAGAGCCCGCAGGGCCTCCTGTCCTTAGACCGACCGCCAGTGGCCTGCCTGTCTCTGGTGGGGATGCGGGAGTGCTCACCTCCTCCACGCCCAGCCGTAGCCCGATCTGCTGCTGCAGCAGCTGCTTGGCCTTCACCCAGGTGGCGATGAGCTGCTGCCGCATGTTCATGGGGACCACCTCCTCGGGCACGCTGCCGTTGGTCAGGGTCAGCCCAAACTCGCAGACCTGTGCAGCAGGACCCACGCCCTTCCTCAAGCTCCGGAGGGCTCATGGACTTAGCGCCAGCACCCTGGCGTGGGTGCAGGTCAGAGACCACCCAAGCTCCAGCTGAGGGGCTGAGCAGGGTCTCCCAGCTCATGGTGCAGTGCAGATGGGGCAGAGCCGGAGCCTTGTGTGTGCTGACAGCGACGGGGTGTGGGCGGAGCCCCCAAAGCCGGGCCCCAGAACCTGATCACTTGCTGGGAGGGCAGGATTCTCAGCACTGTGTCTCAGCACCCCTTACAGAACTTGGCCCAGTGCACTACCACCAGCACGCAGAGTGACCACGTGAACCTCCCAGCTGGCCTGAGTCCACAGGAGAGAGCCCTCCCCCCTGTCCCTCCACCGTCTGGGACAAACCTCCACCAGAGAGACAAGGGGTCACGTGGGGTCCCAAGATTCATAGACTAGGTCCAGCCATCATTTGTCACACTGTGTCCAAGCCCTGAGCCACCACCAGTACCCCCAAGGCCCCGGAACCTGCACCCCTCCCTGGCCTGTCCCCCCAGACCCTAAGGCCCCGGAACCTGCACCCCTCCCTGGCCTGTCCCCCTGCCCCTAGGCCCTGGGACTGCACCTCCAAGGCCTCTTTGATCTCAGAGGAGTCGGATGGAGTGTGAATCATAACTGGCCGCATCCCCTTCTTCAACTTTTCGGGCGTCTGGGTGGGAATCCAGCTGATGATGAGTCCCCGAGCCAGGGTGTTGCAGAGCATGGTTAACATGACAGGGTCCCTGGAAGAGAGGCCTCCTGAGCACCGCAGCCCTGCCTGCAGCGTGCCAGGGCGGGCCGGGGCAGGCTGCAGCAGTTACCCCTGGCAGGATCCCTTCTACCACGGTGAGCACTTACTGCACTCCTGTTTGCGTTTTTGTGTTTTAAGATGGGACCTTGCTACATAGCTCAGGATCCCTTCACGCTTCCATCCTCCACCTCCTAGATTCTGGCCCACAGTACTGTGCAGCACACCCATCCTGGCTCCCTACTTCAGCATCTGAGGTCAAAAACTAAAGTCCCATTGTCCAGACTGGAAACCAGACACATGAGAATTCCATTGGTAAGCTTTGGTTCAGCTGGTGTAGACAGATCCTCATTATAGTTGCACAGCCCCAGTCCCAGTCCCTCCCAGGAGGGCTCAGATCCATCCCTGCCCCACCCTCCAAAACCCAGGATGGGAAGGTGGCGACTTCCCTCTCCTGCTCTTTGCTATGTGGCAGGCCTTACTGAACTCCCCGGGAGCAGCAGGGGGCCCGGTGTCGGCACCGCAGTGGGCACGGACACCCTGACCCCTGCATGCGAAAGAGCGTGGCACCAGCACCCACCCACTGTGCCCGGTGACCTTGACCGCCCGCAGGAGGTGGGACAGGGCTTCCACCAGCTCCTTCTGCCTCCTAGCCGTGATGAGATGGTGGTTGTGGTTCAGGATATAGACGGCGGCGTTCTGCACAATCCAGGCCTCCCCGATCTCCTGCCCAATGTCCGCAGAGCGCAGCCAGCTATTCATGGCATACTGGGACAGGTTTTCTATCCAGGTTCTGCAAACACACCACCACAAAGGCTCAGCTTGACGCCAAGCCTTTCCCAGAGGTGCCATGGCTTCCTGGAGGCCGTCCCTCCAAGGTGTGCACCTGCAGCCCAGGGCACAGACCATGCCCGGGGAGGTCCCCAGTGCACCCGGCCACATCTGTGCGGCTCTGAGCGGCCACTGCACATGATCTTCTGCACTTCCTCCCCAGGGCCCTCTGCACTTCCTCCCCAGGGCCTTCTGCACTTCTTCCCCAAGGCCTTCTGCACTTCCTCCCCATGGCCTTCTGCACTTCCTCCCCAGGGCCTCCTGCACTTCCTCCCCTGTGGCCTTCTGCACTTCCTCCCGATGGCCTCCTGCACTTCCTCGCCCAGAGCCTTCTGCACTTCCTCCCTGTGGCCTTCTGCACTTCCTCCCCATGGCCTCCTGCACTTCCTCCCCCAGAGCCTTCTGCACTTCCTCCCCCATGGCCTCCTGCACTTCCTCCCCAAGGCCTTCTGCACTTCCTCCCCAGGGCCTTCTGCACTTCCTCCCCAGGGCCTTCTGCACTTCCTCCCCCATGGCCTTCTGCACTTCCTCCCCAGGGCCTCCTGCACTTCCTCCCCATGGCCTTCTGCACTTCCTCCCCATGGCCTTCTGCACTTCCTCCCCAGAGCCTTCTGCACTTCCTCCCCCATGGCCTTCTGCACTTCCTCCCCATGGCCTTCTGCACTTCCTCCCCCATGGCCTTCTGCACTTCCTCCCCCATGGCCTTCTGCACTTCCTCCCCCATGGCCTTCTGCACTTCCTCCCCAGAGCCTTCTGCACTTCCTCCCCCATGGCCTTCTGCACTTCCTCCCCATGGCCTCCTGCACTTCCTCCCCCATGGCCTCCTGCACTTCCTCCCCAGGACCTTCTGCACTTCCTCCCCAGGGCCTTCTGCACTTCCTCCCCAGGGCCTTCTGCACTTCCTCCCCAGGGCCTTCTGCACTTCCTCCCCAAGGCCTTCTGCACTTCCTCCCCATGGCCTCCTGCACTTCCTCCCCAAGGCCTTCTGCACTTCCTCCCCCAGGGACTTCTGCACTTCCTCCCCAGGGCCTTCTGCACTTCCTCCCCAAGGCCTTCTGCACTTCCTCCCCATGGCCTCCTGCACTTCCTCCCCAAGGCCTTCTGCACTTCCTCCCCAGGACCTTCTGCACTTCCTCCCCCGTGGCCTTCTGCACTTCCTCCCCATGGCCTTCTGCACTTCCTCCCCCATGGCCTTCTGCACTTCCTCCCCAGGGCCTTCTGCACTTCCTCCCCCGTGGCCTTCTGCACTTCCTCCCCAGGGCCTCCTGCACTTCCTCCCCCATGGCCTTCTGCACTTCCTCCCCATGGCCTTCTGCACTTCCTCCCCCATGGCCTTCTGCACTTCCTCCCCAGGGCCTTCTGCACTTCCTCCCCAAGGCCTTCTGCACTTCCTCCCCATGGCCTCCTGCACTTCCTCCCCAAGGCCTTCTGCACTTCCTCCCCAGGACCTTCTGCACTTCCTCCCCAGGGCCTTCTGCACTTCCTCCCCAGGGCCTTCTGCACTTCCTCCCCAGGGCCTTCTGCACTTCATCCCCAGGACCTTCTGCACTTCCTCCCCAGGACCTTCTGCACTTCCTCCCCAGAGCCTTCTGCACTTCCTCCCCAGGGCCTTCTGCACTTCCTCCCCAGGGCCTTCTGCACTTCCTCCCCCAGAGCCTTCTGCACTTCCTCCCCCATGGCTTTCTGCACTTCCTCCCCATGGCCTCCTGCACTTCCTCCCCAAGGCCTTCTGCACTTCCTCCCCCAGGGCCTTCTGCACTTCCTCCCCAGGGCCTTCTGCACTTCCTCCCCAAGGCCTTCTGCACTTCCTCCCCATGGCCTCCTGCACTTCCTCCCCAAGGCCTTCTATACTTCCTCCCCAGGGCCTTCTGCACTTCCTCCCCCGTGGCCTTCTGCACTTCCTCCCCATGGCCTTCTGCACTTCCTCCCCCATGGCCTTCTGCACTTCCTCCCCAGGGCCTTCTGCACTTCCTCCCCCGTGGCCTTCTGCACTTCCTCCCCAGGGCCTCCTGCACTTCCTCCCCCGTGGCCTTCTGCACTTCCTCCCCAGGGCCTTCTGCACTTCCTCCCCATGGCCTTCTGCACTTCCTCCCCCATGGCCTTCTGCACTTCCTCCCCAGGGCCTTCTGCACTTCCTCCCCAAGGCCTTCTGCACTTCCTCCCCAGGGCCTCCTGCACTTCCTCCCCAAGGCCTTCTGCACTTCCTCCCCAGGACCTTCTGCACTTCCTCCCCAGGGCCTTCTGCACTTCCTCCCCAGGGCCTTCTGCACTTCCTCCCCAGGGCCTTCTGCACTTCCTCCCCCAGAGCCTTCTGCACTTCCTCCCCCATGGCCTTCTGCACTTCCTCCCCAGGGCCTTCTGCACTTCCTCCCCAGGGCCTTCTGCACTTCCTCCCCAGGGCCTTCTGCACTTCCTCCCCAGGGCCTTCTGCACTTCCTCCCCAGGACCTTCTGCACTTCCTCCCCAGGGCCTCCTGCACTTCCTCCCCCGTGGCCTTCTGCACTTCCTCCCCCATGGCCTTCTGCACTTCCTCCCCATGGCCTTCTGCACTTCCTCCCCAGGACCTTCTGCACTTCCTCCCCAGGGCCTTCTGCACTTCCTCCCCAAGGCCTTCTGCACTTCCTCCCCAGGGCCTTCTGCACTTCCTCCCTCAGAGCCTTCTGCACTTCCTCCCCCATGGCCTTCTGCACTTCTTCCCCATGACCTTCTGCACTTCCTCCCCAGGGCCTTCTGCACTTCCTCCCCAGGGCCTTCTGCACTTCCTCCCCAGGACCTTCTGCACTTCCTCCCCAGGGCCTTCTGCACTTCCTCCCCCGTGGCCTTCTGCACTTCCTCCCCCATGGCCTTCTGCACTTCCTCCCCATGGCCTTCTGCACTTCCTCCCCCATGGCCTTCTGCACTTCCTCCCCAGGGCCTTCTGCACTTCCTCCCCAAGGCCTTCTGCACTTCCTCCCCATGGCCTCCTGCACTTCCTCCCCAAGGCCTTCTGCACTTCCTCCCCAGGACCTTCTGCACTTCCTCCCCCAGGGCCTTCTGCACTTCTTCCCCATGACCTTCTGTACTTCCTCCCCAGGGCCTTCTGCACTCCCTCCCCCAGGGCCTTCTGCACTTCCTCCCCAGGACCTTCTGCACTTCCTCCCCAGGGCCTTCTGCACTTCCTCCCCATGGCCTTCTGCACTTCCTCCCCAGGACCTTCTGCACTTCCTCCCCAGAGCCTTCTGCACTTCCTCCCCATGGCCTTCTGCACTTCTTCCCCATGACCTTCTGCACTTCCTCCCCAGGGCCTTCTGCACTTCCTCCCCAGGGCCTTCTGCACTTCCTCCCCAGGACCTTCTGTACTTCCTCCCCATGGCCTCCTGCACTTCCTCCCCAAGGCCTTCTGCACTTCCTCCCCATGGCCTCCTGCACTTCCTCCCCAAGGCCTTCTGCACTTCCTCCCCATGGCCTTCTGCACTTCCTCCCCATGACCTTCTGCACTTCCTCCCCATGGCCTCCTGCACTTCCTCCCCAAGGCCTTCTGCACTTCCTCCCCAGGACCTTCTGCACTTCCTCCCCCAGGGCCTTCTGCACTTCTTCCCCATGACCTTCTGTACTTCCTCCCCAGGGCCTTCTGCACTTCCTCCCCCAGGGCCTTCTGCACTTCCTTCCCAGGACCTTCTGCACTTCCTCCCCAGGGCCTTCTGCACTTCCTCCCCATGGCCTTCTGCACTTCCTCCCCAGGACCTTCTGCACTTCCTCCCCAGAGCCTTCTGCACTTCCTCCCCATGGCCTTCTGCACTTCTTCCCCATGACCTTCTGCACTTCCTCCCCAGGGCCTCCTGCACTTCCTCCCCATGGCCTTCTGCACTTCCTCCCCATGGCCTCCCGCACTTCCTCCCCAGAGCCTTCTGCACTTCCTCCCCCGTGGCCTCCTGCACTTCCTCCCCAGGGCCTTCTGTACTTCCTCCCCATGGCCTTCTGCACTTCCTCCCCAGGGCCTCCTGCACTTCCTCCCCCATGGCCTTCTGCACTTCCTCCCCAGGGCCTTCTGCACTTCCTCCCCATGGCCTTCTGCACTTCCTCCCCATGGCCTCCTGCACTTCCTCCCCCATGGCCTTCTGCACTTTCTCCCCAGGGCCTTCTGCACTTCCTCCCCAGGGCCTTCTGCACTCCTCCCCCATGGCGGTCATTTCCTCCCCTGTGGCGTTCATTTCCTCCCCCGTGGCGGTCATTTCCTCCCCTGTGGCAGTCTCTGCACTTCCTCCCCCGTGGCGGTCATTTCCTCCCCCGTGGCGGTCATTTCCTCCCCTGTGGCAGGTCCTCCTCCTATGGAGCTCTTCCTGGTCTCTTGGCTCCTCCCCTGGCCTGAGCTCTTGGCCCTTCACTCACCTGTTTTGGATAGCGGCCGGCCTGGGGTCCTTGCTGGGCTATCCTTGTCCACCCTGCATCCCCCTCCCCCTGTGAGCTACCTGACACCGTCTACCTCACACATAGGCAGCAGGACACACTCAGGGCGGGGTCTTTCGAGGTCACCCAGTGTTTGCACCTGTGGGGACAGTCTGCCCTGCTGGCCTAGGCTGGGCAATCTTTTCTGTCAAGGGTCAGATACTAAGAGTGTTAGACCTCGTGAGCCATTAGAGGTCTGTTGCATGATTTTTTTCCTGCTTTTTAAAATAATGTTTGAATTGTCAAAGCCAGCCTTATCTTGAGGGAAGAAACACATGAAAACAGGCAAGGCCTCGTGATGGAGGCAGACGGCCAGGTGAGAGCCTGACCTGTATGTGATCCATTCTGGGTTGGTGTCTGGGGGCTCCGGCACGTAGCCAGCTGGGTGCTGGCTGGTGTCCTCAGGGGGAATGGCCCGGTTATTCAGCTCCACACCTTCTGAACGCAGCAAGTGGACCGTGGCCTGCAGGAAATGGGCAGCAGGAGATGGGACCTATCCTTACAGTTTACTATGGAAAAGCCAAAGACAAGGAAGAGACCTGCATGATGAGCCCCAACCCCATGCTGAGATAAACCCCTCCTGCACCCCATGACCTGGCACTTCACCCCAACCCCTCCCCCCATGACCTGTCCCTTCACCCCCAACTCCTCCCCCCATGACCTGGCACTTCACCCCCAACCCCTCCCCATAACCTGGCACTTCACCCCAACCCCTTCTCCCCCCCATGCCCTGGCACTTCACCAACAACCCCTCCCCCCCATGACCTGTCCCTTCACCCCCAACCCCTCCTCCCCATGACCTGTCCCTTCACCCCCAACCCCTCCCCCCCATGACCTGTCCCTTCATCAACAACCCCTCCCCCCCATGGCCTGTCCCTTCACCCCAACCCCTCCCCCCATGACCTGTCCCTTCACCAACAACCCCTCCCCCCCATGACCTGTCCCTTCACCCCCCAACCCCTCCCCTCCATGACCTGGCACCTCACCCCAACCCCTCCCCCCATGACCTGGCACTTCACCCCCAACCCCTCCCCCCCATGACCTTTCAGTTCATTTTAAAGCTATGTGTCTCAGGGGAGCATGCCTCTCAGGCCTCTGACCCTCCTCTCCTTCCCGGTTGTCAGTGGCCCACTACTGGCTGCGCTGTTCCGAGGTGGCCGCAGAAGCCTCTTCTGCAGGGTTGAAGGCCGGCCTGCCCGGGGTGGGCGGCCCCCTGTCAGGGCCCCCTGTGCTCACAGACAGCTGTCTCCCTCAGGCTCTTTGCATCAGCTCCAACCCTGAGTCCTAGCACCCAGGGGTGGGCTGGCTGTGCCTGTCCCCAAGGACATCCACTGGGTGAGACCACCTTGGCTGGCCCCAGGGCTCCAAGAATCCTGACATTTCAGAGGTCTCCCAGGTCCTCGGGGTGCCGGCTCAGGGAAGAGCTGAAGGCTCCCAGCAGGAGTCACCCACTCGCTATAACTTCATCCTCCAAGAGAGGTGACATACACTATCCTACCTGTGTGGCCTTGGACTTAGGGTTCAAAATCCTTTCTTGTTCTTTCTTTTTTTTCTGCCAGTATTGAGACTTGAACTCAAGGGCCCACACTCTTGTTCAGGTTTTTCCACCCATGGCTAGCATTCTACGATGTGAACCGTGCCTCCAACTGCAATTTCTGTTGGTTAGTTGGAGCTAAGAGTCTTGATATCTCGTCTGCCTCATCTGACCCTGAACTGAGTCCCAGATCGCGGCCTCCTCGGGAGCTGGGACTATAGATGCAACCCACTTGTGCCCAGCACAGAAATTATTTCTAACAAAAATTTTTACATCAATTCCAAGTGTATCAGAGACTCAATGTCACACCCCAAACTGAAACTACTGCAAGAGAGAGTAGAACTTACACATATAGATAGAAACTTCCTGAATAGAGCCCTGGGGACACAACAGATAGGAGAGACTTGACAAGTGGGACTACATCAAAACAGTTTCTGCACAACTGAGGACATAGTCACTAAACTAGAAAGACAGCCAGCAGACTGGGAAAAGATCTTTACCAGCAACATATCAGACAAAGGCCTAATGTCTGATACATACAAGGAGCTCCAGAATCAAACCCCTTCCAAGCCTAATAAGCCAATCACTAAATGGCAAAGTAGCTAAGGAGAGACTTCTCAGAAGAAGAGGTGAGAATGGCAAAGAAAGAAGAAATGCTCATCGTCCCTGGCCATAAGGGAAATGCAATCCAAAACAACTCTGAGATTCCATCTCACCCCAGCTGGATCGGTCAGCATTGTGAATTCAAACAACAAATGCCGGTGGGGATGTGGGGGAAAAGGAACCCTACGGCACTGCTGGTAATGTAACCTAGCACAACCACTTCGGACAAGGGGCTGGAGGCTCCTCAAAAACTAAACACAGACCTTCCCTACAACCCAGCCATAGCACTCCTGGGCATCTACCTTGACCATCAGTAGTCAGGATATAATAAGGACACCTGCACCTCCATGTTCACTGCTGCACTATTCACAATAGCCAGGATACAGAAACACCCCAGATGCCCACAATAGATGAGTGGATCCAAAAACGTAGTGCCTATACTCAGAATTTTACACAGCCATTAGAAAGAATAAAGTGATAGCTGGGTGCCCGTGGCTCATGCCTGTAATCCCAGGTACTCAGGAGGCTGAGATCTGAGGATCATGGTTCAAAGCCAGCCTGGGCATGAACATCTGTGAGACTTATCTCCAATAAACCACCAGAAAACCAGAAGTGGCACTGTGGCTCAAGTGGTAGAGCAGTAGCCTTGAGCTAAAGAGCTGAGGGACAGTGTCCAGGCCCAAAGTTCAAGCCCTATGACCAACAACAGCAACAAAAAAAATGGTATCATTTTCAGGGAAATGGATGGAACTAGAACAAATCATGTTAAGTGAGGTAAGCCAAGCTCAGAGGGACACAAACAGCACATGTTCTCTCTGATATGCAGAAATTAGATCTAAAATGCACTGGGATATGACAAATTATTCAGGATTCTAGATACTCACCCAGTGAGACCAACAGAGGATGCTCTCAGGAGAGAAACACAAAGGCACAAAGCCTAAGTTTCTCCTCACATTTACAAAATATAATATGCATACAAACTCCAAGATATGGAAACAAGCCTTCTGGTTTTTTTCTTTTTCCCTTTCTTTTTCTTTTAGTTTTTTAGTTTCTAGTTTCTGTCTTCTTGACCGTGTGTCTGGTGCATTCAAGTGTACATCTTCAGGGGAGGGTACAGAATTCGAGGGAAAAAGGGTGAAAGCTTGCAGCAGTGGAGCTCACTGGACACTGATGAAGCTGACCGACATATACAATTGTGGGTGGAGATGGGTGGGAGGGACGGGGGAGAGTGAGGGAAGAGAAGACAGTACGGCAGGAAGAACCCGCAACCCCTCCCTCTATCACCGCTATAATGACAATACATTGGTTAAAAATGTACATCAACACACATCATGTTTCATGTTGACATATGTTTCTCCTCATAAATCTTCCAAGAACAGAACAGCTTAGCTTGGAAGCAGAACCAAGGGCCCTGGGCTACGTGTTTGTAAAGTGTGAGTGGTGGCCAAGTCTGGTGTCTACAATGGCCCAGCCTCCGCAGACACGAGAAATTCCCCTCTGCACTGACGAACCCCACCCAGGGACGCACCTCGCCACTGATGAACCCCACTTCCGCGAACTTCCTCAGCAGGTCCTGGGAAACGTGCTTCTGGTGACTCATGGAAGCCGGGCCCAGGACGTCATGCGCCGAGCCTTCAGTACCTTTCCTCTTCCGTGCTGCGGGGGCAGCAATCGAGAAGATTGGCCTCTGTCTCTCCCTTTCGGCGGTACCGGGGTTTGAACTCAGGTCCTTGCGCTTGTTAGGCAGGAACCCTAACACTAGGCTACTCCATCAGCCCTCTGTGCATTGGCTAGTTAAAGATTTTTCTCGTTTCAAGTTTGAGCCCGCCTGGCCAGGCCAGGGTGCCATTTGTGCCTCTGTAAGCAGCCAGCGCGACGGTGTGTGGGCAGCCGCTCCCAACCACTGGTGGGGAGGGAAACTGGGAAGCTCTCGCCCTGGCGGGCCTTCTACTGAGCTTTCCCTCTCTCCAGGCCTCCATTACAGGCAATTACAGGCTTGAGCCTCTGCATACGACTTCAGACACAAAAACACAAGAATTCCTGGCCTGCTCTGTTGCCTGTGCCTCTGCCCAGCACGGTGCCAGGTGAACCCAGACAGACAGCACGGGGCTCTCTGAGGTGATCACGGTGCCCTACCAGGCTGGCAGCTCAGGCCGGAGCAGCGCCAGTGGGTGGCGATGGTGCAGAACGCTGCTGCTGTCATGGTCACCGTCACCTGCTTTCTGGAGCCACCTACCAGTGCCCCGGAGGTCCAGCATCCGGGAGATGGGCCCAAGGCCCCGGAGATCCCCTCCCCCACAGGGCTTAATGCCCCTCGGACAAAATGCCCCAGGATCTGCACAGAACCACCGCCCCTCCCCCGGGCGGTATCTTCTGAGGTGAACACAGGTGAGCACTCTGAACATGGTATCGGCGTATGATCCTGCTTTCTACCAGAAGGGGTGCTGAAGCCCCGTGCAAGGCCAGAGGCCCTGCGGCTACTGCCTGCCTGCCTCTGGAGGCCGCAGGCATGGAGGCATTACAGCCTCTGCTGGTGCCTTCTGTGGAGTCAGACCTCCGGGGAACCAGTGGGACCCCAGGCCCAGTCTGCCCTGCTCCTCCCTGGGGACCAGTGGGACCCCAGGCCCAGCCTTCCCTACTCCTCCCTGGGGACCAGTGGGACCCCAGGCCCAGCCTGCCCTGCTCCTCCCTGGGGGTCAGGGGGACCCCAGGCCCAGCCTGCCCTGCTCCTCCCTGGGCCCAGGGTGGGTGTCCAACCTCGCCTCATTCTCAACGGTTTCCAGGCTTTGATGTTGTCATAGAGGAGGCAGAAGCGGCAGGCGGCCCGGCAAACATCCCACACGCCCTGCTTCCGAGCAACCTTGGCCAACTCCGTCCAAATCTGAATCCTGGCCACCAAGGTCCCAGAGAGCAGGCAGAGGGGAAGTCAGAAAGCAAGGACAGCATGGTTGCTGAAGGTTCTCAAGAGTGACCTCCAGACACAGTGCACTCTTGGCTGTGGTGGGACAGCCTGGTCGGAGGGGTGGGGGCTGGGTGCTCAGGGCTGGGTGGTCCTGGGGTGAGGCTGGGTGCTCAGGGCTGGGTGGTCTCAGGTGGGGCTGGGTGCTCAGGGCTGGGTGGTCCTGGGGTGAGACTGGATGCTCAGGGCTGGGTGGTCCTGGGGTGAGACTGGGTGCTCAGGGCTGGGTGGTCCTGGGGTGAGACTGGGTGCTCAGGGCTGGGTGGTCCTGGGGTGGGGCTGGGTGCTCAGGGCTGGGTGGTCCTGGGGTGAGACTGGGTGCTCAGGGCTGGGTGGTCTCAGGTGGGGCTGGGTGCTCAGGGCTGGGTGGTCCCGGGGGCTGGGTGCTCAGGGCTAGGTGGTCTTGGGGTGAGGCTGAGTGCTCAGGGGTGGGTGGTCTTGGGTGAGGCTGGGTGCTCAGGGCTGGGTGGTCCTGGGGTGAGGCTGGGTGCTCAGGGCTGGGTGGTCTCAGGTGGGGCTGGGTGCTCAGGGCTGGGTGGTCCTGGGGTGAGGCTGGGTGCTCAGGGCTGGGTGGTCTCAGGTGGGGCTGGGTGCTCAGGGCTGGGTGGTCTCAGGTGGGGCTGGGTGCTCAGGGCTGGGTGGTCTCAGGTGGGGCTGGGTGCTCAGGGCTGGGTGGTCTCCAGGGCTACCTCTCCTTTTCATTTTCGCTCCCCAGGCGCCGCAGGTGTCCGATCGCCTTGTCCACACTGATGATGTGATGCCGGGCCTTTGCACACAGGCTGGAAAACCGGCCCTTGATTTTCCCAATGGAAACTGAGAGCAGAAACAAAGGACAGCAGAGGACATGGGTGTAAGGCCTCTGTTCCTGGGAGACACTGGTGACGGCAGCAGGCAGAGGCCCTGAGGGGCTGCGTGGGCTCCTGGGCGCCCAGCGGATCCAGGCGGGCACTCGCTGCCTGTCTTTGGATGGTGGTAGGGATGAGCTGGTGGGAGGTGTGCCCCGATCCGAAGCCAGCATGCCCTGGCTCCCCTCCACTGCACAGAGCAGTCCCGCCTCTCCCCGTCAGAAGTGCCAGGCTCCGATCTGTCTCTTGCTGCCCCCTGGCAATGCCCAACACCCGTTCCAGATGCGGCAGTCTTATCTGCTTGATGCAGGAGTTCTGAACCCACTGCAGTTTTTTCTAGATAAAGAACATGCTCTCAGAGCTCACCATTTCACCACGGGCCAGCTGCCTGGCCGCCTGCTGTGGACAGAGGGCCTGGGCTGGCCTCACACCCTCCCCCACAGCCTCAGGCAGCAGTGTTCCCTGCTGACCAGCTCAGATGTCCGGTCTGGGAGCCCCACGCCTACTGGGCTCCGGTACCATAAGGTGCTGGTCCACAAGGCATTGGCACCATCACCATTAGCAGCATCCACAGGGCACCGGAGGCACAGGCCCACCTCTGACTAAAATAAAGCAAAACAGGTGCCCCCGTGATGTCAACAGACATCTACAGCTGCTCTGCAGCGGATCCTCTGGCACCTTGGGATGAGAGGACCAGGAGAGGCGACACAGCCCAACAGGCCCAGCCCTCCCGGGCTGCCACCACAGCATCAGCCTTCCTGGTGCATGGAGGGACCTCCCCAGCTTGCCCCCACCCACGTGGACTGTCAGCCTCTGATTCCCACTGTCAGCCTCTGAGTCAGACACGGGCTAAAGGGGATGACACCTCTGCCTAGTGCAGGCCACCCGCTGCTCTACCACCACTGTCTTGTCCTGGACAGCGGGCTCCAAGGCCACAGCCAAGGGTTAGCGTGGCCCTGGATTGCATGCCGGGATTCCTTTAGAATCTCTCTGTGGAAAAAAGTATATGGCCCAGGTGAGTGGGTGTGCAACGGCCCGAGTGAGTGGGTGTGCGATGGCCTGGAGGAGTGGGTGTGCAATGGCCCAGGTGAGTGGGTGTGCAATGGTCTGGGGGAGTGGGTGTGCAATGGCCTGGGTGAGTGGGTGTGCAATGGTCTGAGGCAGTGGGTGTGTGATGGTCTGGGGGAGTGGGTGTGCGATGTCTTGGAGGAGTGGGTGTGCGATGGTCTGGGTGAGTGGGTGTGCAATGGTCTGGGGGAGTGGGTGTGCAATGGCCTGGGTGAGTGGGTGTGCAATGGTCTGGGGGAGTGGGTGTGCGATGTCTTGGAGGAGTGGGTGTGCGATGGTCTGGGGGAGTGGGTGTGCAATGGTCTGGGGGAGTGGGTGTGCGATGGTCTGGGGGAGTGGGTGTGCAATGGTCTGGGGGAGTGGGTGTGCGATGGTCTGGAGGAGTGGGTGTGCGATGTCTTGGAGGAGTGGGTGTGCGATGGTCTGGGGGAGTGGGTGTGTGATGGTCTGGGGAGTGGGTGTGTGATGGTCTGGGGGAGTGGGTGTGCAATGGTCTGGGAGAGTGGGTGTGCAATGGTCTGGGAGAGTGGGTGTGTGATGGCCTGGAGGAGTGGGTGTGCAATGGCCCAGGTGAGTGGGTGTGCAATGGTCTGGGGGAGTGGGTGTGCAATGGCCTGGGTGAGTGGGTGTGCAATGGTCTGGGGGAGTGGGTGTGCGATGTCTTGGAGGAGTGGGTGTGCGATGGTCTGGGGGAGTGGGTGTGCAATGGTCTGGGGGAGTGGGTGTGCGATGGTCTGGGGGAGTGGGTGTGCGATGGTCTGGGGGAGTGGGTGTGCAATGGTCTGGGGGAGTGGGTGTGCGATGGTCTGGAGGAGTGGGTGTGCGATGTCTTGGAGGAGTGGGTGTGCGATGGTCTGGGGGAGTGGGTGTGCGATGGTCTGGGGGAGTGGGTGTGTGATGGTCTGGGGAGTGGGTGTGTGATGGTCTGGAGGAGTGGGTGTGCGATGGTCTTGGGGAGTGGGTGTGCAATGGTCTGGAGGAGTGGGTGTGCAATGGTCTGGAGGAGTGGGTGTGCGATGGTCTGGGGGAGTGGGTGTGCGATGGTCTGGGAGAGTGGGTGTGTGATGGTCTGGGGGAGTGGGTGTGCAATGTCCTGGAGGAGTGGGTGTGCGATGGTCTTGGGGAGTGGGTGTGCAATGGTCTGGGGGAGTGGGTGTGCAATGTCCTGGAGGAGTGGGTGTGCGATGGTCTGGGGGAGTGGGTGTGCGATGGTCTGGAGGAGTGGGTGTGCGATGTCTTGGAGGAGTGGGTGTGCGATGGTCTGGGGGAGTGGGTGTGCGATGGTCTGGGGGAGTGGGTGTGCGATGGCCTGGAGGAGTGGGTGTGCGATGGTCTGGGGGAGTGGGTATGCAATGGTCTGGGGGAGTGGGTGTGCAATGGTCTGGGGGAGTGGGTATGCAATGGTCTGGAGGAGTGGGTGTGCGATGTCTTGGAGGAGTGGGTGTGCGATGGTCTGGGGGAGTGGGTGTGCGATGGTCTGGGGGAGTGGGTGTGCGATGGTCTTGGGGAGTGGGTGTGCAATGGTCTGGGGGAGTGGGTGTGCAATGGTCTGGAGGAGTGGGATATACTTAGGTCTGATCCAAGTAGCCACCCTGGGTGGGCAGTCCCAGGCAGTGTCCCTGGGCCTCAGGCCGCTCCACGGCCAAACCTGGCCTTTAGAGTAGCTATGTTTGCAGAGCCTCAGAATGCAGCCTTGCTGGGCAGAAGCAGGGAGGGCCGGCTCAAGGCAGCCCAGGCCCTGGGGCCCGGAGCCGAGGAGGAGCCTCTGAAGGTAAGGGCGCCCGGCTCTTGGCAGATGGAGCACTGCTCACCTCTGGCTTCGTTCTCGCTGTCCAGAACGATCTGGAAGGTATCAGGGGCCAGGGCCAGCCCTGCGTTCACCAGAAGCGCACGCTTCTTCCTCACACTGTCTTTGGGGTGCGTGGCTTTTTTGGCCTGTGGAAACAAGATTTGATATGGCGGGCACGGTGTGGGCAGTGGCTCTTCCTGGGACTTGTGAGAACTCTTGGCCTTTGGCTTTTGGTGCGGGGGCTGTGGGCCCTCTCCAGCCCCCTCCTAGGCCTAGCCCTGCGGCTTAGCCGGGGCCTGGGTCTTGGGGTGTGGGGCCCTGCCCTGCTACCTGCTGGATGGCCATGTTGGCCTTGTCCTCTGCGCGCTCTGGGGAGTGGTACAGCATGGTGCACAGGTGCATCCGGTTGAAGCCCATCCTGAGCTTGTCCTGGTAGACGCCCAGGGTGTCCAGGGCCGAGGCCTTGCGCAGGTGCTCCATGGCCGTCTCCAGCTGGTCCGCATCCTCCTCCATGTGCCCCAGCTCCATGTGCACTTGGCAGCGTAGCAGGGTCATGAGACTGGAGCGGGGGTGCGTGCGCGTCAGGAGGCCCTGCGGGAGCCCGCCAGGCACCAGCCTCCTCAGGCGGCTGCCCAGCCTCCTGCTTTCCAGCCTGTCAGTGCCCTGCCCTGAGGTGCCACGAACAGGGGCAGATGAATGGAGAGCATCTCTTCAGCCATTGGAAAACACAGAGCCAGTCCGGCAAGAGCCCTGGGCACTGGGGTGGGGGTGGGGGTGAAAGGCGGCAGGCGGGCCTGGCCCAGGCTGGCCCTGTCTGCTGCGCAAGGCTCTGGCATTCTGGCCAGTCTTTCATCTGTGCTCAGGGCAGAGGAGCTGGCTAAGGTGGGTGTGTGGCCCTCGAAGAGCGCGGCGCAGCATGGGGGCATGCAGGCTGCACCCCAACACCAGCACATGCAGCTGCTACCCCCCCACGAGCTGACAGCCCAGGGGGTGGCTGAATTGGAGCCCAGCCAGAGAGGGGCCACGAGGCAGGAAAACCACAACCAGCAGACTCACAGACAGAGTCCACACCGCCAGAAAGGGGCGTACGCAGCTGGCTGGGAGACCTGCAGACCAGTGCTTCTGCAGTGATTTCTGCTTCCTGCCCTCTCACAGGCCACACCACCACCACAGCATCAGCACAACCGGACCCAAGCCAGAAGGCAGTTGCTTCTTGGCACGGACACCAGGTAGCACCGGCTGAGGCCGCCGGCAGAGAGCAGGTGGGAGGGACAGAGAATGACGCAGGGTGTGAGGCGATCCAGAAGCATCACGCTCCTGAACTCATTTCCTGAACAGCAACTCCTTTGTATAATGACTTAAAGGTGGTAAAGTAGTGTTTAAGAAGAGAAAGCATGCAGGAAGGACCCTGGTGATGGCCCATGGCGGTGACCGCCGTAGAGGCCGCATCCTGCAAGCCGAGCTGGAGAGGTCAGGGCACAGGGTCTGGTTGCTATGGTGTGACACAAACTGCCTATAATGGCTCAAACAAAACCTACCACGACAGCTGGATTGATCACACTGGCCGGACGCTGCCAGGCGGAGTCCCAGCAGGACAAGAGCAGGAGACACACCTGAGCAGAACACGCAATAACCCTCCCGGACAACAAGACCCCCAGATGGCACTCAGAAGGACAAAATGCGAAGGTAACCTGTGGGAGGGCCAGGCACGCAGGTGGAGAGGGGGCGGCCCTCAGGGACACCGCCACTTGGAGGCTTCAATAACCAAAGTATGTCCACAAACCGAAGGAAAAACAGCATTAATGAATGAGCAGGTAGGGAATTTCATTAGAGACGGATGCAAACAGAAGGCAGAAGGAAGGAGTTGACAGAAATTACCTAGTGAGTGCAAGAGATTCAAAACACAGTGAAATCCTGGAGGGGCAGGGCCCGGGCCACATGTTAGTGGACTCGGAGGAAGAGGAATGGATTGAAGAAGCAATAGCTAATGACTTCTCAGAGCGGACAAAAGCATCACTTTACACACCCCGGAATTGCAGACACCCCCATACAGAATTTAAACAAAAGACCTTCTAGAAGCACCACAAGCACGGCCTTGGGAAGTAAAGTTAGAGACTAGAGGGTCCAGAGGAACCACGGCCGAGCTTCCTCAACTTTCCAACAGACCAGTGGATACAGCGCCTGCGTCCAGCCCGCGGGGACTATGAAGGGGGGTCGCTGCAGCCAGTGTCCACCTGCCATGCCTTGCTGGAGGGGGAGGTAACGCAGATGAGCTCTGCTCTGTGGGACACTGGAACTGGCAAAGAGGGGTAAATCCAAGCAGCCGCTGTTTTCCTGAAGTTACAGGTCTGTGCCACGGGACCAGTGGGAGGCAAAGGTCTGAACCAGACCAAGGGCATGCCACACTGCTCTGGAGATGCCCGGCCCCTAGCTGCACAGTGGAGAGGCCACAGAGCCAACCAGGAAAGATAGAGGAGTCTCAGAATGCACATGAGCCCCAGAGGAGGCCGCAGGGAGTCGGCGGCATGGAGAGCATCCCACAGCACGCCGGTCACGGCACCAGCCCCAGGCCGCAGGAGCAGGGCCGACCCCAGCCTCTGCGGTCCTCAGAGCCACGCAGAGAACAGGGCCCGGAGACCCCGGAGCCAAGGCAGGACACACGCCCAGCTGCCAGACAAAAATCCAGAAGCCACACAATCAGAGGGGACCCCGTGCCCGGGAGCCGCCGCGGCTGGGTGGGTCTCAGGAGAGAGTTCTCCCAGAATAAGATAAGCAAGCCCAGCACCCCAGGCCCTGGCCCACCATGGTTATCTTACCCAGAGTTTAAGGGGGAATCACGAGTAGACCACACACTTTGGAAAATGACTTTGAACAGACACATGACAACTCATTTTACAAAGGCCATGTGCCCTGTATGAAGCCTGCCAGAGAAGGGTGCTTGGAGCAGGGCTGTTGCGCAAGGAGACAGGTGAGCACGTTAAGAATGGGAAGACGCTCACCCTGGGCCTAAGGGAAGTGTGGAGTATCAACTGCCGGGTACAGACACCTGCGTGTCTGTGTGTCTGAGGATGCGCTCACAGGAAAGGCTAAACTTGACCAGGAAGTGGAGCACGGGGGGGGGGGGGGTGAGAATCCCACAGCATCTGCAGAGCACGGGGGGGGGGGGTGAGAATCTCACAGCATCCGCAGGCAGAGCACGGGGCGCGGGGGGGGGGGGTGAGAATCCCACAGCATCCGCAGGCAGAGCACAGGGCGGGGGGGTGAGAATCCCACAGCATCCGCAGGCAGAGCACGGGGCGGGGGGGGGGGTGAGAATCCCACAGCATCCGCAGGCAGAGCACGGGGCGGGGGGGGTGAGAATCCCACAGCATCCGCAGGCAGAGCACGGGGCGGGGGGGGGGGGGTGAGAATCCCACAGCATCCGCAGGCAGAGCACGGGGCGGGGGGGTGAGAATCCCACAGCATCCGCAGGCAGAGCACGGGGCGGGGGGGTGAGAATCCCACAGCATCCGCAGGCAGAGCACGGGGCGGGGGGGTGAGAATCCCACAGCATCCGCAGGCAGAGCACGGGGGGGGGGGCGGGGGGGGGGTGAGAATCCCACAGCATCTGCAGGCAGAGCACGGGGGGGGGTGGGGGGGGTGAGAATCCCACAGCATCCGCAGGCAGAGCACGGGGCGGGGGGGGGGCGGGGGGGGTGAGAATCCCACAGCATCCGCAGGCAGAGCACGGGGGGGGGGGGTGAGAATCCCACAGCATCCGCAGGCAGAGCACGGGGCGGGGGGGGGCGGGGGGGGGTGAGAATCCCACAGCATCCACAGGCAGAGCACGGGGGGGGGGGTGGTGAGAATCCCACAGCATCCGCAGGCAGAGCACGGGGCGCGGGGGGGGGGTGAGAATCCCACAGCATCCGCAGGCAGAGCACGGGGCGGGGGGGGGGGCGGGGGGGGTGAGAATCCCACAGCATCCGCAGGCAGAGCACAGGGCGGGGGGGGGGGGTGAGAATCCCACAGCATCCGCAGGCAGAACGGGGTGGGGGGGGTGAGAATCCCACAGCATCCGCAGGCAGAGCACGGGGCGGGGGCGGGGGGGGGCGGGGGGGGGTGAGAATCCCACAGCATCCGCAGGCAGAGCACGGGGCGGGGGGGGGCGGGGGGGGCCGGGAATCCCACAGCATCCGCAGGCAGAGCACGGGGCGGGGGCGGGGGGGGGGCGGGGGGGGTGAGAATCCCACAGCATCCGCAGGCAGAGCACGGGGCGGGGGGGGGGGGCGGGGGGGGCCGGGAATCCCACAGCATCTGCAGGCAGAGCACGGGGCGGGGGTGGGGCGGGGGGGGGTGAGAATCCCACAGCATCCGCAGGCAGAGCACGGGGTGGGGGGGGGGCGGGGGGGGCCGGGAATCCCACAGCATCTGCAGGCAGAGCACGGGGCGGGGGGGGTGAGAATCCCACAGCATCTGCAGGCAGAGCACGGGGCGGGGGGGGGCGGGGGGGGTGAGAATCCCACAGCATCCGCAGGCAGAGCACGGGGCGGGGGGGGGGGCGGGGGGGCCGGGAATCCCACAGCATCTGCAGGCAGAGCACGGGGCGGGGGCGGGGGGGGGGGCGGGGGGGGTGAGAATCCCACAGCATCTGCAGGCAGAGCACGGGGCGGGGGGGGGGGGCGGGGGGGGGCCGGGAATCCCACAGCATCCGCAGGCAGAGCACGGGGCGGGGGGGGGGGGGCGGGGGGGGCCGGGAATCCCACAGCATCTGCAGGCAGAGCACGGGGCGGGGGCGGGGGGGGGGGCGGGGGGGGGGGGTGAGAATCCCACAGCATCCGCAGGCAGAGCACGGGGCGGGGGGGGGGCGGGGGGGGTGAGAATCCCACAGCATCTGCAGGCAGAGCACGGGGCGGGGGCGGGGGGGGGGCGGGGGGGGGCCGGGAATCCCACAGCATCCGCAGGCAGAGCACGGGGCGGGGGGGGGGGGGCGGGGGGGGCCGGGAATCCCACAGCATCCGCAGGCAGAGCACGGGGCGGGGGGGGGGGCGGGGGGGGCCGGGAATCCCACAGCATCTGCAGGCAGAGCACGGGGCGGGGGCGGGGGGGGGGGCGGGGGGGGGGGTGAGAATCCCACAGCATCCGCAGGCAGAGCACGGGGCGGGGGGGGGGGCGGGGGGGGGTGAGAATCCCACAGCATCTGCAGGCAGAGCACGGGGCGGGGGGCGGGGGGGGGGCGGGGGGGGGCCGGGAATCCCACAGCATCCGCAGGCAGAGCACGGGGCGGGGGGGGGGGGCGGGGGGGGGCCGGGAATCCCACAGCATCCGCAGGCAGAGCACGGGGCGGGGGGGGGGGGCGGGGGGGGCCGGGAATCCCACAGCATCTGCAGGCAGAGCACGGGGCGGGGGCGGGGGGGGGGGCGGGGGGGGGGGGGGGTGAGAATCCCACAGCATCCGCAGGCAGAGCACGGGGCGGGGGGGGGGGCGGGGGGGGTGAGAATCCCACAGCATCTGCAGGCAGAGCACGGGGCGGGGGGCGGGGGGGGGGGCGGGGGGGGGCCGGGAATCCCACAGCATCCGCAGGCAGAGCACGGGGCGGGGGGGGGGGGCGCGGGGGGGGCCGGGAATCCCACAGCATCCGCAGGCAGAGCACGGGGCGGGGGGGGGGGGCGGGGGGGGCCGGGAATCCCCATCCGCAGGCAGAGCACGGGGCGGGGGGGGGGCGGGGGGGGCCGGGAATCCCACAGCATCCGCAGGCAGAGCACGGGGCGGGGGGGGGGGCGGGGGGGGGCCGGGAATCCCACAGCATCTGTAGGCAGAGCACGGGGCGGGGGGGGGGGGCGGGGGGGGGCCGGGAATCCCACAGCATCTGCAGGCAGAGCACGGGGCGGGGGGGGGGGGCGGGGGGGCCGGGAATCCCACAGCATCTGCAGGCAGAGCACGGGGCGGGGGGGGGGGGGCGGGGGGGGGCCGGGAATCCCACAGCATCTGCAGGCAGAGCACGGGGCGGGGGGGGGGGCGGGGGGGCCGGGAATCCCACAGCATCTGCAGGCAGAGCACGGGGCGGGGGGGGGGCGGGGGGGGGCCGGGAATCCCACAGCATCTGCAGGCAGAGCACGGGGCGGGGGGGGGGGCGGGGGGGGGCCGGGAATCCCACAGCATCTGCAGGCAGAGCACGGGGCGGGGGGGGGCGGGGGGGGCCGGGAATCCCACAGCATCCGCAGGCAGAGCACGGGGTGGGGGGGGGCGGGGGGGGGGCCGGGAATCCCACAGCATCTGCAGGCAGAGCACTAAACCACCAAAAGGAGAGGACCCTGAGGCAGCCAGTGGGAGGCGGGCTCCGGGGGGGCGCAGTGCGGTCTGCCTATGCTGCTGGGAGCCCGGGCGGGACAGCTAGCTCTGCCCCTCTCTGCGGACCCCCTGCTACCCTGCCACGGGCCCCGAAACCCCGCAAGGCCCAGGCGCCTACCTGTCCACCTTCTCCAGGATGTCGGCCACGTTGGTGAGCGGCCTGCGGAGGTGGTGCCTCAGGCTGTGCTGCAGCAGGGGCAGGCAGAGGTTCCACTGGGTGGTGCAGACCACCTGCACAGCCTGGGGGTCGCCCAGGCGGACAGCACGCTGCAGCACCAGGTCCAGCCTGTTGATGATGTCCAGCTGGTCCTGCAGGGCAGTGCGCCGTGAGGACCGTGAGCGAGGCAGCGGCTGGAAGCCAGAGCCCAGAGAGCTGTGTGGGGCCAGGCGGCAGGAAGGCCTGGGTCCACTGGACCGCTCCCTGGTCTCCAGGCCCGGGGAGCTTTGTGGCAGGGCACCGGTCTCTTCAGGATGTCTGCTGGCTTTAGCCTCTTTGCAGGTCCTTGTGTCTCTACTTCCTAACCTTTTCTCTAACTGGGGCCTGCTTCTTGTGTTACTGTCCAAATAACACCCTCTCTGGTTTGTCCTTCGGACCCTTCTCCACAGAGAGGCTGCGGGCTGGGCTGTCAGGACTCAGCCAGCTCCAGGCCTGCCCTACACCACCGCCCAACCCCACCTGTTCATGCCGGCCCCTGCTCCTCCCTCTTGCTGCTCCTGAGCTGCAGGGTGGAGCCCTGTCTGGATGGAGCCAGTCTGCAAAGCCTCAGGACCAAAGCCGCAGCCCCTCCCAAGGGGAGGCACGCCACAGAGCCACAGTACTCAGCCCAGCCAGCCTGGGTTGTAGTCCCACCTCAGCACATGGCAGCCTGTGTCCTCCGTAAATCACTTCCAAGCCCGAGTCTCAGCTGTCCACTGACTGCCAGGCCACAGCTCAGGCAGTCCCAGCCATCCGTGACCACCCTGGGGTAGCCTGGCGTAGGTGGACACAGGCAGGCCCACTGGGGGACAGCACACACCCAGAACAGGGAGTGCGGGGTGTGTCCAGCCCTGGCCCTGTGCCCAGTCCCGCGGGGCAGCAAGCCTGGCTGTGCCCTGCTGGCACCACCCCCAAGCCACCGCGGGAAGGGAGCCTTGGCCCACATCAGAGCTGCCCAGCACTCTGTTCCCATCATGTTTTCCTTTTGGTGGAGGGCCAAATTCTTACAGAAGAAGAGTCGCTAGGAATTTCTAGACCCACTGTCACTAATGTTTGCAACTCCATACCCAGTCTCTGACCCCGCCTCCCCAGAGGCTGCGGCAGGCACCCTGAGCCGAGCCTGCTCTAGCCGGGCAGGGGCAGCAGGAGGCCCTGCCCCGCACAGGGGAGGCCCTGCCCCGCACAGAGCGCTCCCCCACAATGTGAGCCACGCTGACCACAGTCATCCAAGGGCACGTGATGCTAGGTATGGGGCGGCCTGGGCAGGGGGAGGCTCTGGTCAGTCTGCAGAAGGGTGGGGCTGGAACCATCAGAGACCCACCTGTGGCCCAGGGGCTCTGGCCTCCTTCCCGAGAGGCTGCACCCCACCCCTCCCCACAGTCCCTGTCCCGAGCACCACAAGCCAGGCCGTGTCCAGCAGTGGGGTCCAGACGCCACCGGCAGTGCCCTCAAGCCTGTCCTCAATGCAGTGACCCCCAGCCACCTGCAGAGCGGCATACACGGCTTTACCTCCACAGCATCTCGGAGGTAGACCTTCACTCTGCTTTCAAGGATCAGAGCCTCCAATTCACATTCCAGACATTCGATTTCAATGAGCTTTACAGAGTCCTGTGGATTCAAGAAGGAGACTTGTCATGAAAGCCACCACACATCCATTGATGTGAAGACCACATAAACCACGGCAGTGCACTGGGCAGAAGTTCAAGAAAGAGAACAAAGATGCTTAGGAGCATTGTTCAATGTTTCCAAAGATGAAAAAGGTTTCTGCGAGAAAGCTAACATCTTGTTGTTGTTCTTACCTTTGCAATGGGGGGGCTGGGAGAGGGGAGAAGCTCATTAATTGCAGTGGACCTTGAAGTTTTAAATAATTAAAACAATCCAGATAAACTGCTTCTAGAAATTTAGTAAGCATGCTTTCTTTTACTTCTGGCCTGGAGCCCTGGGCCAACAGCAAGGGCTGTGGATGTGTTTTGGGGTCCCTGTGCTCCTGGGCCACCCCGGTGAGGGACCAGCAATGTTCTCCTGTGGTCACCACCCCCCCGCCCCGTCAGCACCAAGGATTCCTGGAGCAGATCCAGCACCCAGCAACCGTGAGAGCCAACCAGAAAGTTCCTGCTTCTCATCATCCTCAGACAGCTCCGCTCTCCCTGCGACGTAGCGTTAGGCACCCTGTACCTGCCACAGGCGGCCTAGGCAGAGGAGTGCCTGCAGGTATCAAGAAGAACACTTCCATCTGCCTTTCAACTGCAGTTTTCATCTACTGATTTTTGGGGGGAGGTGATTCTTTTTAAATAGCCTCATTAAAATATACACTATATGAGCAAAAATATAACACTTTCTTTGTTTCTTTCTTCCTTTTCTGTCTTGTTGTTTATTTTTTTGCTGGGGCTTGAAATCAGGGCCTGGGCACTGTCCCCAGCCCTCCCCCTCCCGCCCCCCACCGACCTCCTGAACCACTGTCCAGCCCTGTCTAAGCGTCATCTGATGACCAGGGTAGAGACAAAGTTTCATTTCCATGGAAACAATGTTCTTAGTTCACACTCAAATGTACTAGTGGTCTCCCTCTTGCTGAGTGAACTGCTTCTTGTCTGTCCAGCCTCAGGCAGACTGTGAAGGTCTGTTGGTGTCCACCTCCATGGTAACTCGGGACGGGACACACAGCTGGTGGCCAGTACGACAGCGGGAGGCAGGCTGCAGCCTTTGACCCCATCATTTGTCATCTTACCCCCGTTCCAATCGGAGCCGCTGTGGCACTCAGGAAGGCCTCTCGTGGCTGCCGACGCTACAGGCAGGGCTACAGGAGGCCAGCACTCCTGATATTTGGGGTGCAAGCTCTCAAACATCCTCTGGAGAGCAGTGTTGTTTGTGTATGTGAGGGCCACATCTCATGGCATATGCTTGTAATTGCAGCAACAAAGGAGGGCAGCCTGGGAAGCTAGAACTAGACCTTATCAAAGACAAACTAAAAAGCCAAAGGGCTAGGGGTATAGCTCAAGTGGTAGAGAGTCTGTCTAGCAAGCCTGAAGCCTTCAGTTCAAAGCCCAGCATTAAAAGAAATAATCTTATGACATAAACAGAGTTAAATAGTAATGAAGTGCCCAGGTACTAAGGTTAGAGAGCAGTGATATATCACTCCTGAGGAATATTACATGAGCTGGAGGAACACGGAGGGCAGCATGGGCCCGGGCTGGTGGTGAAGGTGCACAGGAAAGACAGGTGGGAACTAAAGATGTCATGTGACCATGTACAGCCCTGTGCAGAGGGCCGGATGACCGTGCACAACACACATGAAGAGGACCAGATGATCGTGCACAACACACATGAAGAGGACCAGATGACCGTGTACAACATACATGAAGAAGACCTGAGACCACACACAACACACATGAAGAGGACCTGAGATCACACGCAACACACATGAAAAGAAGCAGATGACCATGCACAGCACACATGAAGAGGACCTGCGACCACACACAACACACATGAAAAGGACCTGAGATCACACGCAACACACATGAAAAGAAGCAGATGACCATGTACAACACACATGAAGAGGACTAGATGACCACGTACAACATACATGAAGAGGACCAGAGACTACACACAGCACACATGAAAAGGAGCAGATGACCACGTACAACACACATGAAGAGGACCAGATGACCATGCACAGCACACATGAAGAGGACCTGCGACCACACACAACACACATGAAAAGAAGCAGATGACCATGTACAACACACATGAAGAGGACCTGAGATCACACGCAACACACATGAAAAGAAGCAGATGACCATGTACAACACACATGAAGAGGACTAGATGACCACGTACAACATACATGAAGAGGACCAGAGACTACACACAGCACACATGAAAAGGAGCAGATGACCACGTACAACACACATGAAGAGGACCAGATGACCACACACAACACACATGAAGAGGACCTGAGATCACATGCAACACACATGAAAAGAAGCAGATGACCACGCACAGCACACATGAAGAGGACTAGATGACCACGTACAACATACATGAAGAGGACCTGCGACCACACACAACACACATAAAAGGACCTGAGATCACACGCAACACACATGAAAAGAAGCAGATGACCATGTACAACACACATGAAGAGGACCAGATGACCACGTACAACATACATGAAGAGGACCAGAGACTACACACAGCACACATGAAAAGGAGCAGATGACCACGTACAACACACATGAAGAGGACCAGATGACCATGTACAACACACAGGAAGAGGACCAGATGACCATGTACAACACACAGGAAGAGGACCAGATGACAACGTACAACACACATGAAGAGGACCTGCGACCACACACAACACACATGAAGAGGACCAGATGACCATGTACAACACACAGGAAGAGGACCAGATGACCATGTACAACACACAGGAAGAGGACCAGATGACAACGTACAACACACATGAAGAGGACCTGCGACCACACACAACACACATGAAGAGGACCAGATGACCACACACAGCACACATGAAAAGGAGCAGATAACCATGCACAGCATACATGAAGAGGACCAGATGACCACGTACAACACACATGAAGAAGACCAGATGACCACACACAGCATACATGAAGAGCACCAGATGACCATGTACAGTGCACATGAAGAGGACCTGCGACCACACACAGCACACATGAAGAGGAGCAGATGACCACACATAGCACACATGAAAAAGACCAGATGACCATGCACAGCACACGTGAAGAGGACTGATGACCAGGTACAATACATATGAAGAGGGACGGATGACCATGCAGTGCACATGACCAAGTACAACACACATGACAAGGGCCAGATGACCACACATGAGGAGGACTGTATGACCACGTGCAGCACACATGAAGAGGACCGATGACATGCACAACACACATGAAAAGGACCAGGTGACCACACACAGCATATGTGAAGAGCACCAGATGACCACGCACAGCATACATGAAAATCACCAGATGACCATGTACAGCACACATGAAGAGGACTGATGACATGCACAACACACATGAAAAGGACCAGATGACCACACACAGCATACATGAAGATCACCAGATGACCATGTACAATGCACATGAAGAGGACTGATGACATGCACAACACACATGAAAAGGACCAGATGACCACACACAGCATACATGAAGATCACCAGATAACCATGTACAGTGCACATGAAGAGGACTGATGACCATGTATAACACATATGAAGAGGACCAAGTGACTGTGCACAATGCACATGACCAAGTACAAAACACATGACAAGGACCAGGTGACACACACAGCATACGTGAATGATGACCATTTACAGTGCACATGAAGAGGACCAGATGACCACAGCACACATGAAGTGGACCGGATGACCACACACAACACACATGAAGAGGACCAGAGACTACATGCAACACACATGAAGAGGACCGATGACCACACACAACACACATGAAGAGGACCGATGACCATGCACAACACATATGAAGAGGGCCAGATGACCACAGCACACATGAAGTGGACCAGATGACCACACACAACACACATGAAGAGGACCAGATGACCACACACAACACACATGAAGTGGACCAATGACCATGCACAACACATATGAAGAGGGCCAGATGACCACAGAACACATGAAGTAGACCAGATGACCACACACAGCACACATGAAGAGGACCAGATGACCTCACACAACACACATGAAGAGGACCAGATGACCACACATAACACACATGAAGAGGACCAATGACCATGCACAACACACATGAAGAGGGCCAGATGACCATGCACAACACACATGAAGAGGGCCAGATGACTCTGCACAGTGCACATGACCATGCACAGCACACATGAAGAGGACCAGATGACCACGCACAGCACACATGACCATGTAAAATACACATGAAGAAGACCAGATGACCACGCACAGCACACATGAAGAGGACCAGATGACCATGCACAGTGCTTATGACAAGGACCAGATGACCATGTACAACACACATGAAAAGGACCAGATGACCACACACAACATACATGACCATGTACAATACACATGAAGAGGACTGGATGACCACGCACAGCACACATGTAGAGGACCAGATGACTGTGCACAGTGCACATGACCACATAAAACACACATGAAGAGGACCGGATGACCATGCACAGCACACGTGAAGAGGGCTGGAGGGTTTCTGCTGCCCATGTCATCAGTATGTTATATCATTAAGTCACTTACTTTGTCCTCGATTTCACTCAGATCTGAGATGCAGTCAGAGGCTACCCCCTGACATTTCAGGTCCAGAGAAAGATGAGCTAATTCAAAAAGCAAAGACATCCTGGAAAGAAATGAGAGGGCATTGGTTCAGCAGGGGTCAGGAAGAAAATCCACCTGGCCATGCTTACTGCCCACCTCTGTGCACACCGCTCATCTCTGTGTCTCTGCTCTGTTGGGACTCAGGCAGGAGCGACAGGTTGATATGAAATAATGACGAACCAAGGCGCTGCTGGGCCTGTGTGCTGGCTGCCTTCCCCAGTGACAGCCTGGCTGCTCCCCCCGCCCTCCGTGCTGGGCCTCACATGCTGCGTTGTCCCCACCCAGTCCCCTGGGCAGAGCAGGGCCACATAGATTCGTCAGGATGCTGCCCTGCACAGCACCCATGCTGATGGCTGGGTGAGGAGCCAGGTGGCCCGGGGAGGGGCAGCCTTCTGCTTGGACAGTGCTCAGGCCATCTGGGATTTCACAAATGGCCTTCAGTGCAGCTGGCCAGCTTATGTTAAATGTGTTGGAAGCACAAGGGCCTGTGGTAGCCAATCGGCTTTGAAAAGGGACCAGGTTGTAGAAGAAACAGTATAGCTTAATATTCCTCACAGGCGGTGAGGATGAACGGAGAGTGTACTGTGCGCAGACTGGGCCGGGCCTGCTGGCCTCATGCCTGCCCATTGCTCTGTGGAGACTCTTCCACAGTACCTGGTTTGAAAGCCACCAGGTGCTGGCAGCCTCTGTCTGGGCAGCGGATAGACCTTGTGAGGCTCTCAGATAGAGAGAGACCTCCAGGGTCCTCTGAGCCTCACCCTCAGTGACTCAGTTCAGCATGGAGCACTGGGCTGGTGGGAGTCAATGCTATCCAACATCCAACTCATGTTAAATATAACATTTCTGCTAGCAAAATCTATAAAATCGAAATGGTAGTTCATGTAGCAGAGGGCAGGACAAGATGAAGGCTGAACAGCATTTTTCATTTTCATTTCATTCCATTCATTCATTCCATCAACAAGAAAAATCCAGTGACACAAAGTGAGTAGATTCTGAGGAGAGAAAGATGAGGAGAGAGGAGGACCTTCATGGAGCTCATGGGAACACAGGAAATCATAGAAAAGCAATCGACGAAGAAGGGAAATGGCAAGGAATTTAGAACTGGTGTCTGGCTTCTGTGGCTGGGGCAAGGGATCAGGAAGTCAGCAGCATCAGTAAAAGTCAGTTCAGAGAGAAAGGATAGAAGACCTTCAAGCAAATGGGCTCAGAGAGCAGCCAGAAGCAACCATGTTTGTATCTGGTAAAATAGACCTCAAAACAAAATCATTCAGAAGAGACAAAGAAGCTCACTTCATACAAATAAAGAGAATGAGAAGAATCCAACTTACAACTGACAACAGACAGGCACGAGATAGCAGCAAACTTGGGTTCACTGTCACACACTGAAGTAATACATCCCAGCTCAGAAGCAGTGGAGGAACCAGCTCCCAGCAGCAGAGAGGTCATGTCAACAGTGTGAACACTCCCACCAGCAGACAGGTCATCCAAACAGCGTGAATACTCCCAGCAGTAGAGAGGTCATGCCAACAGTGTGAACACTCTCACCAGCAGACAGGTCATCAAACAGTGTGAACACTCCCAACAGCAGACAGGTCATCAAACAGTGTGAACACTCCCAACAGCAGACAGGTCATCAAACAGTGTGAACACTCCCACCAGCAGACAGGTCATCAAACAGTGTGAACACTCCCGCCAGCAGACAGGTCATCAAACAGTGTCAACACTCCTGTCAGCAGACAGGTCATCAAACAGTGTGAACACTCCCACCAGCAGACAGGTTATCAAACAGTGTGAACACTCCTGCCAGCAGACAGATCATCAAACAGTGTGAACACTCCCACCAGTGGACAGGTCATCAAACAGTGTGAACACTCCCACCAGCAGACAGGTCATCAAACAGTGTCAACACTCCTGTCAGCAGACAGGTCATCAAATAGTATGAACACTCCTACCAGCAGACAGGTCATCAAATAGTGTGAACACTTTTGCCAGCAGACAGGTCATCAAATAGTGTGAACACTCCTGCCAGCAGACAGGTCATCAAACAGTGTGAACACTCTCACCAGCAGACAGGTCATCAAACAGTGTGAACACTCCCACCAGCAGACAGGTCATCAAACAGTGTTAACACTCCCGCCAGCAGACAGGTCATCAAACAGTGTGAACACTCCCACCAGCAGACAGGTCATCAAACAGTATGAACACTCCCACCAGCAGACAGGTCATCAAACAGTGTGAACACTCCTGCCAACAGACAGGTCATCAAACAGTGTTAACACTCCCGCCAGCAGACAGGTCATCAAACAGTGTGAACACTCCTGCCAGCAGACAGGTCATCAAACAGTGTTAACACTCCTGCCAGCAGACAGGTCATCAAATAGTGTGAACACACCCGCCAGCAGACAGGTCATCAGTGTTAACACTCCCGCCAGCAGACAGGTCATCAAACAGTGTGAACACTCTCACCAGCAGACAGGTCATCAAACAGTGTGAACACTCCCACCAGCAGACAGGTCATCAAACAGTGTTAACACTCCCGCCAGCAGACAGGTCATCAAACAGTGTGAACACTCCTACCAGCAGACAGGTCATCAAACAGTGTGAACACTCCTACCAGCAGACAGGTCATCAAACAGTGTGAACACTCCCAACAGCAGACAGGTCATCAAATAGTGTCAACACACCCGCCAGCAGACAGGTCATCAAATAGTGTGAACACACCCGCCAGCAGACAGGTCAACAAATAGTGTGAACACTTTTGCCAGCAGACAGGTCATCAAATAGTGTGAACACTCCCAACAGCAGACAGGTCATCAAATAGTATGAACACTCCCACCAGCAGACAGGTCATCAAACAGTGTGAACGCTCCCACCAGCAGACAGGTCATCAAACATTGTGAACACTCCCGCCAGCAGACAGGTCATCAAACAGTGTGAACACTCCCGCCAGCAGACAGGTCATCAAACAGTGTGAACACTCCTGCCAGCAGACAGGTCATCAAATAGTGTGAACACTCCTACCAGCAGACAGGTCATCAAACAGTGTGAACACTCCCAACAGCAGACAGGTCATCCCAACAGTCTGAACACTCCCACCAGCAGACAGGTCATCAAACAGTGTGAACACTCCCACCAGCAGACAGGTCATCAAACAGTCCCAACAGCAGACAGGTCATCAAATAGTGTGAACACTTTTGCCAGCAGACAGGTCATCAAACAGCTTGAACACTCCCACCATCAGACAGGTCATCAAACAGCGTGAACACTACCACCAGCAGACAGGTCATCAAATAGTGTGAACACTACCACCAGCAGAAAGGTCATCAAACAGTGTGAACACTCCTGCCAGCAGACAGGTCATCAAATAGTGTGAACACTCCCACCAGCAGACAGGTCATCAAACAGTGTGAACACTCCTACCAGCAGACAGGTCATCAAACAGTGTTAACATTCCCGCCAGCAGACAGGTCATCAAATAGTGTCAACACACCCGCCAGCAGACAGGTCATCCCAACAGTCTGAACACTCCCACCAGCAGACAGGTCATCAAACAGTGTGAACACTCCTACCAGCAGACAGGTCATCAAACAGCGTGAACACTCCTGCCAGCAGACACGTCATCAAATAGTGTGAACACTCTCGCCAGCAGACAGGTCATCAAACAGTGTGAACACTCCCAACAGCAGACAGGTCATCAAACAGTGTGAACACTCCTGCCAGCAGACAGGTCATCAAACAGTGTGAACAGTCCTGCCAGCAGACAGGTCATCAAACAGTATGAACACTCCTGCCAGCAGACAGGTCATCAAACAGTGTGAACACTCCTACCAGCAGACAAGTCATCAAACAGTGTGAACACTCCTACCAGCAGACAGGTCATCAAACAGTGTTAACACTCCCACCAGCAGACAGGTCATCAAATAGTGTCAACACACCCGCCAGCAGACAGGTCATCCCAACAGTCTGAACACTCCCACCAGCAGACAGGTCATCAAACAGTATGAACACTCCTACCAGCAGACAGGTCATCAAACAGCGTGAACACTCCTGGCAGCAGACAGGTCATCAAATAGTGTGAACACTCTCGCCAGCAGACAGGTCATCAAACAGTGTGAACACTCCCAACAGCAGACAGGTCATCAAACAGTATGAACACTCCTACCAGCAGACAGGTCATCAAACAGCGTGAACACTCCTGCCAGCAGACAGGTCATCAAATAGTGTGAACACTCTCGCCAGCAGACAGGTCATCAAACAGTGTGAACACTCCCAACAGCAGACAGGTCATCAAACAGTGTGAACACTCCTACCAGCAGACAGGTGATCAAACAGTGTGAACACTCCCACCAGCAGACAGGTCATCAAACAATATGAACACTCCTGCCAGCAGACAGGTCATCAAACAGTGTGAAAACTCCTACCAGCAGACAGGTCATCAAACAGTGTGAACACTCCTGCCAGCAGACAGGTCATCAAACAGTATGAACACTCCCACCAGCAGACAGGTGATCAAATAGTGTGAACACTCTCACCAGCAGACAGGTCATCAAACAGCGTGAACACTCCCACCATCAGACAGGTCATCAAACAGCGGGAACACTACCACCAGCAGACAGGTCATCAAACAGTGTGAACACTCTCACCAGCAGACAGGTCATCAAACAGTGTGAACACTTCTGCCAGCAGACAGGTCATCAAACAGAGATCTGAAGAGCATTTCATCCAGTTACCACACAGCACAGATCGCATCCTGAGACTTATACCAGTCTGAGCACTTAACAGAAAACTGAAGTAACTACTACTATTCTATTAGATCATAATAGAATTAAACTACAGCTCAACAGCAAAAGGTGCTACAAAAAATATTCACATGCTTGGAGACCAAACCGTGCACTGTCCAATGCCATGTAGGTAACTGAAGCAGTAAAAGGAGAAACCAACAAGTTCTTGGAATCTAATGACATCAAAAGCTTTGAAAACACCAGAAACTTTGAGATGAAAAGGCAGTATTGAGAGGAAAAT